CATTTATGTGCAATCTATTCGTATTGGTCTGGATGTTTTCTATCTAATTTATGTAAGTATTTAAAAGAAAAAGTNATGGTTACAGGGTTATCCATTGTTTTTGGGACACCCTGTATCTACCTTTATTTGAATAAGGGTTAAGTATGTCTGTATCAGTTTTCTGGTATTGCCATAGTTACCTACAAGCTTAGCTTGAAAATAGGACTGCAGATTTTCTCGCCAATGCAATGCTTTCTCTGTTGGTGTTGTTGTTACTGCGATGAAGCTGAAAATCATAGAGGCAAGAAAGTCTTTTACTTTGCTGACTGAACAAAGTTAGTATCGCTATAAGCATCGTTTATCGATTTATTTCGTGTAAAAAAATATTTACAAAACATTGAAAATTATATTATTATGAAGTAATTGATTTCTGAATGTATTTCTGAACGTAAGCCTATCTGTCAATTGACCTGTCAAAGTGTCAAACTTGTCATCAATGTCAAAATAATTGTGGGTGTATTTTTGCAATGTTTTCATTATTTTCTAAATAAATAAAGCATAAAAATGGTGATATACGGTGTGTATATAGTAAGCAAATCTGGTGGCCTCATATATAATTATGACCACAACATTCCAAAAGTAGAGACTGAAAAAACTTTCGGGTTTCCTCTGGACTTGAAGTTGCAGTATGAAAATAAGAAAGTTATCGTCGCATTTGGCCAGCGAGATGGCATTAACGGTAAGATTTTATGGTTTTTATGAAATCTGGATTAATTACTAAATAATTTTAATTATTCATTGGCGTCAATTGTCGATTTCTTTGATATACTCATCTTCCTTTCTATTTCATTGTAGTGGGTCACGTACTACTCTCAGTCAATGGCTCCCCAGTCACAGGCCGCACCACTGAAGACGGTCGGGATGTATTCGAACTCATAGAAGTTAAGGTAACTGGAAAAACTAGAACACTTGGAATACTAAGCGGTAGGAGGGGGAAACTGGAGATGGGACACCTTTTCTATAATACTTTTCTAAATGTAAGCACAAGTCTGTCAATTTATTTGTTTTCAGGAAAACTACCCACTTAGTCTGAGATTTGGGCGTGCACGTGCGACCACAAATGAAAAGATAGTGCTGGCCAGTATGTTCTACCCATTGTTTGCGCTCGCCAGCCAGTTGAGTCCAGTGCCAAAGTCTTCAGGAATAGAATCACTCACTGCAGACACCTTCAAACTTTCCTGCTTTCAAACTTTAACAGGTAGATAATTTAAAGTTTTTTTCTGGGATGTAATTAAATACTTTTATGAGCTTTTTACCCTAGTTATGCAATAGTATAGCAGTTGTATATTATATGCAAGTTTACTTTATTTGTCTACTCAAGTAGACTAAAAATCTTTATTTTTTTTCAAGTCAAGAAAAAGGAATATTTCCTGTCAACATTTAATTTGGTTAAAAATCTAAAACAATTTTTTTCACAAACCATCTTTGAATTAACTCCCTTTTATGTACATAATGTACACATAGCCTTTTGCCTTAAAAGGAACTTGTAAGCAAGAATAATAAACCATCTTTTCATTTTCAGGTGTGAAATTTATAATAGTAACTGATCCAAACATGCAAGGAAGTGAAGTAGTCCTGAAGCGCATCTATGAGATTTACTCCGACTATGCATTGAAGAACCCATTCTACTCTCTGGAGATGCCGATTCGCTGTGAACTGTTTGATACATCGCTGCACACTCTTCTGGAGCTTGTTGAGAAGTCTGGCACTGCCAATTTATAGTTGTAGTTATTTATCTTTTTATCTTTAAGTGCAATAAATTCTGTGTAACATATTCTGTTGTTTGTATGTAATCTTAAGACATAAATATTCTCAATCTTGTGGAACATAGGACACTTTGTGCATAGGTCATCCATTTCCATCCAGAAGGTGGAGATAGGACCTGAATTTGCTATTTGTGCATGCTGTTTGCTTTGTGTTCAGCAACCTAATATCCCCCAAACACGTTTGGTACCTGTGTGGTTACTTACATTGATCAAATAATGATTATTAAGGTATGAAAGAAAACATCATTTAGTTTACAATAAAAAATTTATTGATATAATCATTATTTATTTATAACAATTCAAACCGAGGCAGTTATCCTCACACTCGCTCACCAAAGTTAATCTAAAGTTACTTCGTGTTATTATTACCGCGCGCTCGTTTGTACTTGTACACACACTGCCACAGTCGCTCGGTTATTGCCTGATATTTGGTTCAGCCGGGCCCGGGGCGGCCACATGCGGCACACAAGCTTTCGCTCCTATTCTCCTGCATTCAAGTAAAGCTTCAATGTTCAATTGGAATTTGCACAAAGTGGACATTCCTAAGTTTTGGTCATTCATCTATTAACAGGCTAACAAGGAAATTATACATTTCAACAGCAATTGTAACATGGATTTGTGCGTACTGCAAAAGCATGTTAGTAGAACAAAAATAAACAACATCAGAAAAATGCGATAAAATGATTGCCGCCGCCCCGTGGCCCGAGACACCAAGCACGTTATACTTACAAGCTCTTTAGAAAATTTTCAAGTGGATAATACCGCCCTGAGAGACAGCGCGGGACGCGTTGTCCCCGTGGGCCTTTATAACTATGCATACACGGAGGAGCCCTCGACTTACCGGGGCCCTCGCTCAGAGCTTCAAGACACTAACAAACTACAAGATCAAGGCAAATATTTATTAAAGTATAACGGCTTCGATGACCTCATGAGAGATTCACAGCGATCGGTACAAAAATAGAGCCGCGAGCGGTCTCCTACAAAATATAACCTCTGCTCGCTATAATTAAGTCTTAATTATGTTAACGAAGGACCTATTTAAATTAATCTACGTTCGATCGGCGCGGGTGCTGCGGCGCGGTATCCTACATTAGTCCCACCTTAAATTTATGATAAACAATTTCAGTGTTTTTTAGTCTAATTCAAAGAAAATACATAAGATAAATAACATAAGGCTATCAATCCTTACAATCTACGATTAAATTTTGTCAAATAAAATAATGGCCCTCAGAAAATTGCAAACCAATCCTTTATTAAAATAACAATTGACCATTTATGTTCCGAATAAAATAAAATATCATATCAGTCGTGTGAATTCTAGCTTTCTGCCAATCACTAGTATTGTATCGAACGAAATGACGGCTAACTCGAGATGAACACAGCATGAAGAATCCCAGTCATGGTCATTATGAGCCTTAACCTACGCTACCGAACCTACGCTAGCTAGCCTACGCGCCGCCCGCGCCCACAACACGCCTGAGTATCGTCCCGGGACGTCGCCGCGAACAGATATCGATCAAAGACGCGATTTCGAGATTTGTGCGACTCTAAAACTAAAAATGTTTTCTCAGTTAAAATAGGACTGAAAAGATTTCAGTAATTTATCACCACTAGAGAAAATAGAAAACTATACGCCCTAGTAATCACACACAAGTTCTACAGCTCAAATATTGAAACGGAGTTAGTTTTAGAGTTAGTAACATGGTCTCAGAATCACGGCGACAATTTTTAACCAACAACCTTCGAGACGCTACGCCACAACGACACAGCTAGCCGCTCTCCTAGTTAGGCATATAATAAATATGTGGTTAGTTTTACATCTGATAAGTACTTAAGTCAGTCAGGTTATTGGCGGCCGTTCCAATCGATATCTTTCAGCGGCCCTAGGACTCGAGTCGAGTACAAAACAAAGAAATAACCCTGTACTGCACGCTCGCAGATTCCCGCCGAAGCCAAAGTTGCCGCTCTCGATCCGGTTGTATTTTCGCGCGAAAATAAACCGTCTAACATATTGCACGGGGACATGGCACTGAGTATTGCACGCGAGATCAGTCCGGTTCGCGGGGCGCGCCCGCGTACGCGGATTTGTGAACACTTGTATCGTCAACGAATGCCATTCAACTTCGAAGTGCCAGGAGCAAACATGATTTCGGCGGAATGTAGATAAATAGAACAAGATCACCGTTTAGTAACTACCGTGTGACCTCCCGGCAGTCGGCGACTACTGGTCGTGAGTTCTAGGAGCTAAGTTTGGTGTAACCAAATAAATTACTGGCCGGACTGTTCGGAACACTTCGGCGACTGCCGGTGCCTGGAACTTCACGTAAAATCATTGAAACCGATCCGTAACACCCCCGTCATTAAAATTCATGTTATTTACATAATAGGATGCGTGATATATCTCGATATATCGTCCAGCCGACGGAATAACGACGGCTGATCGCTTTCACTTGCTCTTGTTGCTGGAGCGAGAGGCAAATTGAGAGAGGCTTTCATAGTACATTGACATAATAACATTCAATCAAGTAAAAAATCATTCAAAATCACAAAAACAATACTTTGGTTTATAGTTCCATGCGATTGTGATTACAAAGGGAAGGTTTAATATAGAATAATAAGTTTTTTTAGAAAATCATTAAAAGGGAAATGTTGGTTCTTTAAAAAAATAAGTCACTGCTAATCTGTTAAGATGAAGAAGAATGTGTTAAGAGCACACTTTTTAGCCTTGTCTTTTCAAAAATTCCCTGGATCCTCAGCATCGGATAATCAGGGCAGCCTACGTTCCCAGATATCTAAAGACACTATTGTCTCGTTAAATAAATAAAATCTTTGAATCTGTATTAATTTCGGCCAAAGACGACAGGAACTGTACCTCTAGTAGGAAATTATATATTATAGCCGCCCTAGGGGGCGCTGTTTAATTTTTCATACAAAATTTTTCGATGACACTTTGAATACGCAACGAAACGAACTCAAAAGTTTTTCCTACTAGAGGTACAGGAAGTTAGTTCCGGGTAGGGTTGTCAGGCGTCCGGATAAAGCCGGACATAGTTAGGCTTTTTGATTGCGTGTCCGGCCAAAATAACCGGCCAAATGAAGCACATAGTCCGGCTTTTGTGTTTTTGGACCTGGCAACCCTAGTTCCGGGGTTTATTAAGCCACGTATAAGACTTTAGAAAATGTCAGTACTGCGTTCTTCTTCTCCTTTCCTCTCTGCATGCCTACGCAGAGGGCAGACGGGGGTCGGATGGCGGGCCGGGCGCGGGCCCTAGGAGTGCTTGGGGCGCGGGCCCCACAGCCGCAGCGAGTAGTCGTCGGAGGCCGAGGCGAGCGCGTCGTGGTGCGCCGGGTTCCACGCCACGGCGTTGACGCAGCGCGTGTGTCCCGAGATCACCGCGATCGGCTCCTCGCCGTTTATGTGCCAGATGTACACCTGTGGATCACACGGACCACAATGTTAAATAGGTCCAATCTAAATAGTAATTTAAAGATTTATTTCAAAATTAAACTTGACTTAAAATAAGACGTCCACCTACAAGGTGGACCGACGACATCGTAAAGGTAGCAGGGAAGCGCTGGATGCAGGCCGCTACCAATCGATCAACGTGGAAAGCATTAGGGGAGGCCTATGTTCAGCAGTGGACGTCCTATAGCTGACATGATGATGATGATGATGATAAAATAAGAAATTAAATTCTTTGTGACTTGATACGAAATCGCAAATGCTTGTTTTGATTTATTAATCGAAACCGCATTTTCATTAGGTGACATAATATTATGTTGCTGAGACATATAATCCGACTTTCACGCGGTATGTACGTCTCTGCGACTTTTTAGGACAATGTCGCTCCACATTTGCCTTGTTCACACTACCCAGTGTGATAGTGTGTGGACTAGCGATATGATCGTCGATATCTCCTGAGCCCCCGACACGTAGAATTCGTGGGGAGCTAAATAGTCGCAGGACAAATACTGCCTGATGAAAATGAGACTTAGTGGTGTACGGTATTAGTAGTATTTTACCTTGTTATCTTCGCTGCCGGAGGCCACGAAGTCGTGGTGCGCGCCGCCGAAGCAGGCGTGGATGGTGAAGTGGCCTTGACTCAAGCCGCGGAAGCGCCGCACTAATGCACGCGCGCCTGAAACACAAGCATAGTTGCACTCCATTCATAACATATTACGTTCACAATGGGCAAACGTATTCAGAACATAAAAGGCAATAATGACACCACGAATTGACCGACATTTTGATCTTTTGACACTATTTATCTTGTATTACCAAACATGTCCTCCAGTTGCCTCTCAAAATGATCGCAGTTGGTGCCCATGGGGCTACAAGCGCACATTATTAGGTGTTGTGTCAAACGTCTGCATAATACTCGATTGTAAAATGTCAGTAGTCAATAATACAAAGCTAAAGGATCATCATTCAATTCACTAGCTACGCAAATAACAGCCCTGAATCAAGCTATCGGAAGCAACATAGTGATCCTTCGAGCCGGATTTTGATCTATAAAGGGCTGCTAGTCTAAAGCCCGGTCCGTGAGCACGTAGAATTTTGTCCAATGATCCCTAGCTACCCATCCTTATCGCTCGCGCGTAATTATGTTGCTGTCGCGACTGTGCGACTGGCACCCGCAGTGAGTGTGCGAGCGCGACAGCAACATAATTACACGCGAGCGATAAGGATGGGTAGCTAGGGGTCATTGGACAAAATTCTACGTGCTCACGGACCAGACTATAGTATCTCGGCGCGACTCACGTATGTCCCAGAGGTGCACGCCCTGGTTGGCCACGTTGAGCAGCAGCAGCGTGTCGGCCGCGTTCAGCGTCATCGCCATCACCGCGTGCTCCTCCTGGATCCTGGAGACACATACAATCATTACATTTTAATGCTAAAAGGATTATATTTCAGTGAAATCGTACACATGAGGTGATAGTTTATAAGATGTAGGGTAACAATGTTGTCGCCATAAAGACGTAATGATTATTTTAAGACTCGTTTAGTAGTCACTTTGGTTGAGCCATGTTAGATGGTTACTGTAGTTCATAGTCTGCAAGAATCTAGGATTCTAGACCAAAATATACAGATTAACCGCCTCTGTGGTCTAGTGGTAAGACCACCTGCTTCAGACGCGAAGGTCCCGAGTTCGATTCCCAGTGGGGGCAGATTTTTCTGTTCGGTTTGATTGGTGGTAGGGCTTGTTCTAAGTCCGCCTGGCTAGCTACCACCATCTTACCTAAGTCTGTCGCCATAACAACAATGCTAACAGCATTGTTGTGTTCCGGCGGTTAGAGGTAAGATAGCCAGTTCCTCCGTGGTTGAGGATTCCGGGTGAAGCTCGCTTCCACCTTCGGCCTGATCATCACTTACCATCAGGTGAGATACAGGCCAAGAAGTCAGTGAATAAAAAAAAAAGAAATCTATATATATAAAAGAAAGTCGTGTTAGTTACTTCGCTTATAACTCAAGAACGGCTGAACCGATTTAGCTGAAAATTGTCAGGGAGGTAGTTTAGAGCCAGGAGAAGGACATAGGATACTTTTTATCCCGTTCGAAATTAAAAAAAGTCTGCTTATTTATTGCCATTAAGGCGGAACAAAGTTCGCCGGGTCAGCTAGTATTTTATAAAATGTAGGATCACAAGGTTGTTGTCATAAAGACGTAATAATTATTTAAAGAATTTTGAAGGATTCGTCCAATAGTCAATTTGATTGAGCCGTTAAATGGCGGTGGTTCATAATCTACAAGGGTCTAGGGCTTCTAGACCAAACGATATGGATAAATCATGACGTAATCCTAAAGCGATGTTAAAGTTTAGTCTTTGCAATACAAAATCTATGGGGAATCGCATTTTGACAGTTTATAAATATATGTCACTTGTCTGGTGACGCCAACTACCCTATTGTATGCCCCGATCATTCTTTACTTTGTCTAGAAACCCAGGGCTGTCTGCTCAGTCGTCAAAAGCCACACGTCAGAGGGTTTCTTCAAAGAATGAGTGCACACCAGTCCCAGTCTTTCGCCGTCCCAGCTGTTTATGTACTATCGGCATTTCGGCAACACTACCCATTGCCGGCCATGTCGTCTCGTTCTATCGCAAAGAATCACCATTCGATGAGAGCGAGAGCAAAAACCGAAATGGATAGGGTGATTGCTATAGTAATTAGCCTGCACATAGTTATTGGCATATTGGATTGTAGACAAAAATATTTACTACATTGGACTGCGTATTGCTCAGAAAAAATATTTTTCTCTTTTCCTCTCTTAATAACTTCCATTATAGTCCGATTTTTAATTCGACGGAATTTTGACAGCTGACATTTTTTGACAATTCAGATGTAATAAGCCTTTTTTGCTTTGAATTATTAATAAATAATATGAAATGAAACTTTATCAACTACAACTTACAAGAATGAACTATCGTTTGTTTCGTGAATTCAATGTACACTAATTATTATGTACATTTTAGAGATTAAATAGAAAAAAACGTGTTTTTAACACAGTAAAACAACATATAAACATATACGAAAATATGTATTGATCATCAATCATCATTATCGTCATCATAATCAACTTGGATTATAAAATTGGCATCTTGTTAAATTGATTATTTTATGAAACTAAGATTTTATTAACTAAAGTATTTTCATAAAAAANTTGAAACCGATCCGTAACACCCCCGTCATTAAAATTCATGTTATTTACATAATAGGATGCGTGATATATCTCGATATATCGTCCAGCCGACGGAATAACGACGGCTGATCGCTCTCGCTTGCTCTTGTTGTTAGAGAGAGAGGCAAATTAAGAGAGGTTTTCATAGTACATTGACATAATAACATTCAATCAAGTAAAAAATCATTCAAAATCACAAAAATAATACTTTGGTTTAATAGTTCCATGCGATTGTGATTACAAAGGGAAGGTTTAATATAGAATAATAAGTTTTTTTTTTAGAAAATCATTAAAAGGGAAATGTTGGTTCTTTAAAAAAATAAGTCACTGCTAATCTGTTAAGATGAAGAAGAATGTGTTAAGAGCACACTTTTTAGCATTGTCTTTTCAAAAATTCCCTGGATCCTTTATCTTTAGCATCGGATAATCAGGGCAGCCCACGTTCCCAGATATCTAAAGACACTATTGTCTCGTTAAATAAATAAAATCTTTGAATCTGTATTAATTTCGGCCAAAGAGGACAGGGACTGGAAGTTAGTTCCGAGTAGGGTTGCCAGGCGTCCGGATAAAGCCGGACATAGTTAGGCTTTTTGATTGCGTGTCCGTCCAAAATAACCGGCCAAATGAAGCACATAGTCCGGCTTTTGTGTTTTTGGACCTGGCAACCCTAGTTCCGGGGTTTATTAAGCCACGTATAGGACTTTGGAAAATGTCAGTACTGCGTTATCCTCTCTGCATGCCTACGCAGAGGGCAGACGGGGGTCGGATGGCGGGCCGGGCGCGGGCCCTAGGAGTGCTTGGGGCGCGGGCCCCACAGCCGCAGCGAGTAGTCGTCGGAGGCGGAGGCGAGCGCATCGTGGTGCGCCGGGTTCCAAGCCACGGCGTTTACGCAGCGCGTGTGCCCCGAGATCACCGCGATCGGCTCCTCGCCGTTTATGTGCCAGATGTACACCTGTGGACCACACGGACCACAATGTTAAATAGGTCCAATCTAAATAGTAATTTAAAGATTTATATTTTAAAATTAATAACTTGATTTAAAATAAGAAATTAAATTCTTTGTGACTTGATACGAAATCGCAAATGCTTGTTTTGATTATTAATCGAAACCGCATTTTCATTAGGTGACATAATATTGTTGCTGAGACGTATAGTCCGACTTTCACGCGGTATGTACGTCTCTGCGACTTTCTAGGACAATGTCGCTCCACATTTGCCTTGTTCACACTACCCAGTGTGATAGTGTGTGGACTAGCGATACGATCGTGACAGGTAAATGTAACCTACGTTGTCGGGCATTGTCTCCCCGATATCTCCTGAGTCCTGACACGTAGAAAACGTGTGGAACTAAATAGTCGCAAGACAAATATTGCCCAATGAAAATGAGACTTAGGCTGGTTTTAGAAGCGCGCTGACCGCTCGCTGATCATCGGCGCTGACAAATCAAAATGTATGTAATTAAAGGGAACGTTCCTGAGTGACACTGATCGCTCGGCGACGACGCTTCATAGGCTTGATTTCCTTTTAGGCTGACATCGGTGACCGACGTCAGCGGCGCGCACGATTACACACTAGTTCTATGTAATCATCTGCCGCTGACGACGGCGTTGCAGTGCGGTGCTTCGTAGAACATTGTGTTTATTCGTACGCTCGACCGATGTACGCGACCGACGTCAGCGTAGGAGGAAATCAAGCCATACATTTCGGCTGTCAGCGCTGACGGTCAGCGTGCGTCAGCGTGATTCGAAAACCAGCCTTAGTGGTGTGCGGTATTAGTAGTATTTTACCTTGTTATCCTCGCTGCCGGAGGCCACGAAGTCGTGGTGCGCGCCGCCGAAGCAGGCGTGGATGGTGAAGTGGCCTTGACTCAAGCCGCGGAAGCGCCGCACTAATGCACGCGCGCCTGAAACACAAGCATAGTTGCACTCCATTTATAACATAATACGTGCACAATAGGTACGAATCTCTATAGTAAGAAAACGTATTCACTGATGAAACAAAGTAATAGGTTAGGCATCATAGGTAATAGCACTTTTACAAGCCTACTTGAAAAAAATAAATTTCTTTTATCAATGAGACCACAAATTGACCGACATTTTGATCTTTTGACACTATCTTGTATTACCAAACATGTCCCTCGGTTGCCTCTCAAAATGTTCGCAGTATATGGTGCCCTAGCGCTATGGCGCCCTATAAGCGCATATTAGGAATTTCAATGTCGTCTCATTTTTAGTGCCGGAGTTACTCCCAATATTTATAAACGTAAAATTATTGTTACTTCGGCTATTGTGTACTCACGTATGTCCCAGAGGTGCACGCCCTGGTTGGCCACGTTGAGCAGCAGCAGCGTGTCGGCCGCGTTCAGCGTCATCGCCATCACCGCGTGCTCCTCCTGGATCCTGCTCACACACACAATCATTACATTTTAATGCTAAAAATATTACATTTTATTGAAATCATACACATCGNGCCGCGGCACACCAGCGCGTTCACAGTGTGTGTGTGTGTACGTACACGTTCCGGTCGGTGAGGTCGGTGAAGTCGTAGGCGCGCACGCGGTGGTGCGTGTCGGCGGCCAGCACCGTGCGCCCGTCGCCGCGGCACACCAGCGCGTTCACAGTGTGTGTGTGTGTACGTACACGTTCCGGTCGGTGAGGTCGGTGAAGTCGTAGGCGCGCACGCGGTGGTGCGTGTCGGCGGCCAGCACCGTGCGCCCGTCGCCGCGGCACACCAGCGCGTTCACAGTGTGTGTGTGTGTACGTACACGTTCCGGTCGGTGAGGTCGGTGAAGTCGTAGGCGCGCACGCGGTGGTGCGTGTCGGCGGCCAGCACCGTGCGCCCGTCGCCGCGGCACACCAGCGCGTTCACAGTGTGTGTGTGTGTACGTACACGTTCCGGTCGGTGAGGTCGGTGAAGTCGTAGGCGCGCACGCGGTGGTGCGTGTCGGCGGCCAGCACCGTGCGCCCGTCGCCGCGGCACACCAGCGCGTTCACAGTGTGTGTGTGTGTACGTACACGTTCCGGTCGGTGAGGTCGGTGAAGTCGTAGGCGCGCACGCGGTGGTGCGTGTCGGCGGCCAGCACCGTGCGCCCGTCGCCGCGGCACACCAGCGCGTTCACAGTGTGTGTGTGTGTACGTACACGTTCCGGTCGGTGAGGTCGGTGAAGTCGTAGGCGCGCACGCGGTGGTGCGTGTCGGCGGCCAGCACCGTGCGCCCGTCGCCGCGGCACACCAGCGCGTTCACAGTGTGTGTGTGTGTGTACGTACACGTTCCGGTCGGTGAGGTCGGTGAAGTCGTAGGCGCGCACGCGGTGGTGCGTGTCGGCGGCCAGCACCGTGCGCCCGTCGCCGCGGCACACCAGCGCGTTCACGCGCACGCCGTCCCAGCTGTTGATCAGCGCGCCCTGTGCACACGATATGGTGTAATCGATATCGCAAATGAGACCCAAAACAATCAATTATTAATTACTAGCTTTCCGCCCGCGGGTTCGCCCGCGTGGAATTTTGTCTGTCACAGAAAAACAATATCGCGCGCGTATTTGCTCACCGTTTAGACCTACCCTGGACTACGACAAACATTTTTTTTTTTTTTTATGCTAGACAAGGCAGGTATTTTAAAACCAAAATCAGCTCAATCGGCCCAGCCGTTCTCGAGTTTTAATCAGACTAACGAACATCAATTCATTTTTATTTATATAGAAGATAGATACATAGATTATCTCATGCGGACTTCTTGAAAGAGCTATGAGACTATATCTCGGAGACAGGCAGGTGTAAAGACAACGTGTAAGGCAACATGATATTCGTGACCATTGTGATTGCAATTAGCACTCTCGATCATTATAACAAAGTTGAGTATCTTACGAGCCCATTTTCTTCTTTTCGGGTCAACAACAAACCTACACAGTGTCAGCCCAAAACTCCGCCACGAGAGTGGCGTTGTCAGCGGCACTCATCAAAATGGATTTAATTTACGAGCCCATTGACTTGGGCGTATTTGGCGCGCCACGCCACCGCCGTCAGGGAGTCCTCTCGCGAGTGAGCCACCTGCGAGTGACATGGCTCAGCCAGCAGTACTCACGTCGAGGCTGCAGTGGTAGAACTGTCCGCGCGCGCCGCCGCACACGAACTTGTCGCTGCCCGCGTGCCACGCCACCGCCGTCAGGGAGTCCTCTCGCGAGTGAGCCACCTGCGAGTGACATGGCTCAGCCAGCAGTACTCACGTCGAGGCTGCAGTGGTAGAACTGTCCGCGCGCGCCGCCGCACACGAACTTGTCGCTGCCCGCGTGCCACGCCACCGCCGTCAGGGAGTCCTCTTGCGAGTGAGACATCTTCAGGTGAAGCTGCTCCGTCTGCGAATGATATGAGATGAACCTTGTTACGAGACAGTCGCCAAATTACTACAGCCTACAGCAGCTCAGATCTACAACTCAATCGTCAATAAAACCCAACCAGTTAAGGAAGAAAAAATGGTTTATCTCTCATCTACAATCTTTGGAACCACAGCGGAATTGTATGCAAGAAAAAGTGTGATCTTTAAATTATACAATGTTTAACAGAACTAAGCAATCAAGACAATTTATTTCTCGTTCTGCAAATCCTTGAGAAGGCCTTAAATAATATAAGAAGAAGAAAAAGCTAGGGGAGGCCTTTGCCCAGCAATGAACGTCATTTGACTAAAATATAAAATGTTGGTGGTACCTGCATGTTCCATATCCAGAGGTCGGGGCAGTCCTCGGGCCCGGCGGCCAGCAGGAAGCGCCCGTCGGGGCTCCAGCTCACGAACGACACGCCGTACGAGTGCCCCTCCAGCGACTTCCTGCAGGATATCCCGGTCAATATGTCAGAAGGAGCTATAGTCTGGTCTGCGAGCGCGTAGATATTTGTCCAATGACCACAAGCTACCCATCCTTATCGCTCGCGCGTAATTATGTTGCTGTCGCGCTCGCAAATTCACTGCGGGCGCCCGCGCGCGAGCAAATTTTGCGAGTAAATTTTTGTGGTTGAAGATTCCGGATGAAGCTCGCTCCCACCTTCGGTCTGATCATCACTTTCTATCAAGTGAGATGCAGGTCAAGAAGAGCTTCCTCGTTATAAATAAGGTTTATACAAATACACCAAGGGTAAAGACTTGCCTAAACGTGAGACGTCTGGCGACAGGATCGAAGTCCCATATCATGACGGTGTTGTCCTTGGAGCCCGACGCCAGCTTGCTGCCGTCCGGCGACCACTTGCAGTACCACACCTCGTCGCAGTGCTCGTTTAGCACCTGCAAGCAAATACGTACACTGTGAGATAAAGAGAACATTAATAGACGAAGGACACCGATTAGTTAGATTGATGACCGATGCGTGGTGTAATAAACTATTAAGCTGAGCCTCAAGAGTAAGATCTGACCTAAATCCACTAAAAGATCTTATCTGGTTTAGTACCAAGCTGAAATGGTGGATTTTTATTTAATGCAGAGAGATTAAATCAAAGCTTTGACTTTTTAACACCATTTTTGGATCAATTCGTCTAATCTCCAGCGAGATTCTGGAATGAGCGACAGCTAGTACACGTCTCGGTATTGCAACTGTATGCATCGGCATTCTGATGCGGCTCTGCGGCAGCGCGCCGCCTGATGCCNGTCAGGGAGTCCTCTTGCGAGTGAGACATCTTCAGGTGAAGCTGCTCCGTCTGCGAATGATATGAGAAGAACCTTGTTACGAGACAGTCAACAAATTACTACAGTCTACAGCAGTCTTTTTCAACATTTTACATGACGCGACCCCCTAGCATGAAAAAAAATTTTGCGACCCCTCAACCGTTCGCTTTTTTTCATGCCTTATACAAAGATGTTGTAGGGAACGAATCCTTCAATCTATACAACATTTTTATGCATTTGCATAATTAGATTTCGGATAAATCTAACTTTTAAACTTCTCTGGTTTTTTTGCTGAGGTAGTTTTTACGACCTCTCGCGACCCTCCAGGGGGTCGCAACCCACAGGTTGAAAAACACTGGTCTACAGCATACAACCATTTAAGGAGTATTTTCTCTGGAGATCTTTAAATTATACAATGTTTTACAAGACATAACATGTTTTTTCGTTGTGCAAATCCTTGAGAAGGCTTTTGCCTGGCCATAAACAAAATTAATGAAAAAACTAGGGGAGGCCTTTGCCCAGCAATGAACATCATTTGGCTGAAACATAAGATATTGGTGGTACCTGCATGTTCCATATCCAGAGGTCGGGGCAGTCCTCGGGCCCGGCGGCCAGCAGGAAGCGCCCGTCGGGGCTCCAGCTCACGAACGACACGCCGTACGAGTGCCCCTCCAGCGACTTCCTGCAGGATATCCCGGTCAATATGTCAGAAGGAGCTATAGTCTGGTCTGCGAGCACGTAGAATTTCGTCCAATGACCCCAAGCTACACATCCTTATCGCTCGCGCGTAATCATATTACTGTCGCGCTCGCACACTCACTGCGGGCGCCCGTCGCACAGTCGCGACAGCAATATAATTACGCGTGAGCGATAAGGATGGGTAGCTTGGGGTCATTGGACAAAATTCTACGTGCTTACAGACCGGGCTTTAGTAAGACCTACGCCTACTATTCGTTAGCTTCTACATAAGATGCAAAGGTTTTCGACCACTTGACTCAGTCCTAGAGGTTGTGGAATCCATAACCAGTTGCGGCAAAAGTTTCTGGTTGGTTTAATTAGTGGTAGTGTAGGGCTAAGTTCGCCTGGTTAGCTACCACCATCTAACCAAGTCTGTCGCCATAACAACATTGTTAACAGCATGATTTGTTCTCAATACATTTTGTGTAAGTTAGTAAATTCTTGTCGTTGAAGATTCCGAATAAAGCTCGCTTCCACCTTCGGTCTGATCATCATTTTCCAGCAGGTGAGATGAAGGCTCTAACTTTCCTCGTTATGGCTAAAAAAGAGGTTTTATACAAATACACCAAGGGTAAAGACTTGCCTAAACGTGAGACGTCTGGCGACGGGATCGAAGTCCCATATCATGACGGTGTTGTCCTTGGAGCCCGACGCCAGCTTGCTGCCGTCCGGCGACCACTTGCAGTACCACACCTCGTCGCAGTGCTCGTTTAGCACCTGCAAGCAAATACGTACACTGTAAGATAAAAGGAAACATTTGTTGACAAGGGAGACCGATTAATTTTCTGCCGCATTCTTCAGTTCCGGGGACTTGACTACCCACACCAGGATGTGGTTGGCGTGGTGTACTATAATAAACTTATGAAACTTCAAGAGTGAATTGAACTAAACTTAGTGAAAAATCTTGATTCTGGTTTAGTACCATACCAAGCTAGAATGGTTGCTTTCCATCTAATAACGGAGCTTGCATCAACACTTTTACTTTTTAACACCGTTTTTGGATCAATGCAAATCTACCAGCGAGATTCTGGAATGAGTGACAGCTAGTACACGTCTCGGATATTGCAACTGTATGCATCGGCATTCAGATGCGGCTCCGCGTGGAAGCGGCAGCGCGCCGCCTGGTGCCGAGTGGACTGACGGTGGTCACCTGCAGCGAGTGTATGGGGAAGCGGTCGGGCTCGCAGTGGTGGTCGGCGAGCAGCGTGAAGGGCACGTGGTCGGGGCGCGGGTCGGCGCGCGGCTCGGCGTGGAAGCGGCAGCGCGCCGCCTGGTGCGCCGCGGCCTGCGCCAGCAGCGCCCGCAGCCGCGCCGGCGGCATCATCAGCGCCGGCGGCAGCGCCTGCTGCACGCACGCCAACACCTGCACGTTCANGGTCGGGGCGCGGGTCGGCGCGCGGCTCGGCGTGGAAGCGGCAGCGCGCCGCCTGGTGCCGAGTGGACTGACGGTGGTCACCTGCAGCGAGTGTATGGGGAAGCGGTCGGGCTCGCAGTGGTGGTCGGCGAGCAGCGTGAAGGGCACGTGGTCGGGGCGCGGGTCGGCGCGCGGCTCGGCGTGGAAGCGGCAGCGCGCCGCCTGGTGCCGAGTGGACTGACGGTGGTCACCTGCAGCGAGTGTATGGGGAAGCGGTCGGGCTCGCAGTGGTGGTCGGCGAGCAGCGTGAAGGGCACGTGGTCGGGGCGCGGGTCGGCGCGCGGCTCGGCGTGGAAGCGGCAGCGCGCCGCCTGGTGCCGAGTGGACTGACGGTGGTCACCTGCAGCGAGTGTATGGGGAAGCGGTCGGGCTCGCAGTGGTGGTCGGCGAGCAGCGTGAAGGGCACGTGGTCGGGGCGCGGGTCGGCGCGCGGCTCGGCGTGGAAGCGGCAGCGCGCCGCCTGGTGCCGAGTGGACTGACGGTGGTCACCTGCAGCGAGTGTATGGGGAAGCGGTCGGGCTCGCAGTGGTGGTCGGCGAGCAGCGTGAAGGGCACGTGGTCGGGGCGCGGGTCGGCGCGCGGCTCGGCGTGGAAGCGGCAGCGCGCCGCCTGGTGCCGAGTGGACTGACGGTGGTCACCTGCAGCGAGTGTATGGGGAAGCGGTCGGGCTCGCAGTGGTGGTCGGCGAGCAGCGTGAAGGGCACGTGGTCGGGGCGCGGGTCGGCGCGCGGCTCGGCGTGGAAGCGGCAGCGCGCCGCCTGGTGCCGAGTGGACTGACGGTGGTCACCTGCAGCGAGTGTATGGGGAAGCGGTCGGGCTCGCAGTGGTGGTCGGCGAGCAGCGTGAAGGGCACGTGGTCGGGGCGCGGGTCGGCGCGCGGCTCGGCGTGGAAGCGGCAGCGCGCCGCCTGGTGCGCCGCGGCCTGCGCCAGCAGCGCCCGCAGCCGCGCCGGCGGCATCATCAGCGCCGGCGGCAGCGCCTGCTGCACGCACGCCAACACCTGCACGTTCATGTATATGGAATTTTACAGTCACGATCCAGAAAGACGGAATAAAGATTGCTTCTTTAGAAGATTCACCAGGACAGAGTATGAAGATTCACCGGTCATTTATTTGTTATCTTGCGCCATCAACATATGTAATATACAGGATGTTAGGTAAATGAGTATATGAGCCGACACTAGCCCATGTTAACATGGGCATATAAATGGTATGGTGAAGTCAGAAATTTGATATCATCATTTTAATTTTTTTTTATTTTCATACAAAATAAATTTTATAAAATCCGATTTGTATGAAAATTAAAATAATTAAAATGGAGGTATCAATTTTCTGACTTCGCCATACCATTTTTATGCCCATGTTAACATGGGCTAGTGTCGGCTCATATACCCATTTACCTAACACCCTGTATAGGCGAAGAAGATCGGCAAGACCTGGAGTGAGATCAAGCGAGAAGCTCAAGACAGAACGAGATGGAGGACTGTTGTGGACGCCCTCTGCCCCATCTAGGGGACATAGGACCATAAGTCAAGCCACCAACATAGGCATTGATGGTAAGACGAAAAGAACATCTGTTCACAGTTTCAAAATAAAAATCAAAATTTTCTTTATTTGTTTAGACTTATTAAATTAGTACTTGCAAATCGTCAAATGCTCTTATGGAGCCATACATGTCTCATTCTTTTTTTGCCCTACCAGTGCTTCGAGACAAACATTTGGCAAGTGCAAAGTTTAAAAAGATAATCAGCAACTGGACAAAAACAAGAATTTCACGAATAGCAGATAAGTATTTTCGAAGACTGACCCCAGCGCGGGCGGCGCCGCCGGCCCAGGCCGCGCGGGCACGCAGCTCGCCGGGGTCGGCGCACATCATGAGCGCGGACAGGCGGTGCACGCGCGCCGTGTCGAACTGCAGCGGCGTGAGCTCGTTGCGCAGCACGTGCAGCGCGTCCAACGCGCGCCCCGCCTCCAGGTGCTCCAGGTACTTCTGCTCCAGCACCACGAACTTCATCTCCTGCGGGGGATACACAGTCAGACGACAGAACTCATAAAACTCATAAAAAACTCATTTATTTTTGCAGATAGGCTTTTAAAAAGCGTGTATGGTCTATTGCTAGCTATACACCTTTCTTGATTATGTTGATTCTGAAGAGAATGATTCAAACTCCTTGTTGAATGTAGATATTTATTACTTGATTACGTATAAAGGTACAATAATTGATTAACGAGAGTCGCGGCCACTTGTTTGTTAGGCTGCTAAATCGAACACTAAACTTAAAATAATGTAAAACATAAAATATAAAATTGGGTCAGCCGCGCATAGCAATATATTGCTGATGTTTGCAATTGTACGGTGACGCACCGTACAAAGCGCTTTTACACGTCCCAATATTAACCCTACCACTGCTTCGGAACAATAAATAGACATGTTGACACCACCAATCAATTGACGTACTTTTTAAAACTGTTAAAACGAAACTCTCCCATAGATTTTGTATGGCACTACAAGCAAGTGACGTCACTATTTTGTTAACTCAAATAAACTACTTTTTTCAATTACAATGCGACCAAAAATCGTAATGTACAGGTAATTTAAAAATAAATTAAGTTTTTTCGTCCAGAATGAAGTGTCTTTTTAGAAAAGTTGTGATTTCGAATTATTGAGGAATGGTGTCAAATTGTCAATGGGCCAGTGCTGAGAAGAAGCAGCGCAAGAAACTCAGTCACTATTGATGATGATGATGAACGATGACGCACGCACGATATATCTGTAGAGCTAAGGCCATAATTAATGCCTCTCCTGTGAGGGGACAAACACAATCAGATGATAGAGGAAAGCTCGGCTCACGATTGTTGTTACACCGTTTACTATTAAATTACAAAAAACTTCATCAAAGCAACTCCTGAAAAATGCATTTAACATAACGGATCTATGGTTTACTTACATAAATGTCGCTAAGATATTTAAATGGGTCATTCTTGACGTGACACAGCCTTGTATTATCTAATTAGTAATCGATATTGCTATTCGGCCACCTTGAGAAGAGTGGCGGAGGCTACATGGGACAATGTTGCTGGCGATCAGCAAGAATTGACAACGGTCCTTGCACGCGCTTCTCCTTTGGTAAAAATAAAAAAAATCTTTCATAGCAGGTTAAGAAAGATAGTTAAGATGTTGCAATACCCTAGCAGGGTCCATGTTTTGGGTCTATGTCTATATGTAAGATCTTTTATATACCAACATTGGAGCAATAAAGAATTTGAAGGACTTCTTGGCGGAAATCTGAAGCGTCATGTTAGCGGTTTTGTTTTATTTCCTCAAATTCGTGTTTGGGCGACTATTAATGTGTAATAATGGTGGATTATTAACCATTGAGTGTTCGTGAACGTGGATGAGTGTGGGCAAGTGAAGCAAAACAGTGCATCGTGATTCTTCTGGTTCTCTCAAGTTGTCCATAGGAGGTCTCAGTAAAGCACCACAACTTTACTGAGACTCAAAGGGTGGGAAGGGGTATCATCTATCATCCTTCATTATATCATTACTTGATCTCATTTTGTAACTTGTATCACATAAATACTTGAAAATGGCACAAATCAAGTCGACCTCGACGTGTATTGCCAACATCATCAAAAAAGAAGAAGAAGAATTTGAATTTGGACTCACGGCCAGGTTGTGGGGGTCGACGTGCGGCGAGTCGCGCAGCAGGTCGTGCAGCGCGCGCAGGTCGTGGTCGGCCTTGACCCAGTCGCCGGCCAGCACGTGCTGCCGGAACGTGGCCGCCGCCGGGTGCTCCAGGTGCAGCCCCGACTCCTCCATCAGGAGAGCCGCGCTGCGTCTGCGAATCGTATCCACTATTGTACGAACAACTACATCATTTTCGGACTGTATACTTTTTCAAGGCTGGAAGTTCTGGAGTGGAGGCCGCGTACTGGAAAACGCACGTGACGACATCATAAAGGTAGCAGGAAGGCGCTGGATGCAAGGCGCTACCAACCCGTGGAAAGCATTGGGGGAGGCCTATGTTCAGCAATGGACGTCTTATGGCTGAAATGACGACGATGATAGTACTTTTTAAAGTTATAAGAAGAACAAGTAACTTGCTAAATAATAGATTTCCTTACATATTTTGTTAAATCGTGAAAATCCATGCATAATATTACCTCTAGCCACTGCTATGATTTCTCGTTGTTGATGACTTAGTCATAATAGGTACGATAAATATGTTCCGCGAATTTTATTTGCAAAAAATTCGCTATGTCATACGACGATGATTAACGAGTTTTCAGTTTTAAGCGTCACCCTGTCCCCGTGCCAATAACCGAACGCGTGGCGTGAACCGAGCAGGCGGTAATAAATAATTTACACTGCATATTGCGTGCATTCGGACTGGACAACTGACACATAGGTAATTGCTAGCGGGTTCTAAGTAAACATCGTTTGAGTGGCGACTCGGCGGCGTAAAGTAAGTTTGTTTGCTCTGCCGCGCGGCGTGAAGGCCCAGTGAACCGATTGATTGCAGCGCACACGCAACCTCCGCCGTGCGTGATTGGCTCTAACTTGAACTTCATATTACTACATCTAAAACTAAATCTTTAACTGTACCTCCTAGATAGCAGGGGCAGTTCAAATAGCGACATAGTAGTTCAGAGGACAACACAACGAGGCATAGAGTTAGTACCGTTGTGATAGATCTCGTGTTGATTGAATTCATTATTACGAAGGAATATACATGGGCGTAGATTCCGGAAGTTGTATAAAGTATGTATACTTTTGTCATAAAAGTGTCTAAGAGCAGCAGAGGATCCTGTTAAAAAAAAATCCCCCCTGAGTCACACTGCCACTTAAGACTTGATTACAATAAGAAGATGGGGGAAGGGCCTTTAGAAATCGTTTTTCAAGTTTAAATTTGACATGTTTTTAAAGTTAAACGATCCGTTACGCTATTACGCATAATATTACAACAAGCTAGGTCCAAACAAGAAATCATTAACTTTAGACTCTTATCAAATGTTAGTAATTAGAACCACGGTATCATTTCCTTTAACAAAAAAATATTTAGTAGGTACACCCGTTTCGTTATATTATTNATATTATAGTTTGGGTATTAGTCCATGACAAGGCGTATTTCATTTTTAATTTAATTTGGGTACTTTTTGGGGCAAAACATTATCACGTTAATATCGAGTGGTTAGTGAGCGACTCCCGGCCCAGAGATCCTAGGTTCGAAAGATAAGAGCTCACTTTGTGATAATATCCGATAAAGTGTAATGTTTTTGGGATTCCTAGCTTAGTAGGACGATAGAAGTGTTTTAATATTTACATTGATCTGTTTTTAGAGACTATCGTAGCCGTTCGTCATCACAACGTCGATTTATCGCGGTTTAGATCAGAATTCTTAAAGGTTTCGCCTAACTACTTACTAAGTACTTTAAATTTCAAGTAAATTGAGGTCACGAGAACATCGTACGTGTTGATGACGGTTGAAAAAGTGCATTATTCGCTCGTAACGTAACCGTAACACGGCGACACACGTGTGCTACCGCCTAGTTCCTCGCGACCATGCCAAACCCTAATTACACTGCTAATGTCGTGATTGTGCATCGGTTTCAGTTTTGTTTTTATTGAATTTAGTTTTTATTGCCGAATAATGTGAATCAATTTGCGGTAATGATGCAATAATATCAAGCACAATGATTGAGAGACTTTGTTTAATAGTTGTTTGGCTGTAATCTGTATTCACTCATGCATTGTAAATGCACTTATATAAAACAACCATTTTAGTTTGCAAGCATTGCAAGAAAAAATATTCAAATTAAAATTATGAAAATTAATCAATGCTATAAATAAATCTTAATTTAATTTTAATAGTTTATTTTCCCTACACAAACAATGTAACAGTTTAAAATATTTAAAACTATGATTAAAGATTTATTGAATTTAAGTTAAGCCTGATGATAATGGTTAAAATAAATTAACTTTGAATCATGTAGGTACTTAATCAGGGGCATAAAAGTTTAAAGCATTCCCACTAAATCTTAAAACTAGGTAGGTATCTTTCATCAGATTACAACAGGGCTATAATATCTCTGATAAGATGTTCTATCATTGTTCATTTATTAATGTTTTTGTCATTTACAAAAAATAGGTCATACACATAACTAAATAAAAAGAAAAATAAAAGCAGTGTAACTATCAAATGATTTGTATAATTCAGAAATAATTAAAAATAATTGTCACTAAATATTTTCTTCCCATTTAAGAATGTGCTTCTAAGATGCCTCATGGTGTAGTAAATTCATATTTGATAGGAAGATAATGCATTTTATGCATTCAATAACATGCATTCAAGAGTGCAATGGCACTAAAATTTAAAAAAATAGGTCCTACTGAGTATTTGTTTACAAAAAAGAAAAGAGACTTTGATTAATAATTAAAAATCCTGATAATTATTATAATTTGTTGAATGAAACATATTATTGATAACTAACTTGCACTGTATAGTTATAATGTATAGTTGTTATCTGCAATTACTACTTAAGTAAGTAATGATAAAATAATCGAAATTTTATGAAGATGTCAACTAAATAACTACTGCAGAAATTACACACCAAGTGTGTATGATGATGACAAACAAACTTTAGTAAAACAGTTAAAATAAAATAGTAAAAGATGAGATGATCAATATGAAAATAGATTTCTGTAGCTTGGAGTGATTGCACCTTTGTGTGTAGACAGAATAGGGTTCAAAAGTCAATGACCTTATAGGTCACCATTTCATGAAAACCAGACATCTTTGTAAACAAAGCCTGAAGACATCCCAATAATTTAAGATGATTGCTAACTAGCAAGATACATTTTGTACAGAATATTAAACATAAAAACAAAATGCTTTAGCAAAACCTACTTGAGACACATAATGTTAAGTAGCCTTGCACTACACAGGAAATCAATATTTCAAGTGTTACCACATGATGCCAATGACAAACCAATTAGTTGATTATGACTAGCAGTTTCATTAAAAAACAATCTTGTGTGAGAGATTAGCATGTCATGACAAAGGAAAAAACAACATCATTGCCACTTGTTGCTATGCTAATGTGAATTAGACAAACACCAAGGCAAACATGCTCAAAGGAAAATAACCAGCATGTAAGGAAAATAAACAAACAAAAATCAGATGGTCAGATCAGATTTTCATATGGTTTTCAAGACAATGGCAACAATGACAGTTGTCTTTCTCCATTGTTATTTAAATTGGCTTTGCACAAAATTAGATCATGGCTACCGCGGCATGGAAGGTCAGGTCATAGAACTCCAGCATTCAGGTCAATAACACCAGCGGTGAGAGACCGGGGCAAGGTCAGACGAGTACTCACTCGAGTCCAACAGAGATGAGGTGCTGGCCGATGAGGCGCACGATCTCCTGGTCCGTCTGGCTCATGCGCAGGCCCGGCGGCTGCACGTCGCCGTTGCTGGCGGCCGCGTCGCCGTTGAGGTGGTGCGGCGCGCCGTTGGCCACGGGCTGGTGCGGCTGGTGCATGGCTGCGGGCTGGGCGGGCGGCGACAGCCTGCGGGTCCGCTTGCGCGGCGGCCGGTGGCCTGCGCCCTCGTCCCCCGACCCCGAGTCAGTGGAGGCCAGGCTGGCCCGCTCCGCTGCGCGTCCTCGCCGCGCTCCCCGGAGCGCCGAGATCACGAGCGCGCCCGCCGCATCGGACTCGACGCTGCGGCCTCGTGACGTCACGGCCGCCCGCTACGCACTGCCCGCACTCAATAGACCATCTCTCTTTGTTCGTCGCTGCAGAATGATGCTTCTCCGTTGTTCTCTCGCGACGCCTTCTCGTTCTCGATCCGATGCTGTCGACTCGACGATGGGACTCGGGCAGTCGCGCAAGGCTTCGATCGCAGGTCAAGTTTGCAGTGCTCACCAGCGTACACAGAAATCAGCTGAAAATGAAACGACAGCTGTCTTTCTTCGCTAATGCAACATCGCCCCTTCTTTCCGTTTCGTATGACGTTCGGTCCCGTTCGGTTGCGCATCGGGTAAAATCGTGTTGTTGATGAATGACCTCAAAAATAAAATCAACGCATTCTTTTTATTGCAATGAAACAATGTAACTTTTTAAAAGTTAATAAAACATTAATTTAATAACAATTTTTACGTTTGTCAATCATACAAAAATATAAACACCGTAAATTGATAAAAATGGGTAAAAAGTTTTACCTAGAACATAAAACTGCTCTGTGATTTAACTATTTTAGAAAACTAACTAAATTAATTCATGTGTATGTATGACACTTTTTTTGTAATATACAAATTCCTTTTTATTTTAATTGACTGAAAATGTGGAAAATACATTGTGAATTGTGTGCATTAGTTTGTGAATCGGAACACGGAATTGTTGGACAGTAGACATGTTTACAAAGTTAGTTAAACTGATATAATTTCTTCTTAGGGAATTTAATTTTTTGAGGAGCTTTTACGATCTATATAATAAAAAATATAATTTTTAAAATAATGCGAACCTCTAAAATATTTTAAGAAAATAATTGCATTGTTTATAACTTATAACATGAAACTCTGTGAAACACCTATTTTCATTTTGCACTATCTTTGTAAACACTTTTCTAATGTCAAAAATGTGAAAATGTTGTTGTGTGTAGTGTAGAAAGGACTAAATAATTAAAATTAATATAATTGTACCGAAAACAATGGAATTTATTATGTACAAATTAATATTACTATATATGCTGATTCGGTCCACAAATTTACAACTACTTATTAATGTAAAAAATCAGGTAAACTTAAGTATTTTCCTATAGTGTTGAACATGTATTTTTATTTAGTTTAGCAAAAGAATAGATTCTAAAATAGTTTATAAAAATTAATCTTGCTCTATATTAAAATTTTGCAATGTTTTCAAATGATAAAGCAGAATATCTATCACATTATCATGTGCAAACTTTCACAGAATTAATAGTGCATTTAATTAAATATTCAATTCATGAGTATTTTAAATAATATTAGTAATTACATATTTTTTTAGATGTTTACTACAAATAAACCTAATCTTAATTTGTTAATAAAATAGATTTTTGGCCACCTGGCTGCAGTTCTGAATCCTACCTGAGGCAGTGTTAGCAGAAGCGTAGCGTACCTTGCCGGGGCCGGGACCCCATATAAAAATTTGTTTGGGGGCCCTTAGGAAGGGTAAAGATTTCTCAAAAAAGAAAAAAAATGTTTGCATCTATCTGTCACATTTTCAAAAACAATTCAAATTAAATATTAACTCTCCTTGCCTTTTTTCGGCAAAAAATAACGAGTGGTTGAGTTGTCGTGGGTCGAATACGGAATAACCCGTACAAAGTTTTCATGATTTTATTAATTTTTGCTTACGCACCTTGGGGGCCCCCGTAGGCCGGGGGCCCCGTATAATTGATACGGCAGATACGGCGGTAGCTGCGCCCCTGAGTGTTAGTTAAGTTTATATTATTTAGACACCATGAAGAAACTGTTTCTTTGGTGAAAGGTGATTGGTGCTATTACATTCATACATTATGTCCGCAGGGTGGTGATGTTATGCAGGAGAACATAACAGCAAATGTGTCCGAGGACACAGTCACTCTTGAATTTCTGCGATTAGATGGAGTTTTTGTATCACAGCTGGTTGATTTTACAAATGTATGTATGAAGGTTTTCATTTATTAAATCATTCTTTACAAAACTAATGAATGAGGAAAAATTGCAGAGAAATTCAGATAATTTATTTGATTGTATTGTAATATTTAGCAGTGTTCACATTCATTATTTTTAATTGGATAGTTGATACCATTTTAATCAATTATTCCGAGGCAAAACTTATCTAAATTATTCAAATAACTCACATTTATTATTTCAGCTACTACTAGAAACTAATATTATGTTAAATTAATTATTGGTTTGTACAAAATTAGCTTATACTGATGTATGAAATAATGTTGTAGGAGGTTGAAGCAATGAAGGTTGTGATCCCGGGCGAGGAGGAGCTGGGCCAGGCGGGGCACCAGGCGCTGTGCTTCCTCACGCACGCCGCGCAGGCCGACTTCATCGCGCCCGACGCCATGGCCAAACTCAGACAGGTAAGAAAACTACTGCTGATTTTTTATTACATTTACTAAAACAAGATTATCAGATAACAGCTACATATTTTTTAGACTTATCAATATACAAAGCCTTTGTGATACTGTTTACATACTCCCCTATTTAATAAGTTGGCTACTTACATCCTCTTTTGCCATAGTAAAATATACTGGTGTATTTAGATAAATATGGTTTCCTCTAAATATTCTTTCATCCATTTTCTTCAAAGACCCATTTTTTCTTAAAATTATGTCTAGTGAGTAGTGTCCGACCGAAACTAGTTTTACGACCGAAACCGAAACCGAAAACGAATTTCGGCAACGGTGTCTATTTCGGCCGAAACCGAAACCGAAACCTCCTTACAAGGCTCATATTTTGAGGGAAAAATAAAGAAAACGTTATTATAATCAGGCAGTCTTTATTGTTTTCTTTTTAAATTGCATTAAAATTGAACTTATAAAGCGCCTTTTTACTCTAAAAGGTGTCAAATTATGTATTAAAAAAGAAAAAGAAGGATTTATACTCTAGATTTTTTTAATTACTCGCAATATTCAGGACATCTACATAACCCGTCCTTTGGTCGGGTCTTTTCTCAAAACAAAATTGATAGTACGTAAGTTAGTATCTAGGTGTAGGTACTTGCCACTTGGATACCTTGGTGATAAATACTAAAATGAACTTTGAAACTCTGAATCCATAATATTATCACCATGAAATGCACTATAGTCATTACTAACTACCTAACTAAAGTTTGTTTACATATGGCGTTTGCGAACCAAAAAAGATTTAGTTAGATTAAACTTGATTATACATCAGTCATATTGAATATTTTTTTATGTTTACTACCCGCTCTTATGTTATAACGTCATAAAACGAGATAAAACTTACCAAATTTAAAATAAATCACTCGAAAACTCGCCACCACAACAAAACAAAACTAACAGCAAACAAACAAGCGAGCGAATCACGACATTGGCTCTGATCGGATTCATAATCATCATCAAAATCTGTAATACAGATTTTCTTAAAATCTACAATAGGCACCAGCTCTCACAATGCTAATCTATAGTTTAACAGATATATTATACGAAATGTTTTTCCTAAATGTTGTAAGAGAAATAAATAAATAAATTATTCACTCATTCAACGCGCCGAACATGACCGATAACAGTGCGGAAACTCCCGAATGCACATTCGGTTTCGGTCGTAGTTTCGGCAAGTTTGCCGCCGAAAACGAAACTAAACCGAAACTCGTGTTTTTACCGAAACTCAACCGAAAACGAAACCGAACATTCGGTCGGACACTACTAGTGAGCTTTTCAAATGAATTGTCTTTTAACTTGTTGATTAATCAATGGTTATTCATAACCCTTTAGAAAAACCCCGGCACTGTCCGTGTGGCTGAGGAAGACAAAGGCTGGCGGCAGACGACGGCGACCGCGTGGGCCGAGCGCGCCGCCAGCGTGCTGTCGCCGCCCGCCGCCCGCCATTGCCATCGCGCCGCCGTCTTCCTGCGCGCCGCCGACCTGGCGCGCTGGGCGCCGCGCCCGGGTATGTACACACTACATCCCGGTCTGTGAGCACGTACAATTCTGTCCAATGACCCCAAGCTACCCATCCTTATCGCTCGCGCGTAATTATATTGCCGTCGCGACTGTGCGACGGGCGTCCGCAGTGAGTGTGCAAGCGCGACAGCAACATAATTACTCGCGAGCGATAAGGATGGGTAGCTTGGGGTCATTGGACAAAATTCTACATGCTCACAGACCAGACTATACACGATCGCACACAAGGACGTGTGTACACATCAACATAGCATTTTTTCAAATAATTTTGTAGGCGGTTCCCTGCATGAATATAAGCTAACTAGCAACAGACCAACTACTACCAACCAACAACAAAGATAGTAAGACATCGTATGCGAGATGCGAGCAACATACGCCCACAACAATCCACACCCCTGACGACCACGACCACTCTGTCAAGAGTGTAACCAGAGTAAATACAAATGAGTAGGTCATCTTCATAGAAACGCACGGGCGCGGTTTGTATGTCAGCGTGCCAATATGTATGCGGCGCGCACGCACCCACTGACAAAAATTAGCGTGGATAGCGGGGAGCCAGTCGTGGTTGCGCCGAATTGTAAAAATGTAACGAAGGCCTGTCTTCAAGATAGAGTGGATATGGTAGATAGATCTGATAGCCACTGACTTCCAACATTATTCATCTTTGGCTTGCGTAAAAGAAAGCAAGTAACAAAAAATGTTGTTAATATAAAATAATTTCTAAGAAATAAACTAAACTGGCCTACGAAAGTACGGTTTTTGTTAATGATTGATCACTCAATGCCAGGCTCGGAGCAGCAGTCGCTGGCGTCGCTGGTGTCTCCGTTCCCGGAGCGCGCGCTGTCTGCGGAGGGCGAGGCGGGGGGCGCGCGGGGCGTGCCCGCCTGCGCCGGCGCCGCGCAGCCTGCTGACGAGTGCATCTGCCATCTGGAGGTTGGGCTGGAAAACTATTACACTTTATCCACATCTCTAAACCCACATCGCGATGGCCCGAAGATTCGTGCTGTTGTGATATGTGTTGTCAAGTCAATACTTCGGGGCGTTTTTGCATAGTCGCAATGTTCATTCAGCTGTCGCCGGAATGTTACCGCAATGTGTGTGGCCCACATACACCCTGGTAAAATTAACGGGGGCTATCGTTTTAGCGCTCTCCAGTTGGCGCCACTGTAGAGTAAGGTCCTGTCACTTGCTAGTAGCGAAGACAGTGGCACCAACTGGTGAGCGCAAAAGTGGTAGAAGAACTATCGCATTTGCACTCATCAAGATGGCGCCACTGTAGAGTAAGGTCCTGTCAATCGCCAAGGGTGCCAACTCTTAAGTATAAAAACGATAGCCCTCATTGTTTTTATCCCAGACATTCCCATTCAGAACTTGTCCCAAATTTTATGTTGCAGGTGTGCGTTAACTGGTACCCGTGTGGGTTAAAATACTGCAAAGGCAAGCCCCAGGGCGGGCTGAGCTACCGCTGCGGCATCAAGACGTGCCGGCGCTGCTACCGGCACCTGTTCTACACCGCGCGCCGCGACGCCTGCCCTCGCACGTGACGCCGCGCGCCGCGCCGCCCGCGCGACCCTGTCCTGTGCCAAATACTCTACCACCTACCCTTAAGCATAGCTTTGTTATACTTTTATAAACGCCACCGTGAATGTTGCGACAATACAAGCTTTACATACTTTTGTAAATATTGTTAATAATTTATATTATATTGTAAGAGCAAAGTAAAATATTTTATAATGATGAAAAACATATTTCATTGCCGCTCCGATAATTTTAAAAATGTAAACTATGTACAATATTTTATTTGATGCAATACCAAAAAATTTAAAGATTGTGAACAGGACTTCCAATAAAATTCTATCACTGATTCAGGATTCAGGTGCACTATTCACTTGAGGCTTTTGTGAACAACTGCAATACAAATGCAATATTGGTACAGATTATTTATTATCTTGTAAATCTCTAAAAGAACTACATTTTTCAAGTAGTACATAGTATATTTAATGCAATGGCACCATTTATAGAAATGTGTACAAAAATGCAGTTAATCAAGTTCAAAAGGAAAGCAAGTACTGTTACGATTTAGGATTAACCTTTTCAGCACCACGTCAAATACAAAATCCATCACTCTGATGTCACACTTGATAAATTATGATATCAATATAATCATTGTACTCAATTAGCCTATTCTGACATCATTTTTAAGGTGGATTAGTCAGTTGTTGGTGGTCAACCTGATGTACACATGTATCCATCATCTTCATTGGCGTTGAAAAGGTTAATTTAATGAAGGAGTGTAATAAAGTCAACACAATAGAATTACAACTTTATATTAATTATACCATTCGTTTTGTACAACTTTAATCTCTACCTAAACTATTTATGGTAAGTCAATAGCATCCTGGGAACGGCTCATGTCTGTTTTTGCGGAGAACAAATTTGATTTTTCTCTCCATATCTTCATTGTAAATAGCTTTGCACCTTTCGTGATTTATTCGCCGTCTCGTCTGAAATAAACGAAGTGCATCTTTGTAAAAAAATATTTCTGGTTATGGTTTTTGTATCACTGTTTTTGCAGATTTAGAAAATATTGAATTTGACTTATTTTACAAATTGAACTTAATTGATTTGGAGGGCTACATTACCTGGAAGGGCTTTTCATAGTATCTGGTCAGCCTGAACTGTTCCAAAATGCCCTCTTTTCCTAGGATTCTGTTTATGAGCCTGCAGGCATCATCGACGTTATTATTTTGTACGAACACCGTGCGCGCTATGAACGGTGGGTGCCTGTTCGCCAGCAACCGCGCTGTTATGAACATTATGATTTGTTAAAATCGAGTTTTTTCGAAATAACTTGTTATGAAACAGAAAGTGAGAAGTGAGGTTAGAGCAGTTGACTGACAGTAATGACAGCATATTTTTTTTTTTACTGTATGTACTTGATTATGAAGCAATGGAAAAAGATAAAGCACTGCCTCGTATTGATACGTATTTCTGATAAAAAAGTAACAAAACCATCACTCGCGTCGCGAACATACTTTTAGAAAAGTTACAAAAATAATCAATAATCGCTTCATATAGCGGAAGTAAGCGTGTCCTATATTTTTTTTTTTCAGGGAATTAAATGGAATTATTCCGATTCGATTGTGATACGATAGTAAATTAGCCGCATTATATTCATAAATTCCTTGGCCTACATGATAGAAAAGTAAACTTCATTTCCGTCTGGCCGCCCGCCATTTTCGGCGCCATTCTCTTTGACGCCGCGCGGACGTTACAACGGATTTAGTTTAAATTTTATTTTACCATAATCGAAGTACCGGCAATATGGCAAACGACAGCGATATCAAGTCACTAATGTCGCTCTCCTCCAAGTCGGAGGGCAGCACAGCGCCACAGACGCGGTCACGTTGGCGGAATCCCCCGCTGCACGAGCGCTGCACCATGCCCGACATGGTGAAGATCAAGGAGGCGTTCCAGGCCGCCTACCGCAACGTGCTGCTGCCCAACGAGTTCCGCACGCTGCTGAGGCAGCTGCTCAACGTGGAGTACGACGACGACGAGTTCAAAATACTTTTTATGAAGGTCAGTTGAAGCTACCCTCACATTTTTTCGTGTTCTAACGGTTCGCGTTTTCATTTCATAACTGCATTTTTTGGAGTTTTAACCCGTTTACATTAAATAATGGTGTGTAATTCCAATTATTGGATAGATTTATTAAAGAATTCATACGCAACATACTGATTTTTTTAAACTTTGAAACTAACTACCCTCTTTTGAATGACTATAAAAGTGGGTGTGATAGGCAAGTGTACGGTAGGCTAAAGGTTCGGTCAAACCGACGCGTGCAGCCTGCGTGCGTGATGGCGATGGTGATCAGATGTCGTGTATGAATTTGTAGCGATATGAGTTCCCATCAACGCGCCCTGTTGCCATTACCGCGAGCTGCACACGTTGGTTTGGCCGAAGCACAAGTAGGTGTGATACCCGCATTTTTTTTTACCTAACGTCCGTTAGATCAACACGAACCGTAACGGCGAGATCGACTGGGACGAGCTGGTGTCGCACCTGCTGCTGGGCTACTTCGCGAACGACCCCGAGAACCAGCGCGCGTCGCTGCAGGCGCCCATCATGGGGCTGCCCACCGTCATGCGCTCGCAGCACCGACACCCCATCTCCAGGATCTGCTTCTGCCCCGACGTGTCCAAGGTACGATCATCATTTACCGTTACTGGAGTGACTAGGCATGGGCTACGTCTGGTTTTCTCTTCATGTTCTAATAGTGCCGCTATATTTTAGTGTACATTTTTTTAACGGTTTCAACAAGTTTAGCGGACCTACCCTCATAATTTTTTTATCGGTGTATTATGGGTAGGTATTGCTATTTTTCGTGTAAATTTTTTTAACGGTTTCTACAAGTTGCGGACCTACTCTCATAATTTTTTATCGGTGTATTATGGGTACCTACCCATTTGCAATTTTATTGCTATTTTTAACCGACTGCAAAAAAGGAGGAGGTTCTCAATTAGTGTCTTTTATTGTATGTTACCGCAAAACTTTCCAAATTTTTTTTTTGTTCGATAGGGTAGGTACATGTACGTATTTATACACTGTATACCTAATGATCACGTCGGGCGTATTGATACACTGTATACGTAATGATCACGTCGGGCGTATTCATACACTGTATAGGTAATGATCACGTCGGGCTCACCAATGTACGTATTTATACACTGTATACCTAATGATCACGTCGGGGTCACCAATGTACGTTATTTTTATATACCCGATGTACGTAATTATATTAATATACGTTATATTCAGGTATATTATTGTTAAGTCCACAAAACGTACGTCAGAAGGTTGGAACAGTAAAACATGTGATTTCTTTAAAGGTGTATTTGCGACTAAAATAAAACAGGCGGGCTCAGCCGCCGACACATACAAGGAACAGTATAACTATTGTTTTCTATTGTTGATTGTATTGGGCAATGATGTGGGAACGCAGGACGCTACTTAATACGCTCTGTTCATTCATGGAGTTAATTTATTACTCAGATTAATGTGTACCTACAGTACATATTCCGGAGGTGGTCCCATTTGTCACCAAATCAAGGTCTGATGATGGGATCCTAGGGAAATCGAGGGCAACCTTCAAATTTTATAGGCACTTTATATCGTTTTTCACTTTTTTTCTTAACTTATTCAAGTAATTGCGTTTTGGTTTCGATTTCTCCCTGTACTACGTGTAGGACAGAAGGACGGACCCTATGCAGGGCACGTACATAACGGCGAGTCGCGACGGCATGATCAACTGGTGGTCCCTCGACATGACCTTGTTGAGGACTGCTTTTTCGTCCAGTCGTAAGAATTTTCTTCTTCATATTTGTGTGCGTTACCCCAGCAAAAGGTTTCTCTTTTTTTTTTTAAGAATTTGATAGTGAAAATAATTAGTGTTGTGTATGTATATGCGACCGAAAGCAGCTGTATTTAAGAAAAACTTTTTTTGCTCGGGTAACGTTACTGCAGCAATAAAAACCTGTTGCGTCGAATAAAAATTGTGGGCGTATTTAAACCAACTAGGGCTTATTTCATTTTTCACAGCAACTAGGTAACATTTTGCTGGGGTAACGTACACCTATTTCGTGTGTAACTTAGCTCATATTGCAACAGTGTGACTTATGTGCCATTTTTTCCGAATTTATTTGCTAAAAATATAAATAATCTTCAATTATTATTTTATGTAGTTTCGTTTTTCATTAATTATACGACTTAATAGTTATACAATCTTATACTGCAGATTTATTCACTGTGGATACAAGCCTATTGTAATAAGTTTCGAACCCATAATATTTTTAATTCGTTCCTCCATTATTTAACCACACGCTGCACGCATGACACTTGCGTTGTACTTGTGCCCGCGAGCAGCTCACCTCAAGGTGCGCACGACGTGGGTGACGGACATGGTGTGCATGCCGGACGTCAACATCATCGTCACCAGCTCCACCGAGCGCGACCTGCGCTTCTACGACTGCACCGCCAAGACATTCACGCTCAAGATCGTCATCACCAGCTGGGAGTACATGGTGAGTTGTTACCTGGTATTATTATCTTTTTTATTTTGTCATTAAAGTTTATTTCGATTTATGTTTTTGCAAGATTTGATTGATTTTTTGCCTCATAAACGTTGTTGCTAAAACTAATTCAAAGTTTACCTACTAAACCCTCACTTACTTACCTATCATATGCTCATTAACATTTGAGGCAACGCCGAGCCATAACGTTAACGTGTTTTCATGAGTTATGAGCGCCTTATCCATCAATCTCAAATTTATGGTAACAAGAATTTTGTTTTCATAGGGGTCACTTAAAAATTAGGGGTTGATGGTGAAAACGGGCATTATTGTCGCAAATATTATGCTAATGCAGGATTATTTTTTGCTATTAAATATTCTCATTTTCAACCAATAACTTTGTTGGCTGGTTGTGCCCCAGATCTGCACGATGTACTACCACTTCCACCAAGACGAGAACGAGAAGTGCATGCTGATCTGCGGCGACGTGGGCGGCAACGTGCGCGTGCTGCTGTTCTCGCCCGTGCAGCGCGGGCCCTTCCGCAACGAGGCCGGCCGCGCGCTCATCCAGCTGCGCCACGTCGACCTGCAGCGGAAGGTGTGTGTACCTACTGTTGTGTTGCGGCAACGTTCGCGTGCTGCTGTTCTCGCCCGTGCAGCGCGGGCCCTTCCGCAACGAGGCCGGCCGCGCGCTCATCCAGCTGCGCCACGTCGACCTGCAGCGGAAGGTGTGTGTACCTACTGTTGTGTTGCGGCAACGTTCGCGTGCTGCTGTTCTCGCCCGTCCAGCGCGGGCCCTTCCGCAACGAGGCCGGCCGCGCGCTCATCCAGCTGCGCCACGTCGACCTGCAGCGGAAGGTGTGTGTACCTACTGTTGTGTTGCGGCAACGTTCGCGTGCTGCTGTTCTCGCCCGTCCAGCGCGGGCCCTTCCGCAACGAGGCCGGCCGCGCGCTCATCCAGCTGCGACACGTCGACCTGCAGCGGAAGGTTTGGACTGTTCTGTTTATTTATTTATTATGCAAACAAGTCAATGCTAATGTGGTACCTAACATTTGCCTAAATTTTAATAAACTTGAGTAAATATTTTTTCTTTCTTCCTTTCAATAATCGAATTGCCTAAGGTGGGTAGAAACTAAGAAGTTTCGCTTGCCAAGCTCTTCAGATTCTTCAAGTTAATTTAAAATTTAGTTTGAGATGCGACTCTACTGCTAGAAAATTTTAATAACTAAGTATGCCCGGTCCTGAAAACTATTTATTTACCTCTTAGTGTTTTTGCTTTACTTTGAGATATTAGCTTTGTCTTTATAACCAGGGTTTCAACTACGGTATGCGAACCGCTGAGTCAAAAACCATCCTTGACGAGAACAAAATACGAGAAACCCTTTGTTAGAACCATTGTAAACTTCACTTTTAATGCTTTTTGTAATGCTTTTGGAGATGCATATTCTTTTGTTTGATTGTTTTCCGATGCAAACTTTCTAGCCGCAACTCCTGCCAGAGATGAAGCTGGTGGAGTTCGCGCGCGTGCACGCGGAGTGGGTGCGGCAGGTGGGCTTCTACGCGTCGCTGCACTGCGTCGTGTCGTGCGCCACCTGCCCCGACTCGCTGCTCATGTGCGACATCGCCGGCTCCAAGACTTACAACATGTTCCGGGTGGAGAAGGTAACTAGCATTTTATTAAGTTACCTATTTACTTAGGTGCAAGTTTTCCCCCAGTTTAGGAGGGCCCCTTACTGCATTAAGAAATAAATATAATCGTTGTAAAGTTAATTAGGCATTTCCCTTTTCGTCGTCGTTAATTGCCTAGGGTACCTTGTAGGTTAAGTACAGTATTATGTTTAGTTGGCCGAGATACTGAAGTCATTGAACGCCGAGACGCTAGACACAATGGAAATTGTATTGTTCGAGACTCACCGGTGAGCCGCATGGCGTCCAACGTGTTAAGGTTAGGCCAAACCAACACGTGCGGCCCGCGCTCGCGATTGCGATGGCGACGGCCATCAGTAGAAATCAGTAGGATCGCCATCGCCATCGTGCACGCGTTGTTTTGGTCGAACCTGTTTTGTGTCTAATCTTTTTTGTTCTTGGATAATATACGAAACTAGTTCATGTGTACAGTAGTCAATATTGTGTGCTACCAACGGAAAATACAGCGTATTCTTAAAATAACCTGACCTCTGCTCTACTGTCCCCTTACAGGGCATCCAATGCTTCGCGTTCGACGAAGAAGCACACGTGCTAGCGACGGGAGGGCCGGACTGCGCCGTGCGCGTGTGGAACCCCTTCGTGCCCGCGCGCGCCAGCGCCACGCTGCTCGGCCACCACGCCGGCGTCACCTCGGTCGTGCTGCAGAACAACGGACAGACCGTCTACTCGCTGTCGCGCGACCGCGTCATCAAGGTGTGGGACGTGCAGGGACAGCAGTGCGTGCAGGTGAGGTTTATATTTTTGTGATTTCTAAGAGTTCTTTACAATTGAGAAGCTTTTCCCTGACTGTGCCGGCGCGCGCCAGCGCCACGCTGCTCGGCCACCACGCCGGCGTCACCTCGGTCGTGCTGCAGAACAACGGACAGACCGTCTACTCGCTGTCGCGCGACCGCGTCATCAAGGTGTGGGACGTGCAGGGACAGCAGTGCGTGCAGGTGAGGTTTATATTTTTGTGATTTCTAAGAGTTCTTTACAATTGAGAAGCTTTTCCCTGACTGTGCCGGCGCGCGCCAGCGCCACGCTGCTCGGCCACCACGCCGGCGTCACCTCGGTCGTGCTGCAGAACAACGGACAGACCGTCTACTCGCTGTCGCGCGACCGCGTCATCAAGGTGTGGGACGTGCAGGGACAGCAGTGCGTGCAGGTGAGAATTATATTTTTCTGTTTCCTGAGAGGTATTCAAACTTGAGAAGTTTTTCCCCTTTCACTTAATCGACTTCGTCTATGAGCCTTTTTCAGACTCACACCATATTGTGCACTTGTAAGTTGTAACACCCATAATATTTATGCATACTGAAGTATTTTTGTTTCCAGTTCACATCATATTGTGCACTTGTAAGTTGTAGCACCCATAATATTTTTTTTTTGTTTCCAGCTCACATCATATTGGGCACTTGTAAGTTGTAGCATCCATAATATTTATTTTTTTGTTTCCATCTCACACCATATTAATATTGTGCCCCATAGTTGTAGTTGTTGTATAAGTTGTAGCACCCATATTTTTTTTTGTTTTCAGCTCACATTAGATTGTGCACTTGTAAGTTGTAGCACCCATAATATTTATTTTTTTGTTTCCAGCTCACATCATATTGGGCACTTGTAAGTTGTAGCATCCATAATATTTATTTTTTTGTATCCATCTCACACCATATTGTGCACTTGTAAGTTGTAGCACCCATGATATTTATTTTTTTGTTTCCAGCTCACATCATATTGTGCACTTGTAAGTTGTAGCACCCATAATATTTATGCATACTGCAATTTTTATTGTTTTCTGTGCACCTTTGTTTTTTTTCAGTTTATTATCTGGTTTACATTTTGATTTATGCCGTCTTGATTTTACGCACTATTTTTGCTTCTCATTTAAAATATACAATTTCCGGTTTGTTAAGCTATATACACTTATTTTCATGTTGATCTTTCGTGCATACTAAAGGTGACAGCCTAATGTTTTTTTTTACAAAATACACAAGCAACACACACTTGAAGAGCATTGTTAATTTGTGTAAAACTTAAATATTAGTGTCTATCCACTAAATATGGCTGCCACAGAATACCAGCTCTAGGTCCTAACCTAAAGCATAACACGTCATGCTGAGTGGCTGCCATTTTGGTTCAAATTAAATTTGGTAAAAATTATGGACTAAATAAAAATATTTTCTTTCTTCTAAGCTTCTCTGGCACTGGCTAATTATAAGTTCACATAGCAATTTGTAATTTTAGGAAATTGTAATTTTAAGTATAAATTAATATTTATTTACTTACCTATGTATATCTTGGCTATGGCAGAATAACAGGGTTTGTGGGTCCCTTGCAATCACTGAGTCATAGACCTTTTTGTCTCTTATGATTTTTGTATCTGTGAAAAACTGTGAATGAAACCTGTTTTGAGACAAATAAATACTTTCTATTCTATTCTATTCTTTTTTTCTTCTTTCTATGGCTACTACATTAATTAACGCGATTTTCTTACCATCCAGACGTACATCGACATCCCGCCGCAAGTGGGCGAGCGCACACCCATCTCGGCGGTGTACAACGCGGCGACGCGCGAGTACATACTGGCGGCCATCCGCATCGCCGTGCTGGTGCTGGACGAGCAGCTCAACCCGCAGCACACCGACGGCTTCACGCACGCGCGCGCCGTCGCCAAGATCCTCTACAACCCGCTGTTCAAGGTCGTCATCACCTGCGGCATGGACAGCATTATCATCAACTGGGACCCCATCACTGGTGAGTGTAGTTTCAATTTGACTTTTCGGGGTTGCTTGTTCTGCCTCTCTAACTGGCGGCCATCCGCATCGCCGTGCTGGTGCTGGACGAGCAGCTCAACCCGCAGCACACCGACGGGTTCACGCACGCGCGCGCCGTCGCCAAGATCCTCTACAACCCGCTGTTCAAGGTCGTCATTACCTGCGGCATGGACAGCATTATCATCAACTGGGACCCCATCACTGGTGAGTGTAGTTTCAATTCCTTCCTCATTGTGGGGCACGGCATATGCTGAGTGGGATCCCATTGCGATGGATATCGCTGTGTGACAGGGTGGCATACATTGCTCAGTTTACTTTCTCTTCAATGAGGGCTATCGTTTTAGTGCTCACCAGTTAGCGCCACTGTAGAGTAAGGTCCTGTCACTTGCTAGTAGCGAAGACAGTGGCACCAACTGGTGAGCGCTAAAGTGGTAGGAGGACTATCGCATTTGCACTCATCAAGATGGCGCTACTGTAGAGTAAGGTCCTGTCAATCGCCAGGGGTGCCAACTGTTAAGTATAAAAACGATAGCCCTCATTGTAGGTATGTTTTATGTGTTACCTCAGTCTTTTTTGTTTTTTTTTATTACCTCTTTTGTGATGTCCTTTCTTTCTTTCTTTTTCAATTCAAATGTTTCTTTCATTTTTTTTTCAATTCATCTTTTCGGGGTGACTTGCAAAATAATAAATGTCCTATCAAGAATTAAATAATGCATAGAAATTGGAACTGTATTCGAGTGTAGTGTCCAAAATTTTTTTAAATTTGAGTCTTCATCCAGCTTTGTGGTAATTAAGAAAAACAAATTCTGCTAGGGTAACGTTTATTTTATTTTACTTTATTCGGAAAACACAGCGTTATTTAACTTATTAACTATCTGTTATAAAGCTTTACACCAATTCTTTGTAGTATTTAAGAACAAATTCTGCTCGGGTAACGTTAATTTTATTACGTTTACCAGTACTTACTTACAAGTAGCAATGTATGTGTTGCAGGCAAGCGCAACGCCATGGTCCGCGACGCGCACACGCGGCTGCTGCACGGCGAGCTCATCCCGGTGGAGATCACGGCCGCCTGCTTCGACCCCGGCTACCAGCTGCTCGTCACCGGCGCCCGGAACGGCACACTTAAGGTTTTTTTTAAAGATTATTGCATTATGTTATTGCACAAATTACTAATATTCCCGTTAGCTCCTTGTACTAAGCTAAATATGCTTGTGTCACCACAATAGTCGAGCGGCGGCGGAGACCGAACCCGTGTTCCCCGGATCACGAGTTGGCCACGGGATAGCCGAATGGCTATCGTGGTTTGCTCTCTAACTTTGTTAACTGGGATCGCAGCCGCTCCTATGCTGAATAACTTTACTTTTACAGGTGTGGAACTTTAACACTGGTCTGTGTCTGAGAAATATGTCTATTGAACACATGTGCGAGGTGACGAACTGTTTCTGGGTCGAAGGGAGGTAAGAAACTTTGCGTTTTTGCTTGTAATTGACCATTATTGTCATGGTTAGCTAATTGTGTTCGGTAGAATCCTCGCGGTGGGCTGGAACCGGCACGTGACGGAGTTCGAGGACACGGGCACGGCCACGAGCGGCAAGAGCTGGGAGACGCGCCACACCGACGACGTGCTGGCCGCCGCCGCGCGCAACCCGCTCGCGCTCGCCACCGCCAGCTACAACTCCGAGCTCATGCTGTGGAAGCTGGAGACCGGACAGCCCTACAGGTCAGCTCACCCACTGACAAGTGAATGCAGATTTAATGATTGTGCTTCTGGCGCTCTGCATCCACTGCTTGTGTATTGCCGCTAAATACTAACAATGCATAGTAAATTAACTATGGGTAGAGGAGGGTGGGTGACGGACAGTAACTGCATTGCGTAGCAGACGTAGTAGATTGGTGTTTAACTAACATTTTTGAAATGGTATTATCATCATCATTTCAGCCACAGCGCCACAGGACGTCCACTTACACACAGGCCTCCCCAAATAACATAAAAAAGGCCTTTGGTATAATGTAAATCTTGAATATCTACAGGCGCTTCTCGTGCACGGACCCGATGCTGCGAATCAAGATGCACTACAGTAAACGCGATGCCGCGCGAGCTTCCTCGCCGCAGGCCGGCAGTGGCGACCGCCGCCGCTCCTCTATGAGACGCCCGAGGTACGTAGATATTTGTCTTTTATAACGGTTCATAATAGATGTTAGGATGTGGAAGTTTTGACCAAAGGGGCGCCGAAAGATGATCAAACAAGCTCAGGCTTGACTTCACAGCATGGGTGCGCCGCGCGAGTCGATCATCGACTCGACGTCGGCGATGCAGAAGGCGCGCGCGCGGCGCGTGTCGACGGTGTCGATGCCGGCGCGCGCGCAGAACATGCGCCAGCTGGCCGTGCACGCCATGATCTTCCTGGAGACGCGCCCCTTCAGCATGCACGTCGGTTAGTAGTCACCTCTTTAGAGTTGGCAAATTGTGCCTAAGACGCGCTTCATCTAGTTGTTTCATCCACGAAGACGCTCCCCACCATTCTTCCGCTAATGTTTGAGTGTTATCGGTACACGCTAAATTATCCATGAGTGCACACTGCACACGCATACTACAATAATGACGCTGGGATTGCTCGGATCAAACTCCCCGCACCGGCCGCACCCCGCGCTTCCCTCGACCAAAAATTGGTGGCGCGTGTCTTCGTGGATGAAACGATCTATAGTTTGTGTATGTATTACCTACTTACCTAGACTATTGGACCCTCGATTACCACTCACCATAATAGCATAGACTAAGTGTGAGTGTGAGACTCATGTTTAATAAGTCGTTTCTTATTAAAAATAAAAATTAAAATTCATAAAATTCGAATTTTATGAATTTACGTTTCTTATTCTTTCTTGTTATCCCACTGGAAACTAAAGAGTAAATGATTATGAGTGCGAATGTAAGAATAATATTTCTAAAACCTTGTTTGTTTTCCACGTAGCGTCCCTGATGTTGTCCCTGGAGAACGGGCAGGTGCAGTGCTGGTCGGACCACCCGGCGGGCGGCTACCAGGGCTCGTTCCAGGGCATCCACACGGCCGGCGACTACGTGTCGTCCTTCGCCACCGACGCCGACAACCACTACCTCTTCACCGGCACCACGGTCGGCTACATCAAGGTCTGGCTCATGACCAACTATCTCACGACTGAGAAGGTGAGTGAGATGTTTTCATTCTACCTATAAATGGTTAAGCAGATACATAATTTAAGGTCCCATTATTTGTATTGTATTGCTGTTGGTTATCCGAATAAAATAAAATAAATAAATAAATACAAATTACTGTTTTGTGGTGAGCGTTACCCCAGCAAAATTTTATCTCCTTCATTCTCCATTCCCCAAGACCTGGTGCCCTAAGCAATTGCTTATTTATTTATGGGTTAAATCTGGCATTGATTCCTTTTAGAAATCTGATAATTCAGCCTTCATCCAGTTGTTAACGCAGTATTCAAGAAACAAAATTCTGCCAGGGTAACGTTAACCTAGTAAAAACATTTTTTACCTGTTGAGTTTGTTTTCGTGAATACAGAGTATTCCATTTTGATGCCTAGCTTGTATTAGTGATTAAATAAGTTGTCANTGCTTTTTGGCCCAGGCAACATCCCCATTGTAGGTATGTTTTGTGTTGTCTTTTTTGTTTTTTTTTAATACCTCTTTTGTGATGTCCTTTCTTTCTTTTTTTTCAATTCAAATGTTTTTCTTTTTTTCAATTCAACTTTTCGGGGTTACTTGCAAAATAATAAATGTCCTTTCAAGAATTAAATAATGCATCTATATATATAAAAATGAAACCCGTTTCGCGTTGTCACGGCATCACGTGTGAACGGCTGAACCGATTTCGATAATTCTTTTTTTTAAATGTTTGTGGAAGTCCAAGGATGGTTCTTACGGAAAAAAATATTAAGAAAATCTCTACGCTAAGGCGGTACGAAGTTCGCCGGGTCAGCTAGTATAAAATAAAACTGTAACGGGTATTCGGGTGTAGTGTCCAAATTTTTTTAAATTTGAGTCTTCATCCGCCTTTGTAGTATTTAAGAAAAACAAATTCTGCTAGGGTAACGTTTATTTTATTTTACTTTATTCGGAAAACACAGCGTTATTTAACTTATTAACTATCTGTTATAAAGCTTTACACCAATTCTTTGTAGTATTTAAGAACAAATTCTGCTCGGGTAACGTTAATTTTATAAGGTTTACCAGTACCTACTTACAAGTAGCAATGTATGTGTTGCAGGCAAGCGCAACGCCATGGTCCGCGACGCGCACACGCGGCTGCTGCACGGCGAGCTCATCCCGGTGGAGATCACGGCCGCCTGCTTCGACCCCGGCTACCAGCTGCTCGTCACCGGCGCCCGGAACGGCACGCTCAAGGTCTGGGGGCTTAGTGCGAGTTTACATCAAACGTCTTGACTGACAAAATGACATTAACGCCCGTATTCACAAACATTACTATGAGGTCTCACAGTGCGCGTGGACACACAGAGTGACACACGAACCAATCACAGAGCTCTATTCAACGCTGTGCGTTCGATTTCCTGCTTCACTTAAGCAAGCATCGTTTGTGAATACGGGCGTTATCATAGACGTTTGATGTAAACTCACACTAAGCCTTGTTCTCTTGCTTTTGTTATCTGGTGTCTACCTGATCTTGTACTGAGACACTTTATTTTTTCCAGGTGTGGAACTTTAACACTGGACTGTGTCTGAGAAATATGTCAATTGAACACATGTGTGAGGTGACCAACTGCTTCTGGGTCGAAGGGAGGTAAGAAATGTCACGTTTTTACTTAATTGTCCAGTTATCGTCCGCCTGCTTATTGTGAATTTGGTAGAATCCTCGCGGTGGGCTGGAACCGGCACGTGACGGAGTTCGAGGACACGGGCACGGCCACGAGCGGCAAGAGCTGGGAGACGCGCCACACCGACGACGTGCTGGCCGCCGCCGCGCGCAACCCGCTCGCGCTCGCCACCGCCAGCTACAACTCCGAGCTCATGCTGTGGAAGCTGGAGACCGGACAGCCCTACAGGTCAGCTCCCCCGCAAGTGAATGCTGATTTTTTTAAACAGTGTGTTTTTGACGCTCTGCATCCAACTCGAGCGTGTATTGCCGCTAAATAAACAAGTAAAAGTACGAGTAGTAAAACATGGGTAGAGTACGGTGGGTGACGGACAATAACTGCATTGCGTAGTAGACGTAGTAACATTGGTGGTTAACTAACATTTTTTTTCAAATATGGTATTATTATCATCATCATTTCAGCCACAGCGCCAAAGGACGTCCACTGCTGCACACAGACCTACCCAAATAACATAAAAAAGGCCTTTGGTATAATGTAAATCTTGAATATCTACAGGCGCTTTTCGTGCACGGACCCGATGCTGCGCATCAAGATGCACTACAGCAAGCGAGACGCCGCGCGCGCCTCCTCACCGCAGGCTGGTAGCGGTGACCGCCGCCGCTCGTCTATGAGACGCCCGAGGTACGTGATATTTGCTAGCCTTTTATAACGGTTCTAAATAGATGGTAGGATGTGGAAGTTTTTACCAAAGGGGCGCCGAAAGATGATCAAACAAGATCAGGCTTGACTTCACAGCATGGGTGCGCCGCGCGAGTCGATCATCGACTCGACGTCGGCGATGCAGAAGGCGCGCGCGCGGCGCGTGTCGACGGTGTCGATGCCGGCGCGCGCGCAGAACATGCGCCAGCTGGCCGTGCACGCCATGATCTTCCTCGAGACGCGCCCCTTCAGCATGCACGTCGGTTAGTCGCCACTTTGGAGCCGATTGAACCGTTTCTAAGATTTTTTTACTTTGTCTCTGTGATCTGTGCTTTGTCTATGTTGCTTGTAATAAAATGTGTAGTAAATAAGTAGTACCTTAGAGTCTGAACTGTAGACCATCGATAGCCACAATGACAGTAGAAAGTTAGCCTTTAGTGTAGGGGCACTAAGAAATGCAAGATTCTTGCACTTAATAATTTAGTTTCCCATTAGATGTTAAAGAGTAAATGAGTGCCATTTTCACTGAAAGAACACTTCTAAACTTGTTTATTTCCACGTAGCGTCCCTGATGTTGTCCCTGGAGAACGGGCAGGTGCAGTGCTGGTCGGACCACCCGGCGGGCGGCTACCAGGGCTCGTTCCAGGGCATCCACACGGCCGGCGACTACGTGTCGTCCTTCGCCACCGACGTCGACAACCACTACCTCTTCACCGGCACCACGGTCGGCTACATCAAGGTCTGGCTCATGACCAACTATCTCACGACTGAGAAGGTGAGTGAGATGTTTTCATTCTACAAATTACTGTTTTGTGGTGAGCGTTACCCCAGCAAAATTTTATCTCTTTCATTCTCCATTCCCCAAGACCTGGTGCCCTAAGCAATTGCTTATTTATTTATGGGTTAAATCTGGCATTGATCTCCTTTTAGAAATCTAATAATTCAGCCTTCATCCAGGTTAACGCAGTATTCAAGAAATAAAATTCTACCAGGGTAACGTTACCCTAGCAAAAACATTTTTTACCTGTTGAGTTTGTTTTCGTGAATACAGAGTATTCCATTTTGATACCTAGCTTATGTTCAAGTGCGGCAGGAAAGTTCTTGAGTGGCGACCACGAGCCGGAAGACTACGATCTGGTGAAGGTCGCGGGAGGTGCCTGGATGCGAGCGGCGCAGGATCGGTCTTCGTGGAAATCCTTGGGGGAGGCCTTTGTCCAGCAGTGGACGTCTTTCGGCTGAAACGAACGATTCGAGTGATTAAATAAATTGTCGCTCACAGGTGCACATCAGCATGCCGCGCCTGCGCCTGGAGTTCCCGTTCCTGTGGCGCGACCGCGTGGAGGGCCGCGCCAAGCGCTGCGTGCGCGACCAGCCGCGCCCGCTGCTCCTCAACAGCTACCGCGCGCACCTGCGCTGCATCACCACCATGGCCTACATCGACGAGCTCAAGCTCGTGCTCAGGTAGTCTAGTGGGACACACATCAGTGCGCGACCAGCCGCGCCCGCTAAAAAAAGCCAATAAGTCACTTCACATTTTTGTTGAATGGACAGGCTATATTAGGAACGGAAATGGACTTAGATATAGGAAATTTTCCTAGCCCAAGTATAACAAAAAAAGCCAAAAATAACTTGACCTGTCCACAATGGACCCAGGTCCGTCTTTAACCAACTAGAAGCCCTGGAAGGCAATTATGGATCAAGGGGGGTTTTTTTATTCTGAAAAAGTACTTTCTTGAGATCAGATGGGGACTCTGGACACGCGCCCAGGAAAGAGGGGACTGGATAGGCCTATAATATACAGGGTGTCCCAGAATGGGTGAATCAAACTGATAGGGGCTGTAGCTCTACTAATGTACCTACTATCCCTAAAAAATATGAAAAAAAAATAAAGCACATAAAAGGACACAGAATAAAAATATTTTGAAAAAGTGAAAATTAAATCAGCTTTGCCTAAGTATCTGGCTATAATTGCTGCGTTTGGAGTTTATTTGTAGTTTTTTCTTACTAATATTAACTGTACATGATCGCTTAGTTTATCTGTAAACAATATTTTGAAAATAATGACTAGATTTCGAGTTTAGAGCACTTTATTAAAAAAAAAATCCAAACTCAATTTTTTTTTCATATTTTTTAGGGATAGTACATTAGTAGAGCTACCTCCCCTAGCAGTTTGATTCACCCATTCTGGTACACCCTGTATATACGCTTTGGTTTGCCCTGCAGCGGCAGCTCCGACTACAGCGTGCGCGTGTGGAAGCTGTCGGGCGAGTACCTGCAGACGCTGGGCAGCTTCGCGCCCTGGTCGCTGGAGGCCACGCGCTTCCCGCCCGACGTCAAGAAGGTCGCCAGCTTCACCACCTTCAAGGTCAGTTGTCAGTGTGAAAGGAGCCGTGAACAATTTAGAGAACTATCTTTTTGCTACATGACGTTCATCGCTGAACATAGGCTGTTCGGTTACTGTCCGCTCATTTAAAGAAGATGGTAGATACTTAGATGAATGAAAGTCACTGGTAGAAAATATAACTAAGTATATTGCGAATAATTAATATTACGCTAAAATGGTCGAATGGTAATGAGCACGCGCGATTGGTATAGTGATTCGACGTGTACTGAATATAAAACTAAAATTATGGTTAAAATGAAAAAGTAGGCCAATGCGCGCGAAAATGCTGACGGCGCGCCGAGGCGCCGCGTTTGTGCAATGTACGTAGACCGTACATAGGCGTCCCTGAATGATTTCCAAATGGCTGGTTAGTCTTTATAAGTATTTAGCGCTCCTGCACACGACGGCGGCGGTTTTACTCAGCGCGTATGTACAGTGTAGGGGCGCGGCGGCGGCGTCGTGTGCAGGAGCGCTTATGAGTGGACGTCCTGTCGTTGAAATGATGATGATAACAAGTGAACTTAGGCAAACGTTTCTTCGATATTAGGTTACTCCGACACCATTTAATTTCGACGTGACATAATCAGGCAGTACGTTATTCTGACATAGTATTTTTAATCATTAATTTAATGGGCCTGTTTCTACCGTTAACTGTTGTCTAGAACAATGGTTCCCAAAGTTGTCTGGGCTACGCTACGACTCATCTAATACAAGTTCCCTAACTCGGGTACCTATAGAAAATTTCGCCCGCTGCCCAGCGGTTGGATCGGTAGGGTGGTGTGTTGATCTACAGGCAGGGCCCACTCAATGTTCGCTCGTGACCCATAGTTTGGGAAACCCTGGACTAGAATATTCATATGTGGTGCAGGCAGGCCTGGCTCACTCCGCGCGGTACATCCGATAATTACCTACAGCGAAGCGCCCCGCCGGCGGGTATTATATCAGTCGAGTGTCACGCGCGCGCCCGTCAGGNTATACATACTTTCCAACAGAAACGTTGCGCAGAAGCGACGTCACGCTTTTGAGAATGCTTGCAATCCCCCAGTGTGGCAGCTCACTTAGCCCAGCAGTACACCTGTTGTCATGTAGAATCACTTTAGAGCTAAGCAATAAAACTGTATTATTTGTGTCCTTTCCTCTCTAGAGTAGCCCAGCAGTACACCGTAGCCTTGCTGTAGTTAGAAGCGTCGACTTGGCGCCCTATTCGCAGGTAGGTCGACCTCTTTAACCTTAGCTAGCTGCTTCAGNTATGATTATAATTCTATGATCGAAGTATTATTTAAAAATGGACATAAAGAGAAAGAAATATTGTGCGGCGTTCGGGTGTTTAAATTCGAAAAGAAATTACCGGATTTATCTTTTTTTTTCGCTTCCCAAAGATGCTGAAAGGTATGTTGGCCATGTAGGTAATCAATAATAAAATTCTTAGGATAGTATAGGATTCTTTTTTTTTCTGTAATAGTATGTTTAATTTATCTGTCTTATGTTAAAATAGGTATGAATGAAGACATTGTAATAGAACAAGTTTTTTTAATCCTAATTAGGTATATTTGAAATGTTATTTTTACTTACCTACATAGGTACGTACCTCATTACAAATAAGTAGATTAATTATTTTTTCACTAGACAGCAACCCTAACAGCGTAAGAAGAGTTCAGAGGCACGCGATAGAAAGAGACAAAACTTGTAGGTGAATAAAATTGTAGGTACGTAGTGCTGTGCGAGCTGAATTCCACTGTATCGCGTCGTAGCAAGACTCGCATTTATTTAAATCTTCGTGCGGAGTAATCCTTCTGTACCTGTACTATTACTTATTCTGTGGTGCAGGTGTGGCGCGGCGGCTGGGTGTCGCGCTACGTGCCGGGGCAGGTGGAGGTGGACAAGCTGCGCGACATCACGGAGCCCGAGCTGCGCGCCAAGACGTTCGGCGAGCCCGCGCGCGAGCCGCTGCTGGGCCGCTACTTCGCGCTGCCCACGCGGCCCGAGCGCCAGCTGCCGCTGCGCCTCGACACCTCGCTGCAGACCGTGAGTACACGTTGTCAGGTAGAATCATTTTTATGCTGAGAAATTGTATTATTTATGTTCTTTCCTTTCTAGATTTTCTATCGACCATTTTGTTACCATGTTTCTGAGCAAATAAATGATTTATTATTATTATTATTATTAGACAGTAAGCCCAGCAGTAGACCATAGGAAACTGTTGTCAGGTAGAATCACTTTAGCAATAAAGCTCAGGTGCAGACCACCGACTTTTAGTTGGCCGATAGTTGGGAACGATTCTAATTTATATGAAGAATCGGCAGATACCAGTTCGATGTAATGTGCGCACTTTCATTACATCTCGATACTGATCAACATGGCAGCCTGATCCAACTATCGCCCTACTAAAAATCGGTGGTCTGCGCCCAGGCTAAAACTGTGTTATTTGTGTTCTCCCCTCTCTAGAGTAGCCCAGCAGTACACCTGTTCAGTTGTCATGTAGTATCTCTTTAGAGCTAAAGAAGCAATAAAACTGTGTTATTTATTTGTGTTCCTTCCTCTCTAGAGTAGCCCAGCAGTACACCGTAGCCTTGCTGTAGTTAGAAGCGTCGACTTGGCGCCCTAGTCGCAGGTAGGTCGATCTCTTTAACCTTAGCTAGCTGCTTCAANTAAAACACCATTGCGAGCTGTTATTTAACAATTTTGGAATAAAATATTAACAAATATTTCTTGTGAAATGTGGCGCGGACTAAGAGTTGACATATTTTTGTGGAATGACCCGTATAGACCTTTGACCCTTTTTTTTATTATTTCATCCCAACTAATCCCAACTAATATTATAAATGCGAAAGTAACTCTGTCTGTCTGTCTGTTACGCTTTCCCGCTTAAACCTCGCAACCGATTTTGATGAAATTTGGCATAGAGATAGTTTGAGTCCCGGGAAAGAACATAGGATAGTTTTTATCCCGGTTTTTGAAACAGGGACGCGCGCGATAAAGTTTTTCTGTGACAGACAAAATTCCACGCGGGCGAAGCCGCGGGCGGAAAGCTAGTTATATATAAATCCGTCTTCAGGTCGCCACAGAACAAGGCCTCGCGAAATCTGTCTTGCCCACATCAAATTTAGGTCTTGCCCCGCCTCTGCTGTCAAGTGTGTTTACTTTATAGAAATACTGAAGGTGTTTGGATCAGTTTTGTTCGAATTTAATAAATATTTAACGTCTTCTTAAGAAAGAAAAACGCTGCTTCAGGTAAAACTTGACTAGACCGTCGCCAATGTTGTTTATTTCAGGAATTTGTAATAAATCATTATATTTAATTTTTTAATAAATTATGTTAACTAGCAATATTATGTAATTATAATAAAAAAGCTGTGATATTTTACAAAAGCTTTTATTTCGCTACGTAAAATTATCTTAATAAATAAGTCTTAACAGTAAGTATATTATAGTCTCTAATACTAGACCTAAAATTATTCTAAACGTTAAGGTCCGAGAAACGATTCACGGGCAGACTAAAACTTATCTCAAACACGAGTAAAACCAGCGAAAAAAAGTCGTTTCGGAAACGTCTCTACTTGGATTTGGCTTTCCCGACGGGCCGCTCGGGCTTCGTCTTCGGCGGCTTGGCCAGCTTCCAGCTCAGCGCGCGCTCCAGCAGCTCCTGCACGCGCGCCAGCTCGCGGCACGCCACCGGCAGCGCGTTGCCCTCCAACAACACGCGCAGCAGCCCGCCGCGCGCGCGCGTCCGCTCCTGGTAGCGCAGCACGGCCGCCAGCCGCGCCAGCGACGGGAAGCCCAGCGCGTTGTACGACAGGTTCAGCGCCACCAGCGTCGGGTTGCCCGCCGAGAACACGTACCCGTCGCGCGACACCGTGCCCTCGGCGCCGAACGGGTCCGCGTGCGGGCGGCCCAGCAGCTCGCCCGCCATCGCCTGCGCCTTCAGCGCCAGCGGGTCCGCGCCCGCGCCCGCCGCCGCCGCCGCGTGCCCCGCCGCGCTCGTGCGCCGCCCGCCGCGCCCGCCGCCCACCGTCTGGCGCCGCTTGCCGCTGCGGCTGAACTCGTCCTGCGCCCTCTCGGCCGCCGCCAGCTCCGCGTGGCACTTCCGCGTCACCTCGTCCCTCAGCCGCAGGTACTCGAGCCGGCGGCGCCGCTTCGTGATCAGCTCCTCGTGGGTCAGCGGGAACTCCGTCAGGCTCCCGAGCAGCTCGCCCGCGCCGTCGTCGCCGATCCGGTTGCCGCTCAGGTTCAGGTACTGCAGCGCGCGGTTGCTGCGCAGCGCGGCGGCGAGCGCGCGGGCGCCGTCGTCGGAGATCACGTTGGCGGCGAGCGACAGCATGAGCAGCGTGCGCGCGGCCGGCAGCGGGTGCGCCAGGCGCGCCGCCAGCAGCCGGCAGTCGCGGTCGTCGAGCTGGCAGCGCGCCAGCGACAGGCTGCGCAGCTGCGAAGGTCGCTCGAGCAGCAGGTCGTAGTTGCACTCGGGCACGGGCGAGTCGTCGAGGCACACGTCGGTGATGTGCGACAGCGGCAGGAACTTGGCGAGCTCGTGCAGCGCCTCGCCGCCGAGCGGGCCCCAGCGCACGGTGAGGCGCGCGAGGGCGGGGTGGAAGGGCACGCACATGCCGAGCACCTTGAGCAGCAGGCGCGGCAGCTGCGGCGCGCGGCGGAAGGCCAGCTCCACGAGCGCGCCGGCCGCGTCGCACACGGCGGTGAGCGCGATGACGGGCTCGTCGTCGTCGTCGGCCAGCTGCAGCGGCGCGGCCGCCGACGCCGACTCCTCCTGCCTCTGCGGCGAGTCGAACGTGCGCGACGTGTGCTGGACGGTCGATTTGGCCGATTTCCCCTTTTTTGATTTGTCCTCTGCCGTCTTGCTGACGTATTCGTCTGTTAACAAGCGTTACCAGTAATTTTGTGAGCGATTTAAGCTGGGTTATTATTACGGTAGGGCGGTGCTCACCCTGTAGCTCCACGTTGACGCGCACGTCGAAGGGCGCCTGCAGCTGGGAGCAGGCGTAGGGCAGGAACAGCGGCAAGTCGAGCGGCGTGGGGCGCTCCGGGGTATACTCTTTGGAGTAGCGCTCGGTCATTGCTTTAGACATTGTTTTTAATGTAAAATGAGTTGTAAATATTTTGTGTACGATCTTTGACTATTGTTTTATTTTTTTAAATTACTTGGCATTCACATTTTTTTAACCATAGATACAACGGAGTTTTTAGTAAAAATTTAAGATTGACATATAAAATTTAAGATTATAGATGACCCACGCTGAACTGTCCCGCCAAACTCAATGACAGGGGGGCGCTACCATCGTTCAACTATATGGTTTCCAACGTGGCTTCTATGATGACCCACGCTGAACTGTCCCACCAAACTCAATGATAGGGGGGCGCTACCATCGTTCAACTATATGGTTTCCAACATGGCAAAAATCTGAACCAGCGATCCGGTATTGACGGTGGCGCCCCACTGTCAATGTCATCGACAGGACAATCCAGTATTTTGGAACTATATATCTATAGATGACCCACGCTGAACTGTCAATGTCATCGACAGGACAGTCCAGTATTTTGGAACTATACCTAGGTGTGTCAATCTTAAATTTTTACTAAAAACTCCGTTGTATCTATGGTTAAAAAAATGTGAAAGCCAAGTAACTGCACCACGGCGTGACTGCACCATTGTGTTAATTTTTTAAACATTTTTTTGTGGCGTAAATAAAAAAAAAGAATATTAATTTATAATCCATTCTTTATTTCAGAATAAATTGCGAAAATGTACATCTTGCACTGTTCCAAAATTCAAATACATTAATGGTTACGGTTAATTTCAAAATGTATACTTCTGTGCAGGTGTACCTCAAGTTTTACTTTGAAAACTACCTTTATAAAAGCATACTTTGGAATCTCAAGAGAGGTGATTTAATTTACATTTTGTACTTAATAAACTGTAACCAAAAGCCATATGAAATGTGTTTTTGTGAATGTATTGGTAATTAATTTCAGCGCCGATGGGCTGGCAGCCGGGAGCGGTTAGGCGCCGGATTCGCGCTTGGCGCCCTGCAGCACGATGTAGGCGGAGTGCGTCTCGCGCTGCTTGTCCTGCAGCATCTGCAGCGTGCCCAGCGGCGTGTCCGTCGAGCTCATCTTCTTCATCAGCTGCACAGACAACGCGTCGGTTATAAGGTGCGTATTTATTAATATTTTTTTTGCCTCGTCCACACCAACATGCATGTCGTAGGCATGCTTAGTGAGCTGCCACATTGGCGGATTGTAAGCGTTTTTTAAACGGTGACATAGCGAAAACGCCGCGGCTCCGCGGCGAACACGTCACGGATGCTTAAAGAGGTTAATAACCGGGTAATATGCGATCATGATACACGTTGACGATACGGATACGGTGATCGGATCGGGCAAATGATACATGTCTGGACCCGGCTTAACGTTTCCGCCTCGTGTCCGCCGCGCACCCGCGGGGTGTTCGCTGCGTTGACGCTCCGCTTTGAAAACGCTTGTAATCCGCCAGTGTGGCAAGGCTCTTACGGTCGTTTCTACAATTAGTTTCGAATTAGATAATACGTTGGTGTAGACGAGGCCTAGTGTAGTAAGAAAAAGGAGAGATAGGATAGTCGTGAATATGTCAACATTGACGCCTGTAGCACATCTCCGCCCGCGAAATGATTTCAATATAATTCTCTGAAATCACGTCACCACATTAGCAACGAGACCAAGTAAACGCAGAGATGTATATTGAAATCCTTTCACTGTCATGGTTTCGCGGCGGAGGTGTGCTACGGGCGTGAGGGTTGACCATGAGGGGCAGAGGGCAAAGATAGGGTTTGACGCAGACTGTCCCATTAGCAAAAGTTGATTATTAACAGATGACTATTTTTGAATTCATGACGAAATGCGAATTGGACGGTCTGCGTCAACCCGATAGTAGTCAGCGGGTGCACTCACGCCCTCCTGCACGGCCTTCTTGATGCGCTTCTCCTGCTTGTTCTTGCCGGGCCCCTTGCCGTGGAACTTGTGCGACAGGTAGCGGAAGGCCTCCTTGGGGCACAGCGGGCGGCCGTCGTCGTCCACGTACTCCAGCTTGATGTTGGGCCGGAAGTTGCTCTTCTCGCGGAAGTCCTGCAGCGGGCCCGAGTGCCCGCCGCGCTCGCGCCGCCCGTACTTGTCGTCTTCGCTGTAGACAATGTTTAATTTAGTTTATAGTTGTTGTAAACTGGTATTTTTAGGTCTCATAAAAATCACGATGCCATGTTGTATCGTGGAAATCTACAACACTAAGTGTTGACGCAAATGAGCCTCCGACCACAGCCACCGGTGGCCAGCGATGGCGACTTATCAAACTTTTTAATATATTTTGTATAGACGCGTTGCATACGTGTATCCGGTGGCAGTAGTAGTAGTGTCCGCTCGTACTCGCCACTATACAAAAAGTGTATTAAGTCGCCGTCGCTGGCCACCGGTGGCTGTGGTCGGTGGCCCATTTGCACCGAGACAAATTGCAACGAGGTACGACGATGTCGATCAGTGCCGCGTTAAATTGATTTGGAATGTATCGTTCCATATGGGACACTAATTACGATTCTAAACGAGATTTTGAAGTAGTAGCACAGAATAATAATAAGTACTACGTACAGAAGTTTTACTTCGCGAAGATATTTAATAAAATGTATGCTCAATGTCATTCACAATATGGTGTAATTTAGCCTGTCTCAAGAGTCAAGCACCATTTTGTTGACAAACGTCAGTGATCGGCATTGCGCCGAAGCTANCGAGCGCCGATGATTTATTACATAACTATAGCTATAGTTGCGTATACGTATTTACTGCGGTTTCTTTTGTAGTTTTTAGGGTTCCGCTCGGCCGATTAGTAGTCGTCCTGCACATACTCCCGCCGTGCAGCGACGGACTCGTCGATGCAGAAAAACAGCTAGCAGGACGACTGCTGTTTCTGCTCGGTGAAAGGGTGGCGGAGGTGACTATCACGGTGCTGTAGCTGCCGGTACTGGAGTCTTCAAACTCCAGTTCGTTACTGCATCTTCTATAGGTTGACGCTGTCGATTTATATCGGAGATTTGGCGTGAAACGGACGATGTGCGGTTGACGAACTTTCTATGGTGTTCTCTTCTATTATCACGCCATGGTGCCTCCCGCCGGTATGGAAGCGGCGATGACTCCCGCCGGTTTCTATCTTGCGACAACTCCCGCCGGTTATGCGATGATATTGCCTTTGAACGACGGTTTCGGTTAGCGCCTGATCGATTTTTATCCGCAATTTTTTCGACGTGCGTAAGTGAAACTATTGCGTTCACTTTTTCTGTAGGCGCAGCGGTTTCATGGTGCAGTATTCTGTGGTGTGTCTTTCTGCACCCATTTACTCTGCACTGTATCCCTGGGCATCTGTGTGTTCTATTCCAGGGCTGAAGACAGCGGTAGCACAGGCGCTTCTCTTTCGCGATGTNAAGGCTGCATGATGACAGGGAGGCTCCTTGTATCTGACAAGGCTGCTTGTCTATGATGTCAGAGAGGCTCCTTGTCTATGATGACAGGCAGGCTCCTTGTCTATGATGACAAGGAGGCTCCTTGTCTATGACGACAGGGAGGCTCCTTGTCTGTGATGACAGGGAGGTTCCTTGTCTATGACGACAGGGAGGCTCCTTGTCTATGATGACAAGGAGACTCCTTGCATCTGACAAGGCCGCTTGTCTATGATGACAGGGAGGCTCCTTGTCTATGATGACAGGGAGGCTCCTTGTATCTGACAAGTCTGCATGATGACAGAGAGGCTGCTTGTCTTTGATGACAGAGAGGCTCCTTGTCTATGACGACAGGGCTCCTTGTCCATGATGACAAGGAGGCTCCTTGTATCTGACAAGGCCGCTTGTCTATGATAACAGGGAGGCTCCTTGTCTATGATGACAGGGAGGCTCCTTGTCTATGATGACAGGGAGGCTCCTTGTCTATGATGACAGGGAGCCTCCTTGTCTATGATGACAAGGAGACTCCTTGTCTATGATGACAAGGAGACTCCTTGCATCTGACAAGGCCGCTTGTCTATGATGACAGGGAGGCTTCTTGTCTATGATAACAAGGAGACTCCTTGCATCTGACAAGGCCGCTTGTCTATGATGACAGGGAGGCTCCTTGCNGTATCTTGATTATGTTGAAAGCATGTTATTAAATGTTGCAGACCCGAGCGCCTTGTCCTCGATGGAGTAGTGGCGGGCGGCGAGCAGGTGGTGCGGCGCCCGCGCGGGCGGCGCGGGCCCGGCGCGCTCCAGGTAGCCCTTGCTGAGCGCCAGCCGCAGCGCGCCCGCCACGCCCGCGCCCAGCGCCGGCTCCGCTTCCAGGCCCACCGACGCGCCTGCAAGCAAACGGTAATCGTTAAGGCTGCTTTTAGTGTCACGCGGACTGGCAGTGCGGATCGCTCCGCACAGCCGATCTGTATGAACTGCTAGGGAGCGGAGCGATTCCTCCGGACCGCATTACTCTAAGGCTTGATTTCCTTTTAGGCTGACATCGGTGATCGACGTCAGCGGCGCGCACGATTACACACTAGTTCTATGTAATCATCTGCCGCTGACGACGGCGTTGCAGTGCGGTGCTTTATAGAACATTGTGTTTATTCGTACGCTTGACCGATGTACGCGACCGACGTCAGCGTAGGAGGAAATCAAGCCTAAGGCTGGTTTTAGTGTCATGCGGACCGTCCGGTGCGGACCCGCTCCGCACGGCCAATCTGTATGAACTTCTAGGGAGAGTTTTAGAGTAATGCGGTCCGGTCCATTCCGCTCCCTAGCAGTTCATACAGATCGGCTGTGCGGAGCGATCAGCACTGACAGTCCGCGTGACACTAAAACCAGTCTATTTTTCCACAAGCTTTACATGAAATAAAGTCGGAAAGTTTAGAGCATTCATTCATCCGATGTAACCAAGATTTGGTACTACAAATCATATAAGGTAGCTTTCTGAATTGTCGGCGCGGCAGCGACACGACATCAGCACGCTCGGCATACGCAGTACCGAAAGCTTACCGAGCACCTGTATTTCAATGGAGCGTTCCCGATTGGCGCGGCATGCGCGGCACCAGAGTAAATACAAATGAGTAAGTCATCTTCATAGAAACGCCCGAGCGCGGTTTGTATGTGAGCGCGCCAATACGTATGCGGCGCGCACGCACACACTGATAAAATTTAGCGTGGATTAGCGCCGAATTTTGTCAGTGTGTGCGTGCGCGCCGCTGGCGGCACTCACTCACATCAGGAACGCTCCATTGAAATGCTGTATGAATCGTGCTGATGTCGTTTCGCTGCCGCGCCGACAAGTCAAAAAGCGGCCTAAGGCTCCGCGCAAACGGGGCCACCAGCCACCAACATTATCAGTGGGCGCCACGTGATCGGTTAGATTTTTTTTGGAATGCGGTGGCGTGCCGCGCACTGAGCGGCGAGTGGATGCCACACGGCGATTCCATACGATTCCGTTAAAACGTAGCTCATCTCCTACCGGTGTGGCTGTAGTCGGCGGCCCCATTTGTGCGGAGACTGGCTTCCTCATCACACTGATAGCTATGAAATAATGTGAAATATTATGTTTGTGTGTTACCGGCGGCGATGTCGGGCGGCTGGTCGCTGCCCACGTCCACGCGGCTCCAGGCGCCGCCGCGGGCCTCCGCCGCGCCCTCCACTTCCATGTCGTCGAACGCCGCCTCCTGCCGGGCAACAAGGGAAATAAGTCTCGTTTAACTGTAATCAATGAGGGCTATCGTTTTTATACTTAACAGTTAGCACCCCTGGCGATTGACAGGACCTTACTCTACAGTGGCGCCATCTTGATGAGTGCAAATGTGATAGTCCTCCTACCACTTTAGCGCTCCCAAATTGGCGCCACTGTCTACGCTACTAGCAAGTGACAGGACCTTACTGGTGAGCGCTAAAACGATAGCCCTCATTGGCTTGTACGCTCCTTATTAGCGAGCTGCTCTCTTAGCAATTGTACGAATATTCAGGTGCCCCAAAATTAGTACGTCTCTCTGACACCAGAGGGTTTGAAACGCGTGAAACATATTAGTGACGTGCTAATTTCAGGACGCGTTCTTGTATATTATGCAACAGTAAAAGTTAGCGCACACAGAGACGGAAAGGGCGGGAAAGCGATCCAAATCACTAGACACGTATCGTGCCGGGAGGCAACCGCTTTTCCGCGCTTTTGTTTATATGTGCGCTGATCTTTAGGGGTTTGCCACTCTGGCGGATTACAAGCGGTTCCAAAGCAGAGCGGCGACGCGGCGGAGACGAGGAAAACTCCGCCGCGTCGCCTTGAAAACGCTTGCAATCCCTCAGTGTGGCAGCTCATTAATGTGTTGCACAACCAAGGAAGCTTCTAAAGCCTGGTCCGTGAGCACGTAGAATTTTGTCCAATGACCCCAAGCTACCCATCCTTATCGCTCGCGCGTATTATGTTGCTGTCGCGCTCGCACACACTGAGGGCGCGCGTCGCACAGTCGCGACAGCAATATAATTACGCGCGAGCGATAAGGATGGGTAGCTTGGGGTCATTGGACAAAATTGTACGTGCTCACGGACCAGGCTTTAGAAGGAAAGTAGGCGTGTTTACCGCGGGCGGGCGCTCGGCGCGGGCGCCGGCGTAGGAGGGCACGTCGCCCAGCGTGCGGCAGAACTCGGCCGTGGCGTCCAGCACCATGCAGCCCTCCGGGGCCTCCTCCACTTCCTCCTTCACCTCCTCCTTCACGCTCTCCAGGATCTCTTCCACCTGTAAAATATGTTATTATTACATTTACCTAAGGAGCCGCTGTTAAACACAAATTATGTAACAATTTTGGCAATAAAATTGTTTTATTTATTATTATTTACTTTATGCGACATTAGGTTGACATGACTACAATGTATCGACTGCACAAGGTAAAACGTGTCATGTTAGAGTTAACTGCGCACCTGGCAGCTTGAACGTCACGTGCATTATGACGCTCTGTTACGGATGGGGCGAACGCAAGATGTGCGGGTTGGGAGCGAGTAGCATTCCAGCGAGGTGCACAGTTCGGGCTATATTTCACCGGGACACCATGCGGCGCAACCAGTCGCCGCTACCAACAAAATGTATACAGCTTTGCGCAACCAAACGGACACCAGGTGAGTAACTCTCTATAGAGCTGTTTTTTGTTGGTAGCCGGCGACTGGTTGCGCCGCCATGGTGTCCCGGTGAAATATAACCCTTAGGGAGTGCGCGCACGGGTGACTTGTGTCCATGGATGAAGATGTATGCAGAAGCGCACCGTAGCGACGGGACAGCGACAAGTCACTTGTGCGCGCGAGCCCTTAGCTCAATCGTGTTGTAGGTGCTAAATCCTGCTGTGCGTCAAGGCAGAGTAAATACAAATGAGTAGGTCATCTTCATAGAAACGATCGAGCGCGGTTTGTATGTGAGCGCACCAACACGTATACGGCGCGCACGCACACACTGACAAAATTTAGCGTGGATTAGCGGGGAGTTGCGCCGATGAAGTTTCTATGAAGATGACCTACTCATTTGTATTTACTCTGGTCAAGGTCAGCACCTTGGGCATGGCGCGCGCGGTGGCGGCGGCCTGGCGCATGCGGCGCGCGCGGGCCAGCGCCGCCTGCAGCTCCGCGTCGGGCTCCGCCTCCGCCTCGTCCTCCACCAGGGCTCCGCGCTGGGACCCGCCTGCGCTCGTGCCGCCCACCTCTGTAGATACACAACATAAACATCAGTTGCTTCATTCTTCTATAGTCTGGTCTGTGAGCACGTAGAATTTTGTCCAATGACCCCAAGCTACTCATCCTTATCGCTCGCGCGTAATTATGTTGCTGTCGCGCTCGCACACTCACTGCGGGCGCCCGTCACACAGTCGCGACAGCAATATAATTACGCGCGACCGATAAGGATGGGTAGCTTGAAGTCATTAGACAAAATTCTATGTGCTCACAGACCGGGTTTTACATGTAAGCGTAAATGATATAATATAGAAATATAATCGATATTTTTGTACCTGTATCATCTGTCTCCAATGGCGCCGTACCCGCCTCGTAATCATCCACGTCTATCGGTTCTTGTTTAGCCTTCTTACGAATTTTACCCTGCAAAAACCAAATAAATTACTTATTGTATGTGTTAATAAAGTAATGTAAGCCTCTTTTTGCCTGAGATCATGTATGTAATTTTAACTTTTTTTTTTATTTTAAGGCTGAGTTACACCACCTAGCTTTGACCGTATAGATGACCCACGCTGAACTGTCCCGCCAAACTCAATGACAGGGGGGCGCTACCATCGTTCAACTATATGGTTTCCAACATGGCAAAAATCGGAACTAGCGATTCGGTATTGACGGTGGCGCCCCACTGTCAATGTCATGCACAGGACAGTTCAGTATTTTGGAACTATAACTTTAACGAACCGTAATTTTTGACGTTTGTCAAAGTTAAAGTAAGGTGCAATCCAGTCTAAGATGTTTTCAATAAGATTTATTTATTTATTTTGTGCCAATACCACACTAACGGTACGATGGCTTGGGCCGGGTACAGAAGTGTGTAACGCATAATATTTACATATTAGTGCCATCAACATCTAGAATGCGCGTTGTTAAACGTTACACACGTCTGTCCTCTTCAATACAACAAAGCAGCTGCAGCGACGTACCTTCCTCTTAGTCTTCTTGAACTTGGCGCTGATCTCGTGCTCGTCCAGGTAGTCGGTGGCCAGTTGCAGCGGCGGCAGCTGCAGCGACTCCAGCCGCTTCTCCACGCCGCCCGCCAGCCGCTCTTGCCGCTGCCAAACAATACATTATTACTTGCTTGTTTCATTTATTAAACGACACACACACCCCCTTGTTCCCCTTCCTCTTGTATATGATGTCAAGGAGGCTCCTTGTATGATGTCAAGGACAAGGCTGCTTGTCTTTGATGTCAGAGAGGCTCCTTGTCTATGACGACAGGGCCCCTTGTCCATGATGACAAGGAGGCTCCTTGTATCTGACAAGGTTCCTTGTCTATAATAACAAGGCTCCTTGTCTATGATGACAGGAAGGCTCATTGTCTATGATGACAGGGAGGCTTCTTGTCTATGATGACAGGACAGGAAGGTTCCTTGTCTGTGACGACAGGGAGGCTCCTTGTCTATGATGACAAGGAGGCTCCTTGCATCTGACAAGGCCGCTTGTCTATGATGACAGGGAGGCTCCTTGTATCTGACAAGGCTGCATGATGACAGGGAGGCTCCTTGAATCTGACAAGGCTGCATGATGACAGGGAGGCTCCTTGGTCTATGATGACAGGGAGGCTCCTTGCCTATGACGACAGGGAGGCTCCTTGTCTATGACGACACTAAGGCTCCTTGTATCTGATAAGGCTGCTTGTCTATGATGACAAGGAGGCTCCTTGCATCTGACAAGGCCGCTTGTCTATGATGACAGGGAGGCTCCTTGTATCTGACAAGGCTGCATGATGACAGGGAGGCTCCTTGGTCTATGATGACAGGGAGGCTCCTTGCCTATGACGACAGGGAGGCTCCTTGTCTATGACGACACTAAGGCTCCTTGTATCTGACAAGGCTGCTTGTCTATGATGACAGGGAGGCTCCTTGTCTATGACAAGGCTGCATGATGACAGGGAGGCTCCTTGTATCTGACAAGGCTGCATGATGACAGGGAGGCTCCTTGTATCTGACAAGGCTGCTTGTCTTTGATGACAGGGAGGCTCCTTGCATCTGACAAGGCTGCATGATGACAGGGAGGCTCCTTGTATCTGACAAGGCTCCTTGCCTATGACGACAGGGAGGCTCCTTGTATCTGACAAGGCTGCTTGTCTATGATGACAGGGAGGCTCCTTGTCTATGACGACAGGTAGGCTCCTTGTATCTGACAAGGCTGCTTGTCTATGATAACAGGGCCCCTTGTCCATGATGACAAGGAGGCTCCTTGTATCTGACAAGGTTCCTCGTCTATAAAAACAAGGCTCCTTGTCTAGGGAGGCTCCTTGTATCTGACAAGGCTCCTTGCCTATGACGACAGGGAGGCTCCTTAAGATATCTGACAAGGCTCCTATGTCCATGATGATAAGGAGGCCATATGGACAAGGAGGCTCCTTGTATCTGACAAGGCTCCCTGCATTAAACAAGGAACCTCCGTCATCATAGGCAAGGCGAGCCTTTTCAGATACAAGAGCCTCCTTGTATGATGTCTATGGGTTCTTACACACGGACAGCATTTTGCTGTCGACGCATGTAACTGCAGTCGACGTCAGAAGGCGACGGCTAGCTGTCGACATGCTGCCGACGTGCTGTCGACGCGTTCGCGGCCGCCGCCGGCAGGTGGCGACAGCTAGCCGCCTCCGCCATTTTGAAGGTCAACTGTCAGTAGTCCAGGAGCTTACACGCACACCTAATGAGTTCCGAACAAATTGATTCGAAATTGCTAAAAAATTAGTGCTGTCAAAAACAATGAAATAATATGGAACTCGAATTTAGAAGGCTACCATAATAAAACATTAAAAAATAGAGCATGGGCGTCGGTGTGTGTAGTCTCGTTCTCTATTCAATAACATTTCTTAAACCCACAATGACCGGTTCTTTCTCTTTCGTCGACGACGACGGAGTAAATGCAACAGCAGTGTTTCTTCAATGNTGATGACAGGGAGGCTCCTTGTCTATGATGACAAGGAGACTCCTTGCATCTGACAAGGCCGCTTGTCTATGATGACAGAGAGGCTCCTTGTCTATGATGACAAGGAGGCTCCTTGTCTATGACGACAGGGAGGCTCCTTGTCTGTGATGACAGGGAGGTTCCTTGTCTATGACGGCAGGGAGGCTCCTTGTCTATGATGACAAGGAGACTCCTTGCATCTGACAAGGCCGCTTGTCTATGATGTCAGAGAGGCTCCTTGTCTATGATGACAGGAAGGCTCCTTGTCCATGATGACAGGGAGGCTCCTTTTCTATGATGACAAGGAGACTCCTTGCATCTGACAAGGCTGCTTGTCTATGATGTCAGAGAGGCTCCTTGTCTATGATGACAGGGAGGCTCCTTGTCTATGATGACAGGTAGGCTCCTTGTATCTCTCAAGGTTCCTTGTCTATGATGACAGGGAGGCTCATTGTCTATGATGACAGAGAGGCTCCTTGTCTATGATGACAGGGAGGCTCCTTGTATCTGACAAGACTGCTTGTCTATGATGACAGGGCCCCTTTTGTCCACACAAGGCCCGTTGTCCATGATGACAAGGAGGCTCCTTGTATCTGACAAGGTTCCTCGTCTGTAAAAACAAGTCTCCTTGTCTATTATGACAGGGAGGCCCCTTATATCGGACAAGGCTCCTTAAGATATCTGACAAGGCTCCTATCATGATGATAAGAAGGCTATATGGACAAGGAGGCTCCTTGTATCTGACAAGGCTCCCTGCATTAATCAAGGAACCTCCGTCATCATAGGCAAGGCGAGCCTTGTCAGATACAAGAGCCTCCTTGTATGATGTCTATGATAACAAGGCTCCTTGTCTATGACGGACAAGGCTCCTTGTCTACCTGACAAGGGTACCGTGCCACTCACCATCATGTCGCGGAAGCGCTTGGCCTCGATGGCGGCGTGGTCGCCGATGACGAAGCCGCGGGCGCGCGCGGCGGCGTCCTTGTCGATCTCCTCGTCGTACTTGGCCAGCACCGGCTTGCGGTAGCCCAGCGCGGCCGCCTCCATCTCCTCTTCGTCGTCGTACGCCTGGTACCCGCTTTTGGCTTTCTTGCGGTTTAGGATGTTCTGCAAATTAAATGTTTATTATTATTCCATTTTAGAAGAGTCAGCAGTAGCCACGTGTAATGCACCTCGCCCACGGCGACTTTTTGTAGCGATGCAGTAGCGATTTTGTCGCGCGTTCGCATCGATAGTCACAATGCGGTCGCTGGCTGTGTGCCCTCGCCCACATAAACGCGCGTCTGTCGCGATGCAAGCGCGATTCAGTAACTTCCTCCGTTCTCTCCCCGATGTCGTCCGACACGGTCGCGCGTTTGCATCCGCGCATTAGTAAATAGCGATGCTGCCACTCGTTTACGAAACGCGCGACATCATCACTACAAAAAGTCGCCGTGGGCGAGGGCCCTTACATGTACACTTGAAAAGGCCGGCAATAGACACACAGTAAGCAGGTAAGGCTGCGGTGGTTACCTTCTGCGAGCGCTCGGTGTCGACGATGTTGACGTTGACGAGCACGTCGTCGGCGTCGGCCAGCACGGGCGCGTCCGCCAGCGTCAGCACCACGTCGCGCTCCTCCTCCAGCTGGGAAAGGGATCAAACAAATTATATTAACTATACAAGATTAAATAAATAAAATATCCTCTTACCCCGATTTTTATTTCACCTTATACAGGGTGTTAGGTAAATGGGTATATGAGCCGACACTAGCCCATGTTAACATGGTCATATAAATGGTATGGTGAAGTCAGAAATATGATATCATCATTTTAATTTTTTTAATTTTCGTGCAAAATAAATTTTATTAAATCCGATTTGTATGAAAATTAAAATAATCAAAATGAAGACGTCAATTTTCTAACTTCACCATACCATTTATAACATGGGCTAGTGTCGGCTCATATACCCATTTACCTAACACCCTGTAGAAGATGCACATAGGGAATGTCACACGACCGTTGCCAGTACGCTGTGTAGTTGCAGCGGAATGATTGCGATGTCGCAACGCAATTTTTAATGCCGGCAGTACACTCTCACTGAGAGACTACGAACAGGCCGAATGCGAGTTCTCACCTCTCGGGGTGTCTCGCTGTCGCTCGCTCGCTCTCGGACGAGACTTGACGAGTGTACTGCCGGCATAAGAAAGTGCGTTGCTGCTCCATAATCGTACCGCTGCACTTTTACCCGTAACTTCTCCTGGCTCTTCTTAGTCCATTACACGCACGTTCCGTCCAGCAACGCCCTAGCAATTCACGTGTGAGGCCCGGTTTCCACCAATGCAGAGCAGAGCGGATGAGTGTTTTAAATAACCAATCAGATTTAATAATTTCCACTTTTCTCCGCTCCGCTCCACCTTGATAATAACCGGATCTTACACTGATTCTCTAAGGGTCGCAATAAAATTGTACTGTAACTTACAGCATCGAGGTCGTGCGCGACGCGCAGGCCGCGCAGCTGCCGCTCGCCGTACGCGCGCGCGCGGTCCGAGCGCGCCTCGTCCGCCACCAGCGCCGACACGCCGAACACCTCGTCCATCTCGTCCAGCATAGCCGCCTGCAGCAAGCAATCGGATTACAAATCGTGTTAAGACTAAACTAAATACCATTCAAATATTATGTAAAAAACAAATAAATCTAGTTTCAAAATTCCTAGTGTACTTATTTTGATTCCCATTAGAGATTATAACTTACCCTTTTAGCTGCCTCTCGTTTTTGTTTTTCAATCTCACGAGACTTCTTCACCCATGCGAGGGCATCCTCTCCGTCATCTTCGTCCGCCAGCAAAGTTGTTTTGAGCCTAAAATAACAAGGTATCACATTAGCTGACAAAAGTATATGAGGAACAACCGCGACCTTCATTAGATCGTCGGTCCACCTAGTGGGAGGCCGGCCGACGCTACATACGTCTTCCGTCGTTGTTGTGGAAATCCTTGGGAGAGGCCTTTGTCCAGCAGTGGACGTCATTTGGCTGAAACGACGACGATGATTAGGACACTTCATTAAAATAATCGTCAAAGTAAAATCCACTGAATGCAGAAAAAATGCTTACTTCTGCTCGATCTTGCGCTTCTCGCGGCGCTCGTCGAGGCGCTGGCGCAGCTTGTCGGCCTTCTTCTGCTGCGTGATGCTGGCGGCCGGCTTGTGGTAGAACTCGCCCAGGTCGTCCTTGAACTTGCCGTCGTCTGTGGAGGAGAAATTAGAGTTAATAAGGTCATATGAATGTAGTTGCTAGGACTGCAGCATGTAGACAACACAAACAGAACTTACGATTCTATAAAAATTGTAATTTCCAAATAAGAAATAGGATTACAAAAGAATATGAAAATAATCGCCATTCGCGATTTAAATCATGAAACTTTTATTCACTTATATTAATTCAATAATTGAATCAGAAATGAGATCCGCAGGAGAATTAAAGGGCGGGGCACGTAGCTCGTAGAAACGATGGCCGTTAAGGCAGAAAGGTTCTCGAGTGGCGACCACGGGCAGGAAGACGTAGCGTGGGCAGGCCTCCTACTAGGTGGACCGACGATCTAGTAAAGGTAGTGGGAAGAGCCTGGATGCGGGCAGCGCAGGACTGTTCATTGTGGAAAGTTTTGGGGGAGGCCTTTGTCCAGCAGTGGACGTCATTTGGCTGAAACGAACGAACGAATTTAAATTAAACAATATGTAACTGACCGGCGGGCGCCTCAGCGACTTCGAGCGGCTTGAGGCCGAGCTTGGCGCGGAGCCGGTTGGTGTCCTCCACCGACAGGCTCTCCTGCGCGCCGCCCCCCGCGGTCCCCGCGCCGCCCGAACTTCCGGCGCTGGTCCCCGGCGAGCCCGAGCGCGCACCAGACGGCTCACGCTCCCGCTCGCGAGGGCGCTCCGCCTCCAAACTTTTGTCTCCGAAGCTGTCAAATATAACAACAAATGAATAGGTAGGTGTAGGTAGGTCAAATACATGAGTTTTTCTGCATAAAAAAAATAGATAAATTTTGAAATCATGTTCTATTTAAATTACTCTTCTTTAAAGCAAACAGCCGGGGACTGAAACACACAATCTGCAGATATCTTTCCCACACAAACCTGGGTTGCTTCAAGGCAAAAGTGAATAGGTACTTAGAGATGCCACACGGGCGTTTCAATATCAACGTTCTGGGCATCTCTTATTAAACATTGACTGGACAAATACCTGCCTAGTAGTCATGCAATAAAAAATAACTACTAAAGCCTGCCAAGAAAGTTAATTTGGTAGAAGAATACCTGTAGACCTACTAAAGTCGGTCGCCGAGCACGTAGAATTTCGTCCAATGACCCCAAGCTAGCCATCCTTATCGCTCGCACGTAATCATATTGTTGTCGCGACTGTGCGACCGCTTGGGGTCATTGGACGAAATTTTACGTGTTCGGCGACCGGACTATAGAATACATGTAAATCTACTAGTTGTGCATTTACCTGTCATCCTTGTGTGCTCTGTGCGCCTCCCTCGCGCGCCGGTCACGCTCCCGCTCGGCGACGTCGACGCTGGCGCTGCGGCTGCGCGGCGGCGGGCTGGGCGGCCGCAGGTGCGAGTCCACCGGCACCTCCTCCACTACAACCAACGAAAAAGCACGCTTCAACTACCTGCACTCCTGCACCAAACATTCTCCCACTTCAGATTAAATTTGGGCCACGTATTTAATTACTGAAGTGGTCAGTTCAAATTAATTTTGTATGTGTGATCAATGGAATGAAATAAAGGATAAATAGAATAATATTCTACAAAAATATGTGTTGTTAAGAATATCAAACTGATGCTGATTTTCACTCACATTATCACTTTACATCAGAATTAATGTTAATCAAAACAGCAATTGAAGAATTTGTGGATATTCAAGGATTAATACAAGGATTTGTGCCAATTATTTATAGTGAAATAGACAGAAATACAAATATTTGAAAGCTAATAATGAATAAAGAAATGATAGAAATAATTGAAGATCTTGTGGCACATCATATAGCGCTTGTTCCCATCCAGTCACACATAATGAGTAACACTGTGACTTGCTGGGAAAAAAAACCACATCAAGTCGCACTATTACTCGTCAGGACACCTATCTGCCCAACATACATTAAGTACCTAGTGTCAGGGTAAAGAGGTTTCTTTAGAAAGAAACAAAATTATGTAAAAAAAAAAAACTTGAATAATCATCAATCTCAGGCTTTCTGTCAGAAAATGCAGGTTTACCAGTTGACTTGATGGGATTTTCTCCCCAACGAATCAGTGTTATTCATTACAGTGTGACTATTTGGCAACAAGCATCTTTTAGTTTAGTCTTTTCATAAAATAATTTAAAAAAAAGGAGTAAGAGGATACTCAATATTTCTAAATAAATCAAATGAGGTCATTGTCAGCATTTAGCCATGCTGGAAATTCTCTTTCTTGTTTGATAAGTGTGACTTATCATTTTCACTGCAATATTTTATTAACCGCTAATTATGACTATGACTACCTATTATGAAACATGTTCCCTAATTTTTTGATTACATCTTAATTATTTTTTTAATAAGAGCTACTATTATTGTATTAAATCTTAATAAAATAACCACTACAGACTGGTCTTGCATTATGCACATGATCAGAGTTTTGAGAAAGAAGATCGTAACGAAATAGACCTTGTAACTTCTAAATTATTATGATTCCGTTCAATTGCTTATTACTTTTTGAAGAAAACATGGGGTATCTTCATTGGTACGAACAATTTTACAAAACACACATCTCCACTTCATCAATCAGCAGCACCAAGCTCGTCGACGACGGCACTACCATACCCACCTCACCGCGCCGGCGCTCGGGACGCGGTGGCCCATCACGAATGCCACCGAGTCTGAAATAACGAGCAAAATATGCCATTATTTTGTCAACAGGGATAACCGCCACAGACGATGATGATCTCATGGGTATTTTGTTTGATCAATCTTGCGTGTGGGTACCCACATTCATCGCATTTTAATTACAGTTTGAAAGCTTATCTGGGGAATGAAATGATCACCGTCTACTGACGTCCAAAATATTGAATTAGGACAAACACATACCGTCTGGAGAGCGGTCCTTTTTGCGATCTTTGTGTTTCTTGTGGCGTTTACGTTCGCGTTCCTCGCCATCCAGAGGTGAGCGAGATCGGCTCCTGTGCTTCTTCTTTTTCGATTCTTTCTTATGCTTTTTAGAACCCATTATAATATATTTTGTTGCAATATATTAATCCGCTGTAATCTATCCAAATACTTGCAAGTATCTCAAAATAAAAATAAACACGTTCTCTCTCACGTTAACTCTTCACTTGTCAAATTGTGTAAAATCGGCCATTTTGATTTGGGAATTGTCAATTGTCATGTTGAATTTTTTTCTATAATGTGATTGGCATTTTTAGCAAAGGCATCAAAAATTATACAGCTTAATTTTTTTCTAAGAAAAACTGTTTGCATGAAGGCGAAGGGAAGCGGAGAAGTGTTATAATTAACCAATCAGATTTTTAATTAAATCCACATCTGTCCACTCCACATAGCCACAAACATAGCTCCCTGCACCGCGCTGCGCCGCCGTTCTTCTATAGAAAAACGGATCCACCCGACATACCTAAGTACTTCTTTTCTTCTTCGCTCCGCTCCGCCTTGATGAAAACAGAATTTTATTCAAATTGTGGGACCCTGGGACCCCGGAACTAGTCAATCATAGTTAGGTTGAATTGGAAGCTCTACGATAGATTCTGGCTATAATAAAAATTAAAGAAGTTGCAGCAGTGGTTGAAAAGAGCCTGCAACATCACATAAGGAATAAATTGGTGCTATGTGATGAGCAACTCTCAAACGGGTTGGTTTTATTTAACACCTCGGATTAAACCCGTACCTCGTCAGCATAGCATCTTTTACAACAGGGTTTTTGATCGATGCGTCTTTTGCCACTCTGGTAAAATAAGTTTGTTTCGAGCTTACAGTTTAGTTTAAACCCAAGCAACAAATTGAAGACTTGGTGCATCTGAAAAAATATCTATTTGCTTTTGAAAATTATAACAAATGATGACAGTACTCTTCGTGATTTCAATGCATCTAAAATAATCTGAAATAAAAAATGTTGACCTATAGAATAACGACTGATTTGCGGTGGCTTTTTTTTGCCAGTGGGCGGTTTCATCGTAACTATGATTTGCAGTAGTCACTGGCACAGACTAGCTCTTGATAAGGGTAGATCGATATTTTCGTTAGATAGGTACCCCTTTGGTCAAAATTTATCATCGTCCCACCCATCATTCAGGGGTCGTTTATATTGTGTTCTGTAGTATTTTGCCGCCCTTTACCACAAGTGGCCTTGAACGACCCCGCCACTCTATGGCCGACGCTGCCACTCTTCCAATAACGAGTCTAAAACAAGCATTGGTTTGGTTGCACTTAAAAATAGCACGAGTTATAAAATAAAACTTCGTTTAAAAAGTATATAAATGTATTGATTTAAAAATAAAATTACTTATAACTTTAACAGACCTTTCACCTCGCAAAGTTAGCATATTTTGGCAAGCGCAGAACACATCTTTTAGACATGGAATCCAATGTGTTAGTTATTATTGCTTGTAGATAACATTATTGTCGATAAAATAACAATTTGAGCTTAGCCTTAAAATTGAGCCAACAATCTTATCACCAATTTTGTCCTCCACATAGGAATCTTCTTCATCTTACATCATTTGTCTGGACAACTAAATACATTTTGCAAAATATACAAATAATATTAAAAAATAAAAAAGGAATGCATAAAAAATACTTACTCTACTAATATTTACAGAATTGGATTTTGTGATATGTACGAAATTATATTGCATTATATTTACAATAAGTCAACTTGTATAAAAAAGGCGATTAGATCGAATTTATTTCAAAAATAGACATAACATTCTCATTTGCTTACATGTAGTATCGTTCGCACTTCACTAATCTAAATGGGGATAAACATAAGTGGTTCCATCTAAGTCACCTTTGGCATCGCTAGCATCTTGAATCTCAAACGTCGCGAGTATTCAATCATGAGGGTACTCAATATGAGCTTACACTACTACACGGGATTTATCTTAAAAGAGCAAACTTAACCATTTTATTTTTAACGTCCGACAAGGTGTATCATAAAGTTTCGAATTCGAGAAAATCCTGTAAATACACGATATGTTAAATATACAAATTGATATGTTGTTAAGTAGTTACAAATCTTCTCTGAAAAGAAAAGTAAGTGTTGATCGAGATACGAAAGTATGAAAAAATTTAGAAAAATAGATAAGTAAGATAGAGTGGTTAAATTAGATAAAATAGTTAAGAAGGTTACTTACAATTTTCAACAATAAAATTCTGTGATATCTTAATTATTCATTAGTCTTCGTAGCGGAAATCTTTATCTTTTTAAAGGACAAAATTTTGTGTATCTGTAACACGAAAACAGCTTGATATTAGGGATCACGTATTTTATATTTTTTACTACCACCACCACAAAGTTATACGCGCCGGAAAGAGGTGTTCTTCGGTCATTCAGTAGAAGGTATAAAATATAAGATGAATACTGAAAAGATATAGCAATTCTTTTGTTTAAATACGATGATGTCGTTGTGAATATTTCCAATGTTTTTAAGAAGAAAGATTTTTCTTTTTCCCAATTATTTGCGCACTACGCAGTCAGGTCAGCAGCCAGGCGACCGGTGGCGACAGGCGGGCTCTGTCTGATCGGGAGGGGGACGGGTGTGGTGACGTCACAGCAGCGCGTGCGCCGGCAGCAGGCGGAGGCTGGGTGACGTCACAGGAGCGCGTGCGCCGGCAGCAGGCGGNATTCTAATCTAAATATTAAAAGGAGAAACTGACTGACTGACTGACAGATCAACGCACAGCCTAAACGGCTAAACGTAGGCACTTGAAATTTGGAAGGGACGTAGCTTAGGTACCGTAGAGGTGCACTAAGAAAGGAATTCCCGAAATTCCCACGGGAACGGGAATTAGCGGGAAAAACGGGATTCACGCGTACGAAGTCGCGGGCGGCCGCTAGTCAAGCTATATTGGATAGACTATAGATAACATTATTGTCGATAAAATAACAATTTGAGCTTAGCCTTAAAATTGAGCCAACAATCTTATTACCAATTTTGTCCTCCACATAGGAATCTTCTTCATCTTACATCATTTTGTCTGGACAACTAAATACATTTTGCAAAATATACAAATAATATTAAAAGATAAAAATGGAATGCATAAAAAATACTTACTCTACTAATATTTACAGAATTGGATTTTGTGATATGTACGAAATTATATTGCATTGTATTTACAATAAGTCAACTTGTTTAAAAAAAGGCGATTAGATCGAATTTATTTCAAAAATAGACATAACATTCTCATTTGCTTACATGTAGTATCTTTCGCATTTCACTAATCTAAATGGGAATAAACATAAGTGGTTCCATCTAAGTCACCTTTGGCATCGCTAGCATCTTGAATCTCAAACGTCGCGAGTATTCAATCATGAGGGTACTCAATATGAGCTTACACTACTAGACGGGATTTATCTTAAAAGAGCAAACTTAACCATTTTATTTTTAACGTCCGACAAGGTGTATCAGAAAGTTTCGAATTCGAGAAAATCCTGTAAATACACGACATGTTAAATATACAAATTGATATGTTGTTAAGTAGTTACAAATCATCTCTGAAAAGAAAAGTAAGTGTTGATCGAGATACGAAAGCATGAAAAAAATTAGAAAAATAGATAAGACAGAGTGGTTAAAGGCTGATTTTTCAATAGTCAGATAACTTTTAACTGAAGAATAAGTTTGGCACATTGACGGTTTCAGTATGGAAAATATGTCAAAATGACAAGTTTATTCCACAGTTAAAAGTTATCCGACGATTGAAAAATCAGCCCTAAATTAGATAAAATAGTTAAGAAGGTTACTTACAATTTTCAACAATAAAATTCTGTGATATCTTAATTATTAATTAGTCTTCGTAGCGAAAATCTTAATCTTTTTAAAGGACAACATTTTGTGTATCTGTAACACGAAAACAGCTTGATATTAGGGATCACGTATTTTATATTTTTTACTACCACCACCACAAAGTTATACGCGCCGGAAGGAGGTGTTCTTCGGTCATTCAATAGAAGGTATAAAATAAAGATGAATACTGAAAAGATATAGCAATTCTTTTGTTTAAATACGATGTTGTCGTTGTGAATATTTCCAATGTTTTTAAGTAGAAAGATTTTTCTTTTTCCCAATTATTTGCGCACTGCGCAGTCAGGTCAGCAGCCAGGCGACCGTTGGCGACTGACGGGTTCTGTCTGATCGGGAGGGGGGCGGGTGTGGTGACGTCACAGGAGCGCGTGCGCCGGCAGCAGGCGCGCCGAGCGGCCCGCGCCCGCGCCGCCCGCCTCCCACGCCACGGCCCAGCCGTCCGCGTAGCAGCCGAACAGCGCCATGCTGTCGCTGCTGTACGCCAGGCTGCGGGCACACAAAAGGACATGAGGATTATGTGCACAGATACCATTTTACACACGCTTTGAACTCTGTGCCAAGCTCCATATGAGGACGAAGAGTAAGAATTTTAGCAGCTACGACTACGAGTGTAAAGCTGCGAACACCTTACAAATAATGGTGACTGAAAAGAAAAAAAATGTTTTAAATAAAGTAAATTCAATCCTAAGAAGAAATTTTTATGGTTGCCACTCGACAGCCCCGCGCCGCCGCCCGCCGCCGTCACGCGAGTGTGGTGTGACGTGGCTCGCGGCTCGTTACCTGCAGAGCGGCGTGGGCCGCGCGGGCCCGGCGAGCGCGGGCGGCAGGCGCGCGACGGGCCGCAGGTCCCAGGAGGAGTACAGCGCCGCGCCGCCGCCCGCCGCCGTCCTGCGAGTGTGGTGTGACGTGGCTCGCGGCTCGTTACCTGCAGAGCGGCGTGGGCCGCGCGGGCCCGGCGAGCGCGGGCGGCAGGCGCGCGACGGGCCGCAGGTCCCAGGAGGAGTACAGCGCCGCGCCGCCGCCCGCCGCCGTCCTGCGAGTGTGGTGTGACGTGGCTCGCGGCTCGTTACCTGCAGAGCGGCGTGGGCCGCGCGGGCCCGGCGAGCGCGGGCGGCAGGCGCGCGACGGGCCGCAGGTCCCAGGAGGAGTACAGCGCCGCGCCGCCGCCCGCCGCCGTCCTGCGAGTGTGGTGTGACGTGGCTCGCGGCTCGTTACCTGCAGAGCGGCGTGGGCCGCGCGGGCCCGGCGAGCGCGGGCGGCAGGCGCGCGACGGGCCGCAGGTCCCAGGAGGAGTACAGCGCCGCGCCGCCGCCCGCCGCCGTCCTGCGAGTGTGGTGTGACGTGGCTCGCGGCTCGTTACCTGCAGAGCGGCGTGGGCCGCGCGGGCCCGGCGAGCGCGGGCGGCAGGCGCGCGACGGGCCGCAGGTCCCAGGAGGAGTACAGCGCCGCGCCGCCGCCCGCCGCCGTCCTGCGAGTGTGGTGTGACGTGGCTCGCGGCTCGTTACCTGCAGAGCGGCGTGGGCCGCGCGGGCCCGGCGAGCGCGGGCGGCAGGCGCGCGACGGGCCGCAGGTCCCAGGAGGAGTACAGCGCCGCGCCGCCGCCCGCCGCCGTCCTGCGAGTGTGGTGTGACGTGGCTCGCGGCTCGTTACCTGCAGAGCGGCGTGGGCCGCGCGGGCCCGGCGAGCGCGGGCGGCAGGCGCGCGACGGGCCGCAGGTCCCAGGAGGAGTACAGCGCCGCGCCGCCGCCCGCCGCCGTCCTGCGAGTGTGGTGTGACGTGGCTCGCGGCTCGTTACCTGCAGAGCGGCGTGGGCCGCGCGGGCCCGGCGAGCGCGGGCGGCAGGCGCGCGACGGGCCGCAGGTCCCAGGAGGAGTACAGCGCCGCGCCGCCGCCCGCCGCCGTCCTGCGAGTGTGGTGTGACGTGGCTCGCGGCTCGTTACCTGCAGAGCGGCGTGGGCCGCGCGGGCCCGGCGAGCGCGGGCGGCAGGCGCGCGACGGGCCGCAGGTCCCAGGAGGAGTACAGCGCCGCGCCGCCGCCCGCCAGCCCGGCCGCCACCACGTTCACGCTGGCGCCCTCCGCCGCCGCCGAGTAGCACACGCACGTCACGCGCTCCGTCACGCGCACGCTGCCTGCGGGAACAATGATATTTCAGTAAATATGCAACCTTAAATAAAATACATCCCATAAAACCGCGTATCTACTAGAGGCAGCCTCGAGCCGAGCGGCTGCCTCGTCCCGAGTGACAAAATGTGACTCGATCCGCGCCTTTTAACTCGCAATGAGTCGTGCTTCAGTTTGAGGTAGCGTCTCCATTAGAGCAGCCGGGGGTCGCGGCAGCCGCTCGACTCGAGGGTGCCTCTAGTGGAGATCCAGCTTAAAGTTCGATTAAATTGGATCCTGCTTTTACTAGTAAAGTTTAATGAAAAAACCGAATAGCAAATTCGAACAGATCGGCTCTTTGCGGCCCACACACGGAATGTCCTCGTAGGAAGGAGCCCTAAAAGTTTCATAAAAGTTCTAAATGCAATAGTACCCGAAATCGAAAAATATGTTACAGCGTAGATCTGTTGCTAACTTTGAAGTCAAACTCACCGACGAACCGCCCATTGACCGTATGCACTCTGATGAGCGACTGGTACTTGTCGGTGGCGTCCCTCTCGTAGGAGTCAGCGTCGCCGTCCTGTCCGGGCGGCTGCTCGCGCGCGTCCGGACTGTCCGGGGAGCGAGCCGTGTCGTGTACTGACGCCACGTCGGACAACGTGGGGCTTATCGCCAGGTGCGTCACCGGCAGCATGTCCCGGTTCGGAAGCGTGCGGATGTAAGTCAATCTAGATGGGACGAGATTATATCAAATTATGTAATAAATAAGTTATGTTAATGGGTATCAGTATTATCGAGGGTGGCGGCCGGCGGCCAGGCGGGGGCAGATGATCATAATAGAACTAGTGTATTTATGTACGCGTCACTGATGTCGGTCATCGATGTCAGCCTAAGAATAAATCAAGCCTAAGTTGGGAGAGTATACTCACTCAGCCAGGTCCCACAGCAGTATAACTCCATGCGTATCAGCAGTGGCAAGCGTGGCAGCAGGCGGGCAGGCGTCGGCGGCGGCGAGCGGCGCGCGGTGCGCTAACAAGGCCCGCGCGCGCAGGTGGGTGGGCGTGGTGCCCACCGCCACGCCTCCACGCGCCCTGACGCGACACATCTCCGTTTAACACTAGTGTACTCACTCGGCCAGGTCCCAAAGTAAGATAACTCCATGCGTATCAGCAGTAGCGAGCGTGGCAGCGGGCGGGCACGCGCCCCGACGCGACACATCTACGTGTAAGTGCTTGTTCACGTTGACTCGCGAGCGCGGTGGCGGGCGCGGTGACGAAATATCAAACATATGTAGTGATTCCAAGTGTTCACGTACGAAACGCAGGTGCGGTCTAACTAGCGGGCAAGCTAGCGACTGGTGCGCGCGGAGCGCTCGCGGTAATTTCAACGCATGAAGATGTTTGTGTGTGTTCATGTCAAACTAGCGGCGGCGCGCGCGTTTCACTCCCGACGTCAGGTAAGTTCAACCAGTTTGAACTCGTCGATAGAAACGATAGTACGTCACACTCGCGCGAACGCCTGGTGGTTAATGTGAACACGAGCTCGCAACGTTTCCCGCGCCCGCACCCGGCCCCGCGTCCGCGCGTACCTACGTGAACAAGCACTAATGCTAGTGTACTCACTCGGCCAGGTCCCACAGCAGTATGACGCCATGCGTGTCAGCAGTGGCAAGCGTGGCGGCGGGCGGGCAGGCGGCGGCAGATGCTCACATAGAACTAGTGTATATTCGTACGTGCCGCCGACGTCAGCCAAAAGTTGCCTAAGTTGGGAGAGTATACTCACTCGGCCAGGTCCCACAGCAGGATGACTCCTTGCGTGTCAGCAGTGGCGAGGGTAGCAGCAGGCGGGCAGGCGGCGGCAGCGGTGAGTGGCGCGCGGTGCGCGAGCAAGGCCCGCGCGCGCAGGCGTGGCGGAGCGCCGCGCACTACGGCGACGCGCCACGCCTCCACGCGCCCCGACGCGACACATCTACGTGTATCACTAGTATACTCACTCGGCCAGGTCCCACAGCAGTATGACTTCATGCGTGTCAGCAGTGGCAAGCGTGGCAGCGGGCGGGCAGGCGGCGGCGGCGGCAAATGATCACATAGAGCTAAAGCCCGGTCTGTGAGCACGTATTTTATCCAATGACCCCTAGCTACCCATCCTTATCGCTCGCGTGTAATTATATTGCTGTCGCGACTGTGCGACTGGCACCCGCAGTGAGTGTGCGAGCGCAATAACAACATAATTACGCGCGAGCGATAAGGATGGGTAGCTTGGGGTCATTGGACAAAATTCTACAGCTCACAGACCAGACAATAGTATATATTCGTACACGCCGCCGACGTCAGCCTAAGAGAAAATCAAGCCTATGTTGGGAGAGTATACTCACTGGGCCAGGTCCTTCAGCAGTATGACGCCATGCGTGTCAGCAGTAGCAAGCGTTGCAGCGGGCGGGCACGCGCCCCGACGCGACACATCTACGTGTAAGTGCTTGTTCACGTTGACTCGCGAGCGCGGTGGCGGGCGCGGTGACGAAATATCAAACATATGTAGTGATTCCAAGTGTTCACGTACGAAACGCAGGTGCGGTCTAACTAGCGGGCAAGCTAGCGACTGGCCCGCGCGGAGCGCTCGCGGTAATTTCAACGCGTGAAGATGTTTGTGTGTGTTCATGTCAGACTAGCGGCGGCGCGCGCGTTTCACTCGCGACGTCAGGTAAGTTCAACCAGTTTGAACTCGTCGCTAGAAACGATAGTACGTCACACTCGCGCGAACGCCTGGTGGTTAATGTGAACACGAGCTCGCAACGTTTCCCGCGCCCGCACCCGCCCCCGCGTCCGCGCGTACCTACGTGAACAAGCACTAATGCTAGCGTACTCACTCGGCCAGGTCCCACAGCAGTATAACTCCATGCGTGTCAGCAGTAGCAAGCGTGGCAGCCGGCGGGCAGGCGTGGGCGGCGGCGAGCGGCGCGCGGAGCACCACGCCTCCACGCGCCCTGACGCGACATATCTACGTGTAGCACTAGTGTACTCACTCGGCCAGGTCCCACAGCAGTATAACACCATGCGTGTCAGCAGTAGCGAGCGTGGCAGCCGGTGGGCAGGCGTGGGCGGCGGCGAGCGGCGCGCGGTGTGCTAACAAGGCCCGCGCGCGCAGGCAGTATACCAGGGACATGCGCCACGCCTCCACGCGTCCTTACGCGACACATCTACGTGTAATACTAGTGTACTCACTCGGCCAGGTCCCAAAGTAAGATAACTCCATGCGTATCAGCAGTAGCGAGCGTAGCGGCAGGCGGGCAGGCGGCGGCAGATGCTCACACACTAGTGTATATTCGTACGCGCCGTCGACGTCGGTCATCGACGTCAGCCAAAGCTAAGAGGAAATCAAGCTTAACTTAGAAGACTATACTCATTACTTACTCGGCCAGGTCCCACAGCAGTATAACAGTGGCAAGCGTGGCAGCAGGCGGGCAGGCGTGGGCGGCGGCGAGCGGCGCGCGGTGCGCTAGCAAGGCCCGCGCGCGCAGGCGGGGCACCACGCCCACGCGCCACGCCTCCACGCGCCCCGACGCGACACATCTACGTGTAGTACTAGTGTACTTACTCGGCCAGGTCCCACAGCAGTATAACTCCATGTGTGTCAGCAGTGGCGAGGGTGGCAGCGGGCGGGCAGGCGTGGGCGGCGGCGAGCGGCGCGCGGTGCGCTAGCAAGGCCCGCGCGCGCAGGCGGGGCGGCGCGCCGCGCACCACACTCACGCGCCACGCCTCCACGCGCCCCGACGCGTAGCCCACGATCACAGGGCACGACGCGCTCGTGGACGACGTCATCAGGGTTATCTGGTTCAGGCAGTGAACAATGTTGCAGTTTAATTTTAACTAACAAATTTTTTGCAAATAAAAATGTTGCAATAACAAGAAAGCAACAAATAGGTTTTTTTGCCTGGCCGTGTCGTGAACGAGCATTTCTTTTTTTCGTGTTTCGTGACTTGTATCATTTCACGTTATTGCTGAGCCGGCACCTTTTCAGCTTGTCTCAATAAAATTAATTATGTATGCAACTAAAATGTTAATTGCTGAATAATGTACAGATCGTTTCATCCACGAAGACGCGCCCATCATTCTTCTGCTAATGTTTGAGTGTTATCGGTACACGCTAAATTAACCTTTGGCGTGCTATTGAGCCGCGCAAAACTGCACCCCCCAACTGCTACGGTTTTTAAATGATGTTCCAAATGACAAAGTAATCTTGTCTTAGATCTGAGACAAAGCAGTTGACAGAGGTTGCACAGATATGAGACAAAGCATAGGAGAGGTTAACCATGAGTGCATACGCATACTGCAATAATGACACTGATTGCTCGGATTAAACTCCCCGCACCCCGCGCTTCCCTCGACCAAAAATTGGTGGGGCAAGTATTCGTGGATGAAACGATCTACTTCTGTAACTACCCACCACCACCCATGGTTCTACCTGCCTCACGGCGTACGAACCGAATCTTGGGAGAGCGCGCAGGTACTTGCTCTGGGCTCTTTTCCCCGGGCGCTTTGCTTGACTTTGCCCTACAAATTTATCTGATCCATGTGCCTTCTCATAGTCAATTCTCCCTCTTCTGGGGCTTGACACCACAAATACGGTACTTCGCGTCGGGCTGCTATCGTTGATAAATGTCATCACTTCTTCTCATAACTTCGCCTGATTGTGTGCCAGGAGTGCGCGAACTCGCGCAGCGCGATCCAGTTATTTATTTATTTATTTATTTAGGAAAACCAGGGTTTTACAGTGTGTAATAATGACACAAGATAGGCAACGAGTAAACCACTTATAGGTTCCCACAGGTAAAAACAATTTAAAAAATTTAGTGAGCCTTTGCACCAGGGTTACTACATACTACGTACTACACTACTATAATATACTATGTATCCTAAATAAAAAGTATTGGAAAACATTGCTAAACAGAAAAACAATTTAGCTGTCCTTAAAAAAACGGTCGCCTAGCTTTCTCCTCGCCACAGCAATGCTAGTACAAAATATGTCGATGTTAGTTNTCCGTATCGCATCCAGCACCTTCTGTCGAGCTTCGTCATAAAGGTTACATTCCCAAAGTGCGTGATCGCGGCTCTCTTTGACTTCCTCGCCGCATTGGCATAGTGCAGACTCGCACAGCGTCATCCTGTGTAGGCGCTGCCTGAAGCACCCGTACCCAGTTACCTACCTACTTCTGTAACTGTTGTACAAGCTGGTAGTGCGCACCTGGTCGAGCGGCGGCACCTGCAGCAGCAGGTCGGGCGGCGCGTCGCGGCGCTGGCGCAGGCGCACGATGCCGTCCCAGTGGCCCCACGACAACACGCCCCATGCGCCGCCACCTGCGTTACTCGACGACGCGTCGCCTGTATATGAAAAAGATAAAGGTAAAGTCAGGCCTGTTCATCTCCGCGAGTTTACATCGAAAACAAAACACGCACCATGGCCCACCTACAGGATTCTATTTGACAAGGCCTCACATACGAGCGAACATTGACTCGCGCACGCGTTTTCTTGTGTATGATGGAAGAAAATAAAGAAAATGGTGTACTAAATACTGTGCAGTATTTAACTGCCTAAATAATAATAAAAACACAGAATGTACTTTTTTAAGTTGCCTCAAGACACTGAGAGGTAAATAAGTAGTTAATATTATTCATGATAATTCATGCTAAATCATGTATTTCCTCCGCCATTTTGGCACCTCACGTCACATCATTTTACCGAAGTCAGCCCTATAGCTTCGGCACAGTACCGATCACTGATGTCTGTCAAAAAAATGGTGCTAGACTCTTGAGACAAGCTAAATTATATCATATTGTTTACGACAATGAGCATATTTTTTTTAATACCTTCGCGAAGAACACCCTTTGTTCGTAGTCNTTATTGCGCAGAATTCTTTTTGGAGCATTAAATTGAATGTTAGCTAGGAGTTCAGAGCAGTCAATCTCAGCTGTGATAACTTTTATAAGATATGTGATATCAGATATTTCACGCCTAATGGCAAGAGGAAGGATGTGGTGCCTTTTACAGATGTTAGAGTAGTCCGACGAACTATACTGTGATCTGGTACGGTAACAAATAAACCTTATAAACTTTTTCTGGATATTCTCCAAGCGAGAGACGTATGTTTGGTACCTAGGGTTCCAGATCTGCGACGCATACTCAAGGTGACTACGCACAAATGTGCAATATAGTATTTTAAGTGTCTTTACCTTGTTAAAACAGACTGAGCTACGCATTACAAAACCGAGAGCCCTTGACGCCTTAGCTACTATGCTATCTATATGGTCATCAAAAATCAGTTTGGAATCGTGTATCACTCCCAGATCGCGAATGGATGGAGTTACTGCGACTACTCGCGAGGTCCTGGTGATAAACAGATCCTTGCTCGGCTCTCCGTATCGCATCCAGCATCTTCTGTCGAGCTTCGTCATAAAGGTTACATTCCCAAAGTGCGTGATCGCGGCTCTCTTCGACTTCCTCGCCGCATGGGCATAGTGCAGACTCGCACAGCGTCATCCTGTGTAGGCGCTGCCTGAAGCACCCGTACCCAGTTTCCTACCTACAGTAGGTAGTCAAAGTCAAAGTCAAAATTTCTTTATTTGTTTAGACTAATAAATAGTTCTTACAAATCGTCATATGCTCTTAAGGAGCCTCTACATGTCTCATAATCTTTTTACCCTACCTTTTGTAGGTAACTGGGTACGGGTGCTTAGGTGAAGTAGGTAACCTACTTCTGTAACTGTTGTACAAGCTGGTAGTGCGCACCTGGTCGAGCGGCGGCACCTGCAGCAGCAGGTCGGGCGGCGCGTCGCGGCGCTGGCGCAGGCGCACGATGCCGTCCCAGTGGCCCCACGACACCACGCCCCACGCGCCGCCGCCTGCACTGTTCGACGACGCGTCGCCTGCATAAGAAAACGATAAAGATAATAATTAGTGGGTTTTAGTGGCGATTCCAAAGCCTCTTCATTTGTAATCTCAAAACTAAATAACTCGCTCAAAGCTCAAAGTCTTCGAGGATATTAACCGAAGTCTACTGCATATCTCGTCATGTAACATCGGATCGTGTTCGCATTTTCGGAAGTCGGGCAAGACGAGACTAGGTTACTGGATAATTTATTTTGTTACTTGCTAGTTTAAAGTGCATTTACAACGCCATTTAATTTCAAGCCTCATATTGTAGTCCCCAAGAGTCAGGTGTAAACTAAGTAGTTTGGGGACCACTAGCAATACTAAGTGATAATCTTTGTTAAATAAAGGATTTATTATTATAATGTAAACACGCACTTCGTGCTCACATTGTGTACTTCGATTAACTACGACAAACGTTGTAAGTGGTGTAGCATATGTATAAGGATAACATCGTCAGCATGTACCCAAATCGTCATCCTTTTCACTTCAGCAGCATGTTTAAGTGGTGTCAAAGCAAGCTATATTTGGGATATGTTTAAGCGCTCGAAAGTGCCAAAATTTTTTCGTTCGTTAGTTTCAGCCAAATAACGTCCACTGCTGGACAAAGACCTCCCCCCAAGGCTTTCCATAATTAACTGTCCTGTGCTGCCCGCATCTAGGTTTTAAGGTCCTAAGTAATAATAATAATAATAAATACTCTTTATTGTACACCACATAAAAAGAAACAGAAAGAAAAGGAACACATAAGGTACAATTAGGCGGTCTTATAAGTATTGAATAAAAATTATGATTTGACTCACCCGGCAGCGCCAGCAGCGCAGTGGCTTGCGGCAAGGCGGCAGCGAGGCGCGGCGCGGGCAGCGGCACCACGCTCGCGGCGCCCGCGCGTCGGGCCACCACGACTGGGTCGGGCAGCTCGGGCGAGCCGCAGTAGCGGCCCCAGCGCACGCCGATGGCCCCGCCCCATGCCTCCAGCTGCAACAAGAGATTAAAGGATCACTTTAGCGCGTTTACATATTACATACACACTTTATGCCACCTGCGTGAGGCCGTGGTAAGTCCCCATATAAACCCAAGGAAAATCACCCACGCCACAGCCACAAACGCAGCCAAAAGAAGCGGCTACAATTGTAGATGAAGCGCGCGACAGCCACACAAGAAGCGAGCAGCGGTGTTTTGTAGCGTGTGGCGGCTACCAGCGTCACCGTGTGCGACAAGTACATATGAAATGTTTGAAAACACTTTTGCATGCCGTGGCAGCCTGTAATGGACAACACGCATAAGTTGTAATATTAAGTTAAATTATGACTTAATTTAAAGTTTAGATCACACACATTACACTAGTTTTTATTTCACCTCAATCCATCCAGTATTACCGAAGATAGAGCCTCGAGAAGTTCACGGACTTTTTAAAATTTTCAAAAATTTCCAATATTCGCGCGTGACGTCACAACATGATTTTGCAGCCCCCGCACGTTAACCCATTTACCACTTTTTGTCTTTTAAAGTTTGGCTGCGGTCTCAAATTTGGGCTTAATTGAGGTATTTTTTGGGTGAGAGGCATAGGAACTAATGCCGTTTTATATCAAAAATTCATACTTAGAGGTAATCAACCAGGTACAAAGTATTTCCTTGTATGTTAGTCTGCCACTCTTTAGTAAGTCCCGAAATTGCCGCTTCGGCTCCCCTACTAACCATTCTAACCATTGTACACAGATAATATCTTACATGCTGCTTTTCATGTTACTACGTCACATTTTTAAAATCCGCGCGGAAAATCGCTACTAGCGGAAGAGCGCACTTTGAGCTTGAATATTTCAGTCATTTTTAAAGATATCAAAAAAGTAAAAATACAGTATTCATTCTAATTTTTTGTAGTTTTTTTTGGCATCTTCAACAAAAATTGTGCGCCATGTCCATTAAGATAGCACCTAGTCCTAAAAAAAAAATAGTATGTAAATCCCTCTGCTTGTAATTGTGTCTGTCTTGTTGATTGTACTAAATAAATAAATAAATAAAACTACATAATAAACGCCGGTGGTGGTGTTATGTGGTTGTGGATGTGACCCTTAAGGCTCCCACAGACCAAACGCGGGTCAGAAACAGTGCGTGTCAGTTGCAGCGCGGCTGAGGTACACTGAAAGCAGCTCAGTTTCAAAGCAGTTGCAACGCGGCCGGTTGTCAAAATTTTAAATATTCGAAAACCGCTTTCAACGCGCTGCTACCGCCCTGCGTCCGGTGTGTCTTGCTAATATGGCCGCCATAGTAATACAACAGCGCGGGCCCGCGCTCGCGCCGCTTCTGTCCCGCACCCGCGCCGCCTCGTTTGTATTTCGGCAGTTGCAGTGCGGCGCGTTTGGAGCGCGGGCCCGCGTTCAAATGGCAATGCCAGATTTTGTATGGAAAGTGGCGTCTTTTTTTTTTCGCGCGGCCATCGATCAAACTTTGTTTTTTGATTACAAAATAGTGTGATAAACCAAACTTACTACGGCATGTATACCTCTAAATTCAGTCTGAACTGAGTTACGAGCATTAGAAGTTTGATGATTTTCATACTAGATTTGCTTTTTGTGCGCAAGTTTTGTAAGAAATTGCAACAAAATATTGCGCTATTTTTTTATTGCGCTGATTCTGCTCCACACTGATGTCTGGAGCCTATAATGGATGGTATTGTTTGTTTACACATACAATCTCACTATTTTGTTGCAATTTGTTTGAAAACTTCGCGCGCAAAAAGCAAATCTAATATGAAAATCATCAAACTTCTAATGCTCGTAACTCAGTTCAGACTGAGTTTAGAGGTATACATGTCATAGTAAGTTTGGTTTATTACACTACTAGCTTTCCGCCCGCGGCTTCGCCCGCGTGGAATTTTGTCTGTCACAAAAAAACTTTATCGCGCGCGTCCCTGTTTCAAAAACCGGGATAAAAACTATCCTATGTTCTTTCCCGGGACTCAAACTATCTCTATGCCAAATTTCATCAAAATCGGTTGCGAGGTTTAAGCGGGAAAGCGTAACAGACAGACAGACAGACAGACAGACAGACAGACAGACAGAGTTACTTTCGCATTTATAATATTAGTTGGGATTTATTAAAAAACAAAGTTTGGTCGATGGCCGCCGCGCGAAAAAAAAAAAGACGCCACCTTCCATACAAAATCTGGCATTGCCATTTGGTGTGACATACTTCAAAAAGTTTCTTGTATTACAACTTGCGCGGGCCCGCATTCAAACTGCGCTGCTACTGCCCTGCGTTTGGTCTGCCCAAGGCTTTAAGGTAGAGAGGTTTGTGTGAAACTGCCAGTCAGCATTGTAAGCGTCTGTGCAGTGTGCGTGGTACCTGCCGGTGCGGCGCGGCGCGCGTGAGCTCGTGCGCGGCGTGCGGGTGCGGCTGGCGCAGCAGCTGGCGCGGCGCCTGCCCGTACGTGCGCACCATGGCCGCCGCCGCCGTGCGGTCCACCTCGTCCTCCAGCGCCGCCGGGTCGAAGCCGTAGTACGTCTGCAATAAACACATGTTATTGTAGCCAGGGCCGGATTAACCATCTCGGGGCCCCTAGGCACAACTCGTTTCGGGCCCCCCCTTTTTCATACCACAACAACGCAATTTGGAAATTTTTACTGTCTACATTACGAAATTGAATGAAGGTACCATCATTATCAACAACAGACTTTAGTCATAACATTGCAAAGGTATACTTCTAATTTTTTTAGATACAAAATCGTTTAAACCTTCTTGAAAATTGACCTTTTCTGATACATCATCTTTAACATATGTTTTATATTTTTCATTTTTTAATCGGGAGTGCTGGGCCCCTGGTCATAGTGGGCCCCTAGGCACTGGCCTAAAGTGCCTTATGGATAATACGGCACTGATTGTAGCCCTAGCATAGTAATATTGAGTACTACCAGGCCTGTTCATCTCCGCGAGTTTACATCGAAAACAAAACACGCACGATGGCCCACCTACAGGATACTATTCGACAAGGCCTCACATACGAGCGAACATTGACTCACGCACGCGTATTCTTGTGTATGATGGAAGAAAATAAAGAAAATGGTGTACTAAATATTGTGCAGTATTTAACTGCTTAAATAATAATAAAAACACAGAATGTACTTTTTTAAGTTGCCTCAAGACACTGAGAGCTAAATAAGTAGTTAATATTATTCATGATAATTCATGCTAAATCATTTTACTCCGCCATTTTCCGCAGTTTGGCACCTCACGTCACATCATTTTACCGAAGTCAGCCCTATAGCTTCGGCGCAGTGCCGATCACTGACGTTTGTCAACAAAATGGTTCTTAACTCTTGAGACAGGCTAAATTACACCATATTGTTAATGACATTGCGAAGTAAAACTTCTGTACGTAGTACTTATTATTATTCTGTGGTACTACGTATAGCCGCGCGGTGACGGCAGAGTAGAATACATTTGTCACCAATCCCTACTCTTCCCGCGGGTGGCGTAAGAGACGACTTAGGCCGGCATAACACGGACCGCTTGAAGCAGTCAACGGCGACAGCTTCAAGCTGCGACTGCAGTGATTCGGGCGGTCGACAGCACGGTGAATTTTTATCGTGCGGTCAAGCAGTCGCCAGCAGCCATACACTGACTGCTCGAGCTGTCGACAGCTCTCGCGCAGTTACCTCCGCACACTTTCATCATTCCACGGCGCACGCGCTTGTGATTTGTTGAGCAGTTAATACCAACTGCTCGAGCAGTTATCGCTGGCAGCTTCAAGCTGTCGACTCTTGACTGCAAAAGCGGTGCGTGTATGTTGATCACTGCCTAACTCCGTGTATTGTCGGCCTTAGGGACTACACATTAAACCAATTTGTTCTAAACACATCAAACAGAACGGGCAGCAGCGCTCTCTAAAAAATCCAACTCGCCTGCCAAGCGTGGGGATTTTGGCAAAATCCTCCACTATAGAGGAGGAGGCTCATAGTCCAGCAGTGAACTGTAAAGGGCTGTTGATGATGATTACGTATAGTATGGAAACTCCTCCACGCGCGCCAGCTCGCCGGTACTCACGCAGGCGGGGAACACGTTGAGCGCGTCGACGGCGGCCTGGCCGGTCTGCTTGTAGCCGAGCACGAGGTCGAGCCAGTGCGGCAGGCGCTCGGTGACGTGCGGCGCCTCCAGCGCCTGCCGGTGCAGCAGCACGAAGGCGCGCGCCTCGGCCGCCCACGCCGGCACCTCCACGTCGTCCACGCCCAGCCCGCACTGCCGCACGCCCAGCTCCAGCCCTGCACACGTGCGTCGCATGTCACAGGGGGAAGGGATTACGTGAAGTAAAAAACAGCAAATTGAAAAATATGCGAATGCTATTTGTAATGGACAGCCGCTAGGGCCGGTCAACGCGGAAATGAACAGTCCTACTCAAATCAAGGAACTTTATTTAGCCCAAAAAAAAGCCCTGACAGTTGTAAAAAAAGGTATCAAAATGTATAAAAAAGTATAAAAACAAAAACCAATATAAAAAAGTTTAGTCCACCTATTTGTTCCCAACATTATATATACTAATATTATAAATGCGAAAGTAACTCTGTCTGTCTGTCACGCTTTCACGCCTAAACCACTGAACAGATTTTGATGAAATATGGCATATAGATATGGTTTGAGTCCCGGGAAAGGACACATTTTAATCCCGGTTTTTGAAACAGGGACGCGCGCGATAAAGTTTTTCTGTGATAGAAAAAAATCGACGCGGGCGAAGCCGCGGGCGGAAAGCTAGTTCTTTCTAAGTGATGACTGAAAAACGAAAAGTTATACCCATGAGAGTTGATCTCCTAAACATGTAAAAAAAATCTTATAATGCAATCCAAGTGACTACTTCATAATAAACGTAGTTACCTTCGTTATTGTGGAACAGCTCGGGCAGGTAGAAGAGCTCGGGGATGAGCTCCTTGACGTCGGTGGGCGAGTCGTTGGTGATGAGCCGCCACGTCGTGGCCAGCGAGTGGAACGTGCGGTCCGGCATGTCGAAGTTGTTGTCTGCACGAGAATTAACACAAAAGTAAGTCAATCACCATAATGTTTGTCTTGAAGCGCTGGTAGGGCCCAAAAGATAAGGAGACATGTTAAGTGCCCCATAAGGGCTACCTTTTTTTTATTTACTTACTATATTTTGACGATCATAAGTGCCACTTGTGGTCTAAATTGAATAAATATTTTTGATTTTTGATTTTAATCAAGATCTAATTGTTGAATGTTTGATTCTTGAGAATAAACGGGACCACGGGCGTACCCAGGGGACAGGGAGGGCAACTGCTCTTCCCTGGAAGTCTCGCAGAAAATTATGAACTTGCCTAAAAGCGCTACAGTCGCTTTGAAGGAGCTAAGTCAATTGACTTGTCCCCTCCAAAGCCCGAAATTGCACCTCATCAATCTTGGAGTCATGGGTGCCCAGGGTAGTCCCAAGCCCGATAGTGGCGAGTTGAAGTGACAAGTCTAACCAGGAGAGTAGGGCGGCCAATGTCCAGTAGTGCAGTGAGGACACGCGGCAGTACCTTGGTAGTTGAGGAACAGCTCCGTGAAGGGCGGCAGGCGCACGAGGTAGTGCAGCACGCCGCCCGAGTTGCTGTACAGCGACGCATAGTGGTGAGGCTGCCGCGCTACCACGGGGCTGCAGCCCTCGCGCCGTGCCGCCTTCAGGTCCTGAAAACAGGGCCAGAAAGTTATAAACAAGTCATTAAAAACGGAAGAAACAAATGACTGTGCGGAATTAAATATAAAATCACCACTCCAGGAGCAACCTATTCCGATTTACTTGAGCCAAATGAAAAAATTGGCCTCTTGCCAGCCAGATCCCATTCTACTTTGCCAGAAATAGACGGCAATCTTAAGACCTGCGCAGACAGGGGCTGTCCTCGCGGTACGTTTTTCCAGTCAATCTCCCTTAAAAACTGTATCGAATAACGCACAAAGGCGACTTAAAACCAGACCTAGAAACGGCGCTCAACTAAATTACAACAAATCAATGCACGCTGTGTACGTGAAGTCCGCAGAAAGTTATTAGCGGACAATTTTGTCACGATTCAGGGATTCTCCTTTGTGGACAAGACTCATAACCTCGTCTGCGCCAGCCTTAGGCTGCGTTTCCACCAGAGATGTGAGAGGATGCGTAGCGAGGGGTGTGTTCGCAAAGAACCAATAGACTCGCTTCATTTACTTCGCCTCGGTAAAAGAAACAATTCTATTGGTTGTTTTGGTGGAAACGCAGCCTTAAACGTGCACTCACATTGTAGGTGTTGATATAGTGTTGCTCCCGACTCTTGCGCTGCACAGCCATAGGCTTGGTGAGGTCTCGGAAGGTCTCCGGCGCCGTCAGGTCTAACACTCGGCTGGTGTAGTCGGCCAGCACGAAGGGTAAGACGGGGTACTGCATGAGGTCGTTGTAGGAGCGGCCGGCGAGCCCGTTGAGCCGCATGAGGTACTCCCAGTTGGTGATGCTGCCGTTGCGCCACTGGTTCATGGCTTCAGCTAGCGTGTCTTCTTCTTGTCTGGAATAAAGTAATCTTATCACAACAGACAGAAGATAGCATTGGACAGATATTTTTGCATTGTAGCGCAGCATGGACAGATGATCTACAGGGTGTTTGGTAAATGGGTATATGAGCCGACACTAGCCCATGTTAACATCCCAACTAATATTATAAATGCGAAAGTAACTCTGTCTGTCTGTCTGTCTGTCTGTCTGTCTGTTACGCTTTCCCGCTTAAACCTCGCAACCGATTTTGATGAAATTTGGCATAGAGATAGTTTGAGTCCCGAGAAAGAACATAGGATAGTTTTTATCCCGGTTTTTGAAACAGGGACGCGCGCGATAAAGTTTTTCTGTGACAGACAAAATTCCACGCGGGCGAAGCCGCGGGCGGAAAGCTAGTGGGCATATAAATGGTATGGTGAAGTCAGAAATTTGATACCATCATTTTATTTTTTTAAATTTTCATACAAAATAAATTTTATAAAATCCTATTTGTATGGAAAATAAAATAATTAAAATAAAGATATCAATTTTTTGACTTCACCATACCATTTATATGACAATGTTCACATGGGCTAGTGTCGGCTCATATACCCATTTACCTAACACCCTGTATACTAATATTATAAATGCGAAAGTAACCTTTGTCTGTCTGTCTGTCTTGTTTTCACGCCTCTGAACCGATTTTGGTGAAATTTGGCATAGAGATAGTTTGAGTCCCGGGAAAGGACAGGATTTTATCCAGGCTTTTGAAACAGGGACGCGCGCGTTAAAGGTTTTCTGTGACAGACAAAATTTCACGCAGGCGAAGCCGCGGGCAGAAAGCTAGTTTTCCATAAAGGCTACAAGAAAGCGCTGGATGCAGGCTGCTACGAACCGGTCAATCTACAAATAATTGGGTCGATATCTCGGGAATGAAATAGAAATTATATTCCATTAAACAGATAATATAACAACGTATTTCAAGTCAATGTCGAACGGACTTAAAATTTTGTCACCTAGCCTATTTGGGGGAGAGCCATGTTCAGCGTGGTTTTCTGTTTCTGAAATGACGACTAACAAGATATCTTAGAGCGGCAATACACGGACCGCTTGAAGCAGTCAGGGTCAACAACTTCAAGCTGTCGACTGCACAGTGAACTGCAGAGTTCTATGAACGCACATAACACGAAGCGCTCGAGCAGTTGCAACTGATTCGGGCGGTCGATAGCTTGAAGCTGTCGACCCTGACTGCTTCAAGCGGTCCGTGTATTGCCGGCCTTAGGTAGTTATAGGAAAAAACTTACTTGTTCGGCAAGTGGTAGTTCTTCAGCGCCTTGAGGAAGTTGGCGCGCTCAGCCTCCGAGTCGAAGGCCAGCAGCTGGGCGTGCCCGGAGGCCAGGAACAGAAATATCAAAATATTTTGGTTGTTATAAGAAAGAACATACTTGTTCGGCAAGTGGCAGTTCTTGAGCGCCTTGAGGAAGTTGGCGCGCTCAGCCTCCGAGTCGAAGGCCAGCAGCTGCGCGTGCCCGGAGGCCAGGAACAGCTCGACGGCGCGCTCCTGCAGGCACCAGCGCCGCGTGCCCACCGCCGTCACGCTGCCCAGCGCCCAGCACTGCGCGCGGCCCGGCGCCCACGGCTCCCAGCTCTCGTCGTCCGAGCCGCTGTCTTCGGGCACGAAGTGGATGGATCTTGGATAAGAATAAACCATATTTCAACGATGCTGTAACGTACATACCGGATCTGACGTGCAATTGCTGTATTCTGTCAAACGCCTAGGTATAGATGATCCACGCTGATGTCCCACCAAACTCAATGACAGGGGGGCGCTACCATCGTTCAACTATATGGTTTCCATCATGGCAAAAATCGGAACCAGCGATCCGGTATTGACGGTGGCGCCATGCTGTCAATGTCATGGATAGAACAGTTCAGTATATTGGAACTATAAATAGATTTTATCGTAAGTTTTGAACTGTCAAATGAATATAATTGCTTTACAAAATTGCACCTATGATTGCACCAGGCAGTCTTAAAAAAAAAAAAAAGGAGATGGCAGGAGATCGTGCGGAGAGTATCTGCCTCTACAATAAACGTGGACGCCTCAATATAACCAACCACTACTACTCAGCTAAGAAGAAGAAAGTATGTAACGACATTTTTGAGAGGGTAGATTTTAAGTTGGAACGCCATATACAGGGTGTCGCGTAATGTAACGTCAAGCCGGAACTGGGTATTGAGGCAAGTTGTGCTGGTTATCAGAAAAATATAAAAAAAAAATCTATGTGGCATATTATCAAAATAATAGGTATTTAAAAAAAATCTAAAAAATCTACTCCAGGTGACGGTCCTTTTACTCGTGTTGCCACAAATCTTCACTTTTTCCAAATTTTTATTTTTGCTACCTGCTCTGCCTGCACTTGTACTTGGTAACAGGGATAATAAGGATATGAAGTTTCGGTTATGGATACGGTTACGGATATTAGAATAATATTATACCGGTTTCGGTTACGGTCACGGATATGAAATCATTTCAGATTATCCGAAAGTCTCGGATAATTTCGGTTACGGAATTATTAGAATTTCAAAAATGTAGGTATAATACAAATAGCAAGATGCTGCGTGAGCGTGACCCACATAGCTACTTTATGTACCAACTAAGACGACACCTATGTATGATAAAGGTAAAACAGGCTGGCATATTAGATGGTGCCAGCGAATGCCAGACAAGTTGGTAACAAATATTAAGATTTAAGGTACAATTCCAAGACGGGCCGCAGACCGCAAACTGCAACCGCAAACTGCAAAACTATGAAATCGGCAGCGCGGCATTGCAGCTGCGGCGTGTATACTGCAGATTTCATAGAGTTTTGCAGTTTGGCCTTTATCCGAAACTATCCGTAACTTTTGAATCAGTTTCGGTTACGGTTATGGACATTTTTTTATTTCGGATATCCGATAGTTTCGGTTACGGTTACGGATATCCATAACATCCCTGCTTGGTAAGATGGCCCTCTCCGTCCCGCTCATACCTTTTAAAATGGCTTCTCCACCTCACTTAAGCCAGAAACTTGAATTTTGGGCACATTAGAATAATATTTTTAACCAAGGTAGATAAAGTTAAAAACGGGATTATTTCCAATAAACAAAAATTGTCGACAATTACAGCAAGATTTTACAAAGTGTTATACCATTTTGGAATCCTTACTAAATGCGCCAAATTATAACGTCACTTGCCACACTCGCGTAGTACATTTTTTTTCAGTACAGTCAGTTTAAACTAGGCGAAATTTTTATTTTGATATTTTTTTTGGGATAAATGTATTTTTTTCATCCAAGTTGGAGCAGCTGGTTTTGTAATTTTGATAACAATTTAGAGAAGCATTATTCAGGATTACATAACAAAAAAAAAATTTGGAAAAAGTGAAGATTTGTGGCAACACGAGTAAAAGGACCGTCACCGGGAGTAGAATTTTTTGATTTTTTTTAAATGCCTATTATTTTGACAAAATGCCACATAGATTTTTTTTTTATATTTTTCTGATAACCAGCACAACTTGCCTCAACACCCAGTTCCGGCTTGACGTTACATTACGGGACACCCTGTACTTGTTCAGTTGCAGCTGTTGACAAGCGTATGAGGTATGATCTTTCAAATGCTCGTGTCAATTGAACATACGTGCAATGACGTCTTAATGATACGTTACCTGTCAGTGAGCAGCAGCTCGCCGCAGGTCTCGCTGTCGTGCGTGACGTGCGTGACGCGCGCCATGCACGCCACGCACTCGTTGAGCTGCAGCCGCGCCGCCAGCCCGTCGCGCTCCGTCGCTAACGCTGTTGCCGACAGTACGTGCGATGACGTCATAGTGCTCGTGCCCTTACCTGTCCGTGAGCAGCAGCTCGCCGCAGGTCTCGCTGTCGTGCGTGACGTGCGTGACGCGCGCCATGCACGCCACGCACTCGTTGAGCTGCAGCCGCGCCGCCAGCCCGTCGCGCTCCGTCGCGCTGCGGCCCAGCACGCTACGCAGCGGTGGCGGTCGCTTGGCAAGATCTATGGTTGACAAAAAAGTTACATTTTGATATTATACGAAATCGATCATTGTTTATTTATTTGATCGCCAACAAGGTTACACTGTGGCGTTCACAAATGTTATAATTTTCCGTGAAAATCTTACATCAATTTCCAGTGGCAAAAATTACGGCTCTCTTGAAAGAAAGATGCATCTGAAAAAAACTTTCATAATGGGCATACATTGTGGGCGTTTACAGATGTTTAGTTGCAAGTATTGTATTGTCTTTTCGATTTCAATTTTAAAGGAGAACAACCATTTTGGGCCCAAGTTTGTACAGAGTTGTACATTGGTAGTTTTTTGATATTATATTACGCATACATTAGGGAGTATTTTACGGTAAAAATGATAATTTTAACTGATGTCGTAAGTCGTATACAATAATAAAAACGAATTAATGATTTAATCTAAGATAACGTAAAATGGAACGTTAAAAGTCAATCGATTAAAGACTCAATACACTATACTGTCCCACCAAACTCATTGACAGGGGGGCGCCACCATCGTTCAACTATATAGTTTCTAACATGGCAAAAATCGGAACCAGCGATCCGGTATTGACGGTGGCGCCCCCTGTCAATGTCACGGGTGGGACAATTCAGTGTATTTGATCTTTAAGAAGGTTTGTACTGACAGATGACAAAACTAAAATGATTGAATGAAATAATGAATGAAAATAATTCGTTTTGTCATCTGTCAATGCAGCAATGTCACTTGCGAATCACAGATGAGACCACAGATTAGAGAGTATGTCTAAAGGATCTAAAGGATGAGACTGTTGCGAATGCTTGTTGAATTGAATGGCTTGTACTGCTGCGCCGGCTGCAGGAAGCGCTTGTGGATGCGCAGGTGCGCGCGGCGCAGGCGCACGCGCACGCGGCCCGGGCCCTCCGTCGGGTCCAGCTGCCACGACGCCGGCCAGCTGCGCGGCTCGTGGAACACCGCTGTGGGACCACACGCCACGTGACACTCACCCGGCTTGTACTGCTGCGCCGGCTGCAGGAAGCGCTTGTGGATGCGCAGGTGCGCGCGGCGCAGGCGCACGCGCACGCGGCCCGGGCCCTCCGTCGGGTCCAGCTGCCACGACGCCGGCCAGCTGCGCGGCTCGTGGAACACCGCTGTACGACACAAAAGACACGTATTCTACACTAATATTATAAAGAGGAAAGATTTGTACCTATTTTTGTATGTTTGTAATGAATAGGCTCAAAAAGTACTGGGCCGATTTAAAAAATTCTTTCATCAATAGAATGCTACATTCTTCCAATTTGACATAGGCTACATTTCATTTTGAAAAAAAAATAGGGATCCTTGTCCTTGGTAAAATTTATAATAAAGTATAGTTAGCGGGAAAAAATATTTGTATGAAAAAATCTAAACCGCGTAAGATAGATGAAGGGGGTAAAACGGGATCCACGCGTACGAAGTCGCGGGCGGCCGCTAGTTATTTATAAAGTACAACAACAAAGTCACATACAGTTCATACATTTTAACATGGTTAACACATGATGTTAGTCTGTGGACGCCCTCTGCCCCATCTAGGGGACATAGGACCATAAGTCAAGTAAGTCAACACATGATGTGTATTGACCTTAATTACAGGTATACAGCATTTCTTCTCGCACTTATACATTGGAAAAAACAATTTAAATTGAATTTAAGCATCGAACAATATAAAGGATTTAGTAATTGTTCATTTTGTTCAGTGCTTAAGTCGTTCCGAATACAGGCTTTAGAATTAGACTAGGGAGCACTTGAATTTTTGCATGTATAGTGAATGAGCGGATCTTTTGGTCGAGCCGCTCAAGTGGAGACATATTGATCAACTACGAAATTGCTAATGAAGGTGGCTAAATCTTGAGCAAGCTTAATAACAAAACAAATCGTAATATATCATGTTGCAATACTCTAGCAGGGTCATGTTACGGGTCTACGTCTATTGTGTAAAATCTTTATTATACAAATATGGAGTAATAAAGAATTTGAACGAATATTGTTTGGTGAAGCGATGGACTTACCAGAGGGTGAGGAGGAGAGGTCCCAGGAAGCTAATTTGCTGTATTTCGTTCACTTTCACAGCTGGTTTTTCAGACTGATGTTTTGACGCAAGAGCAGCGTCCGCGCGCGTTCGTTCGGGTTGTATGTGTGCGGGGAAGGGGGGAGGGTGACAAATGACAGGAGCAGTGTTGCCCAACGCTTCTAGAACGTTCCGGTCGCCGCTATCTTGTCTATGATGTCAGAGATTATAATTCTATCGCTAGCAAATATGTGGAATGCGTACCCCGGTCGTGCGTGTAGTCGCGCACGAGGCGCGCCCAGCGCGTGGCGGCGGCGTGGCGCGCGGCGTGGCGCCGGCGCAGGTGCTGCATGAAGCCCTTGCGCTCGGCGTTCTGCGCCTCCACCGCCGCGCGCGTCACCGCCATCGCGCCCTCCGCCAGCCGCGCGCATACTGCCTGCTTGCGGAACACCGCCCTGTGTATAACCACATACATAAGTTAATGAGGGCTATCGTTTTTATACTTAACAGTTGGCACCCCTGGCGATTGACAGGACCTTACTGAACAGGTCTGTCTAATATAACGGCCTAGTAAAATTGTAAATGTCGCTTATGTGCGACCAAACTCCTTGGACGCGCGCCTGGCCGGCGAGAAACTTCTTTTTACTTTTATGTTTTTTATCGATTGTCACTTTTTTCTCTTCTCTTGACTTTTCTACTCTCGAACTAAACATGTAACTTGATGTTGTTTTACAATATAATTTTATTTTACACCAAAAAGCCTTTCAATCAATTAATCTCTCGTAGTGAAAGACGTAAATTGGGTATTTGACACCATTCGCCAATAATTCTAAACCACAACTTTTTTAAAAAGACACTTGTTTCTGGTCTTAAAAACTTAATTAATTTTTAATTACCTGTAAATTACGATTTTTGGTTGCATTATCATTGAAAAAAGTAGTTTCATTGAGTTGATAAAATTGTGACGTCACATGCTAGTATTGCCGTACAAAATCTATGGGAGAGTGTCGTTTTGACATTTTTAAAAAGTACGTCAATTGATTGGTGGTGTCAAATACCCTATTACGTTCATTACTCTACAGTGGCACCATCTTGATTAGTGCAAATGCGATAGTGCTCCTACCACTTTAGCACTCACCAGTTGGTGCCACTGTCTTCGCTACTAGCAAGTGACAGGACCTTACTCTACAGTGGCGCAAACTGGTGAGCGCTAAAACGATAGCCCTCATTACGAACAATGTTTACAGGCTGTCTAGACATGTCTCTCATTTACCCAATGAACTTTTGTACTTTATTGAGATAAGATTAAAGCAACAATTTCAGCATCACAAATCAATGAAAAAAGAGTGAACGTTCATGAATCCGTTGCGATGGCTGCACGACAGACTGTGCCAGCTTGTTAACTTCCGTCTGCGTTCCCGCCGTAGTATGTCAGGTTATTTGACGTCACAGTAAGGCCACGCCTTCTTAATCTTATTCCTGTCTTGTACAGCCGTGTGTCACCTGGCGATGGCGGGTTGCTGGCGGGCGCGCGCGGCGGCCCAGCGCGCCAGGTCGCGCGCCAGCAGCGCCGCGCCCTCGGCCGCCAGCGAGTCGCTGCTGAGGCGCGCCGGCAGCGCCGCCTGCGTGCTCACCGCCCAGCCGCGCGCCCAGTCCGTGATGGCCAGCTCCACGCCCGGCGTGCCCGCCTCCGCTTGCAGGTGCTGGTTCTGCAGGATCAACAGCAGGTACACCGCCAGCTGCGAACACACAGGGGCTCACGTCATTGTTGCGATCACTTATTACTTCCCGTCGACTGTGCGCCGCACGCACCTGCCTGCTGGCGCCGGGCTCCTGCGGCGTGAGCGCCTGCAGCGCCTGCGGGCTGGCGCGGTAGAGGCGGCGCAGCAGGCGCGGCTGCAGCTCGCGCGCGCCCGAGCCCGGCGCGCCGCCCCACCACACCGCCTCCTGCAGCGCGGCCGGGGCTCCAGCTGCAGGTCACACGCACCTGCCTGCTGGCGCCGGGCTCCTGCGGCGTGAGCGCCTGCAGCGCCTGCGGGCTGGCGCGGTAGAGGCGGCGCAGCAGGCGCGGCTGCAGCTCGCGCGCGCCCGAGCCCGGCGCGCCGCCCCACCACACCGCCTCCTGCAGCGCGGCCGGGGCTCCAGCTGCAGGTCACACGCACCTGCCTGCTGGCGCCGGGCTCCTGCGGCGTGAGCGCCTGCAGCGCCTGCGGGCTGGCGCGGTAGAGGCGGCGCAGCAGGCGCGGCTGCAGCTCGCGCGCGCCCGAGCCCGGCGCGCCGCCCCACCACACCGCCTCCTGCAGCAGCGCCGCCCACTCCGCGCCGCCGCCGGACCACCAGCGCGCGCGGGTGCCGCTCGATGACCCGCTCACNAAGTTGCATTATTAACTTAGTTTTAAAATTCAAAACAATTGATTTTTCTGTTATAAGCTAAGAAATTCATTGCTCGTTTTCAAGATTGTTAGTATTTGAGCAATGGAATGTTAAAAAAAGTCACGAATGCTGAAAAGTCTCGTCTTGTGTACCAACATCTAAAGTTATCATTAGTTAGTGATGAGAAAAATATTGACATGCAGAATTTAGAAAATAAGAGTAATTACATGTGCAAAAAAAATTGTGAGTATTTTAAAAAGGCATCTCAGTCTACAAAAGTTTTCAAAAATAGACAATCTGACTGGTTAAGCGATCTTTATATCACTGGTTTGCGAAATTTGCCTAAAAAAAGGAAGTCTTCTTTACCCAAAGAGTGCATTACTTTAATTTCAGTAGAATAATATAATATTATACAATGTTTTACAAAGTATTTTATTTTATTAAAAAGTTTTCCACTTTTGACCGCTGTTACATAGACGCGGGACCACCGTGCATTGGACAAAATTCTACGTGCTCGCAGACCAAACTATAGATAAGGCTGCGCAGGAGTTGCAGCAATGAAAACTGTCACGTGTTAAAGGGCCGAGATAGTACGCTACCTATGAGCAGCGTGGCGAGCAGGCGGTCGTAGAGGGCCGCGTGGGCGGGCGGCAGCGGGTCGCGCGGCGAGTGCGACTGCAGGAAGGCCAGCGCCCGCGTCACCGTCGCCACGTGCCGCGCCGCCAGCTCCGCGCGGTCCACGCGCGCCTCGCCGCCCACCGACATCGCCGATGACAGCACTGCAAAAACGTGTACAGGCACAGAATAATAATAAGAATAAGAATACTTTATTCAGCATAGAAAAATAAAAATACAGTATAATAAGTACTACGTACAAAAGGTTTACTTCGCGAAGGTATTTAAAAAAAATGTATGCTCAATGTCATTAACAATTGCCGTAATTTAGCTTGTCTCAAGAGTCAAACACTAATTTCTTGACAATCGTCAGTGATCGGTAAATGATGTGACGTGAGGTGCCAAACTGCGGAAAATGGCGGAGGAAATAAATGATTTAGCATGAATTATCATGAATAATATTAACTACTTATTTACCTCTCAGTGTCTTGAGGCAACTTAAAAAAGTACATTCTGTGTTTTTATTATTATTTAGGCAGTTAAATACTGCACAGTATTTAGTACACCATTTTCTTTATTTTTTTCTATCATACACAAGAATATGCGTGCGTGAGTCAATGTTCGCTCGTATGTGAGGCCTTGTCAAATAATATCCTGTAGGTGGGCCATCGTGCGTGTTTTGTTTTCTATGTAAACACGCGGAGATGAACAGACCTGGTACTACACTAAAAATTGGCCAAGTGCGCGTCGTGACACGCGCAGTGTAGGGTTCCGTAGTTGTTCGTCGTTACCACAATTAACGTTAACTTTAATAATTTGCAAACAGATCCCTAAATGGAAAAATAGTCTTAAAAACCCCTACGCCATTTTAAAAGACCTATCCAACGATACCCCACACGATGGGGTACAAGATGAAAAAAAAGTTCATCCCCACTTTACATGTTCTATTTTACCGTTTTGTCGGCGTGATTAATATACATATCTCCACAATTACAGCTCCCTAGTGCCAATAGTTTCCAAGCAAAACCTCGGACAGACAGACAGACATATCGAAACTATAAGGGTTCTTTGTCAGGACCACGGAACCATAAAAGCGGTAACTTAGGAGCGTGACTAGCGAAACCTAGCACGAATTTGTCGGCGAGTTATCTTCTCAGGGCCTATGCAAATTGCATAATGCAATCCAATATTGTTGCGTGGCTTTTCGCTTGGAAAAGGATTACGCTCATATTATGTTAAACGATGAAATTGTAAATAAGCAAAGATACCCGTGCGGGGTGTGACGGCTTACCCGTGCTGAAGTAGGTGGCGTACTTGTTGTGCGGCGCGGCGTCGGCCAGGCGCTCCTCCAGCTGGGCCAGCTGCGCGTTGAACAGCGCCGCCTGCGCCGAGCGGCACGCGATGCGGACCTCCTCATCGCTTTCTGTCTGCTCCACGAACGTCAGCTGGTAGTGGATGTCGCATATCGTCTGTGGGGATGAAGGTAAATGAATTTGCTGTATGTACCAATATTGACTTTTCCACCTAGTTCCCACCATTAAACTTTCTTTGTGTAGCTAGAATGAGAGGACCAGGACCAGTTCAAATTAGGAGTTCAGAAATAAGATTCGACTGCCATCCAGTGCATAGATGATGACGGTGTCAAGCAACCAGGAGACCAGTTTAGAGAATTTTCCAGGTGCTCNCGCGGTAGAGGCGGCGCAGCAGGCGCGGCTGCAGCTCGCGCGCGCCCGAGCCCGGCGCGCCGCCCCACCACACCGCCTCCTGCAGCGCGGCCGGGGCTCCAGCTGCAGGTCACACGCACCTGCCTGCTGGCGCCGGGCTCCTGCGGCGTGAGCGCCTGCAGCGCCTGCGGGCTGGCGCGGTAGAGGCGGCGCAGCAGGCGCGGCTGCAGCTCGCGCGCGCCCGAGCCCGGCGCGCCGCCCCACCACACCGCCTCCTGCAGCAGCGCCGCCCACTCCGCGCCGCCGCCGGACCACCAGCGCGCGCGGGTGCCGCTCGATGACCCGCTCACAGCTGCAACAATAAAGTGAAGGTATTAAAGCCCGGTCTGTGAACACGTAGAATTTTGTCCAATGACCCCAAGCTAGCCATCTTATCTTATCGCTCGCGCGTAATTATATTGCTGTCGACAGGCGCCCGCAGTGAGAATTATGTGAGTAACATAATTACGCGCGAGCGATAAGGATGGGTAGCTTGGGGTCATTGCACTGTGGGCCCGGCAGAGGTCAAAAGTCAAAAAAATCAGTTGTCTATTAATCTTTTTTTATTTACGCAGATAGATAGTTAAAAACCTCTGGTTTTAGAAAATACTAGCGGNAGTTTTTTACTGTTTCGCGGATTTACCCCTCTACATTGCGGCCTTGTTACCTACCGACGAAATACCTTTCTACCTCATTTAAAAGATTCGTCCACTTATGTTAAGTGTATATCTCAGGAAAAAACAAACAAGTCTTTCATAAATATTGTTTTCTTCGAGAGATGGAAAAATAAAAATAACTAAGGGAATAGGTAATAAAGTAGCTAGGTGGCTCTACAAAGTAGTCTACCAGTCTTTTTGTGGGATATCGCTTCGACTTATTCGTAGACACAGGCAACAGCACGTCGGACTATTACATTTTCATTGCAAAATAATCTCTAATACAAAGCCATAAGATACCACTGTGTTGGCTAGAGATGTCAATACAGGGGGGTACAGCCACTAAGCTGCCGGTCAGTCACTAAAATGAGAGTGGCAGTAAGGTAAGTATAGCCACAGAATAATAATAAATTGCTAATAATAGCAAATAGTGAGAGTAATCTTAAAAACCTCACAAATCAAACTTTCCTGAACCCACCCTTTTGTTTTCAGCAGATGTAGCAAAGCAAGAAAATTACAAATTATGGTAATAGTCTTGTGGGAGGAATACTTAAATGACAGCCCAATGATCTGGAAATTGGAGTACCTAAGTACGCAAGGTAAACAAGAATTAATAAGGTCTATGTATAGTTTCTATGATTAATTATTATAATTATTTATCGCCTACACTTTAATTTACTTTATAAGTCTACTTTACTTTTATTAGTCTATCATAAACGTAACCATTAGAATACGAATAATTAAGTACATACGACGTATGAATAATACATGGAAATATTTAGTTTTTCCCAAATTCAGTACATACGCGTAACGCGACGCAGGAGGAAGCGGACGGATGTACCTACCTACGACTACTGTTCGCGACGCGACGAAGCCGATTCGGTCTTGGGTTCGAAGTATTTGTGTAGTAAACAATCGTATAATCTACCCCACTATAAAGTTATTAACATGTATCATATCTAGGCGCCCTAATGAGAATAAAATTAATGTAAATCTTAAGAAAAATAATAATATTCTTAAAATCATTTTACTGTCAGTCCAGTTTTTCTGGGGCAAAATAAATTGGTGCATATGAGTACGCCCTTGGCCGAATTTATTTTTCATTGGTATGAAATTGTAATATCCCATAAATTTTCCAAATCCCTTGTGATTGATTGTATTGCTTACATAACGGCCGTACGAAAACTTGTTTTATATTCAAGGATTTCACAAACAATTTATGAAAAATTAGATCTCATACCTACTATAGTAATTCAGCATATATTGCTGAATTATAGATCTTCTCTATTTCCTATGTAGTAAATATTTTGCAATGAAGTCTAATTACACTTTAGCAGGTAATTAGTGTGACTGGATGAAGGTTAGGCTAGGCCCAGGTAAGTGATACAATCCACGATGACATTCGCTACGGTCTGTATAATATCATACGTATCATAGTCGGTTCCGCGAACGGGGAACAGGGCCGTAGCTAGGGTCGAATTTGAGGTAGGGCAGCATTAGTTACAGGTAGGGCGGAAGTAAAAAAATTATCATAATTGATCTGCCGTCGAAACACGGGCTCCTAAATCAATCACCATGTATATCACCATCATGTGAATAGTTATTCGTAGACAAATAATTACTGTGACAGTGCATGAGCATGGATCTAAGAACTATTAAATCCTCAATGATGAAGAACAAGTGAATAAGATGGTTGAACTTCCAGATTTGGATGTAGAGATCCACTTCTGAGTGAGAGTGAGGTAATAATTAATTATTGGGTGGGGTGATACGAGTAAATAGAAACGACCAAAAATATCATTAAGATCACATTGTTTTTGCGTACTTATTATAATAATTAACTAACATAATAATAAAAAAACATTTAAAACAGCTGAATTCTACGATTCGCCATGTTATTAAAAATGCGAAGAACTTCGTTCAGATCAACTGATTTTGTTCTTTTTTTTTCAAAGGCCAGAAATACCATACCAGCCATTCTCTCGTGACCCATTGACAGCCTTTGAGGCCTATTGATTGCAGTTAAAGTTGAAAACGTAGATTCACACACTGCAGTGCTACATCCTATGGTCGCCGGTCGCCGTCGGTCATCCACAGACGCAAAAAGTGCATATGTATCTTTGAACGCCTCTCGTTGCCTGTACAAAACTTGCAATGTATTTTCCATTATATCCTCGTTACGACTCAAGTAAGCTTTAACCACACTAGCCTCTTCTCTTGATGGAATTTTCAGACCTGAAAAATTAGTTAAAATTGTAAATTGAACATGACAATTTTTTTGAATTTTTTTTTTTTTTTAAACTTACCCAAATTTTTCAGTGCNAAGTTATTACGTTTTCTTTGCAATAAGTAATTGGAAGAAAAAAAAATCTATAAAAAATTTAAAAAAAATCTCAAAAAAATTTTGACCACTTTTTTGTCGATAAAAATAGGTCTAGTTTCATCTATTTTCATATGTACACTTTAACGTGACTCACACTGTATTTTGTCTGGCGGAGGAACAGGGGGTGTACGTCAAATAGTCATCCATCCGATTTGGTTTTTTTACTTGCCTCTTCGAGGTCTGTGTCCTATTTTCAGATTCGCCGCAGTCATTGCTTGTTAAAGACTTAGCTTCTTCCAGAATTTGATTATACATTTGATTTGATCTTAATTTAATAATTTCATCTTTGACACACTTTATGATTGTTATGGCATCTTTTAATCCTGCGCTTCGGGCTTGCAAAGCTGCGTCTGCAGGTTGTAGCGTGGATAAGATTTTTTTGGCCACAACCATGGCTATTCGGAATTCCAGATCAAGCATGACTTTTTTAATACCTATACTCTTGGTCATTGGTGCGTTCCGTTTCATCGGCTTTAGTTTGAACCAATACAAGAGTCTTACCATCACATTATAAATTTTGTTGCAAACTTAGATACCTATCGCTACATTTTTTTTCTCAAACTATGAACAAACAATTTAATTATAATAATTTATCTTAGTTTTAGATATTTTTAAGGTAGGGCATTGTGGTTTCAAGGTAGGGCATTGCCCCACAATGCCCCCCCCTAGCTACGGCCATGGTACTTAGTGACATTTGACGTCACCAAAACTTTAACCCATCCGGGCCGATGTCAAACAAGTCATTAACTAAAATATCTTTATTTTTATAATTAACTAGCTGACCCGGCGAACTTCGTACCGCCTTAGCGTAGAGATTTTCTTAATATTTTTTTCCGTAAGAACCATCCTTGGACTTCCACAAACATTTAAAAAAAAGAATTATCGAAATCGGTTCAGCCGTTCACACGTGATGCCGTGACAACGCGAAACGGGTTTCATTTTTATATATATAGACAAGCACATCTAGCCGATGTCAGTATTTCTTACATTATTTTTAAACTTCATGTCCAATGATATTGTTCATAGTCAGTTATTTATAAACAAATAATGTCAACAGTTTAAAGGCTTCATGAAAGAATACGTGTAAACAAATACTTGTTGNATTATAGTATACAACTTTTGTAACTGCTAAATGTCCAGACCAGCGTTGTTCGAGGAGTCGGCCAATCCTTTTTCCATCATATAAGGCAGCTATTTTGCCATGATGAAAGAATTCATGTAACATGATGCATTGGTCAAAAAATAAACGAATAAAAGTCATTTCTGAGATAGTCCTGATGACTATTAAGTGCAAGCGATGGTTATAGCAGTGGACGTAAGGAATTTTTCGGCCCAATTTATTTTCTATTCTAGTCGCAACTCCTGAAACTTTCCCACTCATTACACTTGCGCCATCATAGCATTGGCTAAGCATACAAGAGGGGTCAATGTTATTTTCCGTGAGAGTATTTAACGTTAATTCCGTGAAAGTGGCTGCATCAAGATTTTCAGTAGTCTTAACCATCAGCAACGACTCATTGACGACACCATCCTTGACGTAGCGTATTGCTAATGCAATATTTTCGCGGTTATTTTTATCTCTCGTCCCATCTTCCATTAGAGTAAACCATTTCACGTCAGATTCATTAATATCTTTGACAATGGAACTTCGTACCGCTTGAACCATTGCTTGAATTATTTGATTTTGAATTTCGGGTGAACGATATGTTGCGTTTTGTGGTATATGAGTGAGAATCTCGTTCAAATTTGGATCTTTCATACATGTGTATTCAAATAAATTCTGAAATAATCCTTGTTCTTTTTCTCCTTCCAAAATATAATTTCCACGCAAAGCTAATTCGTTGACAATTAGAAATTGTATTACTTCCATGATAGACTTTACATAATACCTATATTTTTCTAATACTTTTTGATTTATTAACGTTTCAACACTGCTAGATGTAGATATTCTTTGTAATTTCTCCTGCCACATCGACATAGCTTGAATATGAGAAATTGATTTTTCATGTTTTGGAAAACCAGTTTTAGAATCAGTGGCATTTTTCCAGTTTCTAAATCCTGTGGAAGTGTACGAAGTCTGTTTGCTTCCATGAGGTAAAAATTGATGGCATGGATAGCAAAAAGCAGCATCTTTCTCGACAGAATACTGCAACCATTTATAACGCTTGAACCAATCGGAAACAAAGGCCATGTTGTGTTGTTTTGGATATGTGTCTAAAACAACTTGTTCTATTGGTTCTCCGATTTGTGCAATATCAGACGGAATACCATAGCTAACGTTACCTGTTGCTACGGAACTAAGTAGGAGTAGCGATTGTATTTGGTGCTTCCACCTGTTTTGAACAGTTAGGTTTTTCGTGGTCAATTTGCTCCTCAAGTCTTCGTTTTTTTCCAAAGAAAGCCCGTATATCCATCGCGAAATAAATGAATCTTCAATTTATAGCAATACAAATAACAATTGTATCGATTTTTGTCTAAAGCACTCTTCACCGTACACTTCACTTAACCAAACTACAAACAATCATAATCAATCTTTAGGTCAGGTTTAAAAGGGGATTCCCCGTACCATAGATTGCAATATAGCCCATATTGCAGTCTATGGTACGGGGATTCAATGAACGACAACTATGAACAAACAATTTAATTATAATAATTTATCTTAGTTTTAGATATTTTTAAGGTAGGGCATTGTGGTTTCAAGGTAGGGCATTGCCCCACAATGCCCCCCCCTAGCTACGGCCATGATAACGACGCTTAAAGGACCGATGATATTACGTCGTACTATCTGGACGTCGTTAAAGAAGTAACTTTTTACGTTATTTCTCAACAAATCAACCAACCAAATCAAAAATATGCGTCGCTAAACTGTATCTACAAATGGGATGGGTCTCCAAAGTTAATGGGTTATAAAATTTGCGAGGAATGTATATTGTTTAATATTTATTTACTTTTCTAAATTAAAAAGTGAAAGTGGCTCCTAATACATCACTTATATCCATATTAAGTTTATTAAAATATTAGAAAGAATTGAATTTTGACAACATAAGTACAAACTCAAACTTTCGATTAACTTGTAAAGTTTATCTGTGGAAACTGTGTGCTTATAGCCTGACCAGGAACATAAAAACCCTGGCATAGAGGNGGTGAACGATATGTTGCGTTTTGTGGTATATGAGTGAGAACCTCGTTCAAATTTGGATCTTTCATACATGTGTATTCAAATAAATTCTGAAATAATCCTTGTTCTTTTTCTTCTTCCAAAATATAATTTCCACGCAAAGCTAATTCGTTGACAATTAGAAATTGTATTACTTCCATGATAGACTTTACATAATACCTATATTTTTCTAATACTTTTTGATTTATTAACGTTTCAACACTGCTAGATATTTATCTTAGTTTTAGATATTTTTAAGGTAGGGCATTGTGGTTTCAAGGTAGGGCATTGCCCCACAATGCCCCCCCCTAGCTACGGCCATGACGGGGAAGTAAGTAACTTGATCTTGTTACGGAAATTGCACAATGTAAATCGTGCTCGTTTTTCAATAAACTCGGCTTAGTACTTAAGTACAGTGTTTTTAGCGAGTGCAATGGAGACAGACAAATGACTATGATGAGTTTGATTTATATGCTTTTCAGGAAGCTACTGGTACCTACTGGCTATTTGGGGAGTAACGTTTCAAAGAGGCTAATCTTAAATAGTCAAATGGTGAATAAGGTTACTCTATAAATATCCATAAAATATTCATTATCTAATCCCTTGATAAGGCTTTAAGCGTGGGACTGCAGCATTTGTGGCAGCTCCCTGATCATGCGATACGGGCGATTATGCGCGTGTTCGCTTCTACTACGATATTTGAGTCGCGATGTTTCAGAGAACGGGAAGATTGCTTGCGTTCAGTAACCCTTATCATGCCGGAATTTAATTACAGTCGCTACAAATATCTAAGTACTTAGTGGCCGCTAGCGGGCCTTTGACAATCTGAATTACAGGAACGGGGAATATGTTTATACGGTGTGGCTTGTATAGAATCAAGAGATAATTTGAAAATATTAATTTTCTTTGAACAAATGTAAGAAGAAATGACTTTTCAACGAAATAATTACCTTTGTCAGCATCATTATTATAAATATTACCCATGCGAAGATGCGGCGTAGAATATGTACTTACTGAGAGGTTCTATAGTAGGACATATAATAATACTTAATATAATGTTCGCAATTGTGAGGTAGTGCTTAAGCAGTAGCGTTAATTTTCTGCTATTGTGGTAACATCACAAAAGTTCAGTAGAATACAGACTTTAATTATTATCTGTAAAACTTGTAATCAAAAGCTTACATAACAAGATCATAACAAAGTAAAGTATGAAACAATATTTTTCGCCTTATTTGCCACTTGAAAGGCAAGGCCTTTCATCATCTTAAATAGCCATAATATAGGTGCTTTATCGTAAAATCCAGGTCCGAAAATGGATCATTCCACTTTGTTCTGGGTGATATCACCTGGGTGAAGATAGTGGATTTTTTATTGTTCTCATTTCACGTCGGAACCATTTTACCTAGATTAATTTTCCAGATGAATTAAGTCGACTAAATAGGAATTAATTCACCCAGGTATTTGAGATGCAAAGACTTGGGTGAATTAATTCCTAGATGAACCTTTTTTTCACTGCTTTAGACGAATCAATTCACCAATTCACCTGGGTGAACAAAGTGGCCCGGAATAATTCCCGAAAATAAGTTCTACTTTACATGTAGAGATCAGAAGTATGTACAATAACATTCTAAACAAAATTGAGGCTCACTTATACAATATAGAGATAAATAAATAATAATTGGTAGATCCTGATTACATGCTACGCCGGCCACACAAAAGATCAAAGCGGCGAGCAGCAGTGAGCATCTGTTACGACGAAAATTATTATACGGGTCATTATTGTGTCAGTACGTGCTTTTAATAAAGCTCGTAACCGTAATTTGTGGGATAAACCCAACTGATATCACAACTAGGTAGATAGGTGTCTATAAGTACTGCCTATTTCTGCGTTTTAGCTCTACGTTACGGTATAGCCATATGATAGTAGAGACGCACTATAGGTATCAATTGAAATTGTAAGAGACAATATTACAAGTACAAGCAAAAAACAAAACTAGTGTAGTTTAAAGTATCTACAGCCATCAAGTATTAAAGTAATATAAAGGTTAGCAATTGGAATTAAAGCAACATTTTGTAAGGTGATTAGGTACGAACATATTACCCACAATCACATTGCGTGGCATTCCCATTATCGTGATTAAAATCTGCACTCCTGGATTTAAGGATAATTTCGTACACATTCATCATTTATGTACGAGTACTTATGTCTGTAAAAAAGTAAATACACATTGTGTCTCAGTGACTTAACAATACCAACAATACGCCAAGCCATGGGCCATCAGACTAATAATGTTCTTCTTCAAAACTTTTACTAAAAGCAACACTGAAATCCCAAATAGAGTTTTCTATTTTTATTTAATGTTCGCTACCTTAAAATTTATACATTATGGAATTTTCCGAGCCTGCAGTGTATTTCCCTCGCACAAGCGTGGTGGATAGAGCCTAAAGATCGCTACCTACATGCATTTTCAACCCGTAGCGAGCGCGATTCCCGCCCGCTTCCTGCAGTCAGTCAGTCAACAGTCGCGTCGCGGCGCCACAGCCGCTTTTCTCGTAGCTTCCCGGTGCTTTGTGAACTCGCTTAGTGAATTGACACTTTATATATATTCCTACATTGATACGAACCTGTTGAAAGCACGCTGCATAGTTAGTTAGTTTAGGTATTTCACTTTAACTCGTAGCGAACTGAAATTCAGTACGCGCTATTGTAATAAAATTGAATATTTTTTTCGGCACGTCACATAGTTTGATTTTTTTATATAGGTAACTATTATAATTCACTTTTTACTGTAATGCAGTGTAACAGGAAAGATAATAATCTTTACTGTCTTTTGTGTAAGTCTATAAAGCATAGTGTGTAAGCAAGCTAAGTAAGTTTTGAAAACAAACCACTGCCGATACGCAAAACATTTTACTTACGATAGTAAAAAACTTTACGTATTAGAACTAAGAAACAGTCAACCTGCTTACCGAGTTGGTGGAGTTTGTGAGGTTCAATCAAAGTGTTGTGGTCGTATTTTAGTTTAACTAAATGTAAAGGGCGGACTGTACTTACCTATCCCAGTTTAATACTAGTAGGTATAACGATTTCTCAAAACTTTTAACTCTTACGGGATTCAAGCCCCGCCTTTAGTTAGATTTAACATTTACCGATATGAAATTTAAATATTCACTTCTCTAGCACTTCACTAGACCTGGTGGTCGGCCAATTTATTTTCATTTTGTGAAAGTTATTTAAATGTTATGAACGCTACATCATCGGTGGTTGGCAGTTTTAAAATAACGTGTTGATAAATATAATGAATTTTTTTTCACTGACTGTATTTTTAAAATATGTCAGTTAATTTTTTTATTCGTTCCTTCGACATGACAACATGGCAAATATTTTTATTAATTATTGGTACTCATTATAGAGCGTATGAATCTCAAGGCTGTTAGGCAAGAGGTCTGATTTTACGTGCCCACTAAACTTTTCACTTGCTTTAAATTCTCGCAAACACAAAATATACAAATCGTATGTTCGTGGTGATTAGAAACTTAAAAGATGGCCTTATCCCATGTTTACTCTTCCAGTTAACTAGCTGTAGCGTAAATGTAAACATTTTCATAGAGTTCTTTTTGTCTTATTGAAGTGAGAGTCCGAACTCTATACCATTTTACGTTACAATTCTGTGAGGTGAGATATGAGGAATTCAATTTAAAAGTTATTTGATTGTTTTTTAACTCAACACTGTTGGTCCCCAACAGTTGAGCTGTTCTGGGGTGACTTCTCAAACAAAATTTTATGTAATGTTCAATCAAACCAGGTAGGTTATAACTAATAATATAAAATGGAATATTAATTAATAGTCTGCCTATATTGGTAACATTTAAAGTGAATTAACATACACTGACAATAATTATGATGTATTGTCATTTACCTCAAAGTACATGCAGGGCATTTATATGGAGTAACTAGCTATTAGTGAAGCATGTTTCAGAGATTGGCTTCAGCAAAAACATTTTTACCTCTAATATTCAAATGATATTCCTGCGTTGCTACTTTCCCTACTTTTTACATAATTGCCTTGTACTTAACTGAGTAAGCATAACCATAATCCACTCGTTGGTGGCCTATATTTTTTGTGGGTAATACAAATTGAATGGCCCAATTTGGTAATGCTTTTGTGAGACAGTCAAATAAAATCGATCGTTAAAATGTGAAGCTGCTCCTAAAGCATCTTTGTACTCCACGTGAAGAGGCAGATTATCATGACGTAGAGGAGACCTACTTCAAACATTCCGGTTTGTTAACAAAATCCCGACTAAACGAGGCCTTTGATGATACCACAATACAATTCAAAGGTACATCGTAATTATATTCAAACGTTTGTGAAAGCCTTTCAATAATATTATTTACCTACCTTTGATATAAGGTTCAAAAACAGTCATTTCTTTAACTCATAAAGTTTTAATCGTAAGCACTTATCATGAGTCTTAGGAAAAATATCGTTTACAAGAAAAGCGCGTGAAAAAAAGTTTTGTGCTTAAGCCGACCCTAAGGCTGGATTTCCACAACGATGTGCTATGTCATTGAACCGTGTGCGACTGCGAGCATACGGTTTCCATCAATAGGACAACTCAATTACCTTTGACTCGCTCAACTCTGAAAGAACAGGGAGCGTGTATCAGAGTCATGTGTGCGTACGCTCAGTCATGTAAAGAGTTTGTACGAATCACGACGTCGACGATTGTGTAAAAAATCACATATTTGGTACACTGTTTTACGCGTCGCACTTTCAGATTTCTTACAGAGCTTTTGCGGAAGGATTCACATCGCCATTTCATGTCTACGCATTCTTGCATCGCACAGCTTTAGTGGAAGCATTACCTTAAGCAATTAATGACTTCCTAACTCTGATCGAGAGCCTGTTACGCTCATCTGACGTTCCAATCAAATTATAGATTGCTCTGCGATAGGGCAGATCGGCGGTCCGCTGCGTCCGTGTTTTAAAATAAATAGCCGAATAAGTGAGTTCATTGAGAAATTGCTGCTACGTGAACACGTACGTTAAGTTTAATAAAAAATAAATAAATAACCTGACAGGGCTATTTTTATAAAGTTAAAAACCGAACAAAATCCCTGTTCGGTTTGAATATAGCGCAACCTGATCAGCTATAAAGTCAAAGTCAAGGGCTGATCTTTGCAACGCATTGAAAAGGGCATAATACTTCAACCGTATATAACCTGCGGAAATGTGTAGGCGAATGAGTTTATATCATAGAAAATGTTCAATATTAAGTTACACAAGTTGCCCTTGCCTTGTTTTTGGTGTATGGAATTAGGAACGTACCTACCGTTATCTGAACACTCAACAATTCTACAATTCATTAGTTATAACTACTTTCATGGCGCTATCGTAAAATTTCAGTTTATTTACTTTAATTCAAAACAGCATAAAATAATTATTAAAATAGATTTCAGATATTATGACGCTCATTTGTAACGTTATTCTTTTCATCAAATTCTATTTCAGGTTTTTATGAGATGTCTCTACACATAATTTCGTAACACATCGACGTGAAAAGCATCATCAAAGGTGACCATAATATCACATTAAAATGAATAAACTATCCTAGGATTTTTATGATCATATCGATGTTATGTAGCAATGAATTAGAACGTAGGATTTTAGTATTGTTTTGAATTCAGACATAGCTGCGTAAAAATTACTGTGGTAAAAGTTTTACCTATCACAATACAGTGAAATGGCAACGCTAGTGTCAATGAGCTCTACAACTTCGCCGAAGAGTTCGTTGGCGAAGCTGGTATTATGCCCCAAACCTAAACCCTTTAAAGTGATGGTCCTGGGACAATCCGGAGTTGGAAAATCAGGTAAGAATCTTCATGAATAAGGGAGGACTTTACAATTTTAAAGGAAAATTCTAAGGAAATATCCACTTATAAACTATTTACGAAAGTATTAATCCAAAGGTTGTTGTCTGTTCCGGTTATTTCACCCTTACCTATATCCGTAAATGTCGCTTCTATTATAATATTGTGTTGTTGTTATGATTAGATAGGTCAATGAGTTTACTCGTGTCGTCGTACCTATAGATAGTATAATGTTGAATCCTGCTTGTTAAAAGTAATTATGTACAAACAATTAAAATTAATTTGTTTATGTTACAGCATTGGTAGTCAGGTTCATAACTCGGCGTTTCATCGGTGAATATGACCCAACCCTGGAAAAGGTGTACGTTTTCCAAACTGTCATTGACAACGAGATGGTTTACTTCGAAATTTTGGACTCTGCTGGCGAATCCCACGTATGTAGAGCATGTTGCTTTGTTTGAATACTGCATTAATTAAAAAAGGTTCCAAAAAATTTCAAAACAATTTCGTTTACAGGAAAGCGAGTATGCGAATTTGGAGAGTAATATCAGATGGGCTGAAGCATTCATCCTGATGTACTCGGTGACTGATAAGTGCTCCTTCGACGAGTGCCACCGGCTCAAGTTTCTCATAAACTACAACAAGAGACGACGGCGACTTACAAGCAAGGTCTGTCTATATATTCTCTATACTTAGGTATTTTATGAACCTATAAATACCTCCATCAATAATATTACTTACCTACCTGTATGGTATTTATTAGAGAAACACTGACCATTTCTTAAACGTCTATAGCATAAATTATAAATAACTTGAAAAAATCGAACTGCCTAAGGCGGGAATCGAACTCACGACCTTTCGCTTACCGGGCGACTGCTCTTCCATCTGAGATACTTAGACATTGGATGAACCAGTTCTATAACATAACTTAGATAAATGTACGTAAAAAGTTCCAATGCTTGTTTCTAAAAGTTTTGGATGTTTGAATCTACACTAAAATAACCACTAACTACGAAGCCTTGCTCGCGGCTACAGCATGAATTTCGGTTAGACAAAGACAAAGGCGCATACCTAGCCCGAGAATATTTGCAAGCAGTGGAGCATTCCGAAGGTGTAGGAGATTTTAGAAACGAAACAATAGTTATAATGTGCCTCATACTGCTGTAATTTTTAAAGTTTTTTGAAATAGAAATACTGAAAATTGTGAAGATGAAGGAAGGTGATACAGTTTTGGTACTATTCTAAATATAAAGTAAGTATTTTTTTACAATCAAATTGCAGCATATTTTAACTGATGATTAAAATAGATATTTATTGACATTGTGCACTTTCCTTTTAAGCACAAATATGTAGTCTTCAAAATTTTCCGTTTGGTAATTAAGGCCTTGAGTTTAGTACCCACTTTATCAATTTTATTAGGAACGTCATGAGCATAAAGTGAAAGAAAATAGGTCACTCGTAAATTCCCCTTTTAATCAAATTGGATCAAATCACATTCCCCAATAAAATCTTGCAGAATAAAATTGAAAAGCTTATTGAGTTTCTCGTGAAACGGTTCTGCGTGGGAACCTTCTTGCCGCCCAACTGTCTAGAAGTCATTTAATTTAAATATTTTTTTCATGAGGTACTACTTCCTCCTAATTCGTTTTATATCTCATAAATAATAACTCTTAAGTTTTACGTAAGTATGTCATGTTAATAAGTACGTAAAGCTGAAAACCTAGAACGTAGTTACGCCATTACATTTACAGACAGACGCTTTTAATTTACTAAGTAAATAACGAATACCAAATAGCTAAATTGATTAATACACACATAGGTTAGGTACACCGTACACCTACTTCCGAGTAGTTTAGTTTTATCGGTACAGCCGTAACGGTTGATTTTCCTAGAGTTAAGGTAGGTAATTAAAAAGTTTTTATACATACGATATATTATCTTCACGACAGTACATTGATTCATGACCTTTACATTTTATATGCAATATAAATGTACCAAAATCACTTCGGTGGGTCAAATGGGCCTACTTCGAGAAAAAGCAACTTGTAGTAAAAGTTTACTACGACCAGCCAACAAACTTCGTTTCGATACTTACTTAACTCTTTAACGAGAACAAAATACTCTTGTACGCCGAAGCTACTACATTACACAAAGAATGTTTTAATCATCATTTTTTTCTAGCAAGCATTCTTATAAATTCTTAATAATGCTTTGTTTTAAGTCTCTGAAATAAGTCAATTACCATAGTATTATTCGAAGTATCTAACTGCCTGTTTAGATTTCATTCAACAATACACTTTTGAGTGTACCTTATAATATAGACATCTAGGTTTGTAATTATGTACATAAATTAGTTTAGACAGAGATGTAGGTACATCAACTAACTACTTAGTGCCGATTTAATCCGGTTATGATCTCTACATACTATTCACGGTACCAACGCGTAGCTTATCTACGGGTGTATGAAATTATCATACAATGTGTATTAATAAATGAATTAAATTGTCATGAGAAATTAAAATAAGAAATAAATATTTTTTACGTTTACTTACTAAAAACACAGTACAAATAGACGTCCGCCTAACTTTAGGTAGGCGAGAAGTAGAAGAAAAAGTTTTTATTTTTTATTGTATTCAAACACTTCCCTAACTCACGCAAAAGTTCTTTGGGACTTTGAAAGTATGTAGGAAATATAAAGAGAGAATTTCTGCGATATACCTACTTACCACATTTTTTCTTGGGAACTTCCAGGACAGCGTAATGGAGACACCCGTGGTGCTGGTGGGAAATAAGGCGGACCAGGCTGGAGACCGCATGGTGTCGACGGAGGAAGGCCAGCGCCGCAGCAAGGAGATCGGCTGCGTTTGCTTCCACGAGATATCTGTGAGGGAGAGCATCGACCAGGTTGGTTTTAACATATTCATCAACTAAAACCTTGCAAAAGATCTATTGTTTTAAAAACACAACGGAATGAGAACCTCCTCCTTTGGTTGAAATCGGCTGAAAACTCACAAACGATACTAAAAAGAGCTAAACATTTGTTGTAATATTTATACTTACTGAATAAACTTCACAAAATCGGAAACACGTTTCTTGTACTAAATTTATATGTAGAAGACAACAAAAGCTTCAATTTCAGTTACTAACAATTTCTCCGAACAAAAAATACCTTTAAAGTTAAAGTTCGTATATTGGGACAGAAGAAGAATACAATCACAACTGTTGAACAAAGAACTTAGCTACGGCTTTATACTTAAATCAAGAAAAGTTTGCTAAGTAGGTATGTAGGTACTTACCTGTTGGAAAAACCTTGATACTCCACCTTTTTATTGGGGCCAAAAAGAAATGAGAAGCATTTTGTTTGTATATATAAAACTTATAAAGCCGTAGGAGTCGTTTGTGAAATTATGTGGATACCTATTGGTCCCATGTAGCTTCTAAGACACTGCCTATTAATTAGGAATTGTAACATTCTTATTTTCGGTGCTTTACGCCGATTTTTATTAAAACATGCATTTACGAGTATTACTGTACCTATATAACTACTAGTATACCAGAAAGTTAACCAGTTACAAAAATTTACGCGTCGTATCTTGTATAACCGTTATATTTCACGGAAAAGTAAAGGAAATAGGTGTGTTGTTCTTTTTAAGAAAGACCTGCGAGTACCTAGTAGGGATGCAAGAAATATAATATTATCCCAATAATTATCATACCACAATTTTGTTAAACTTTCACATAGCTAATAATTTGAGTTGTAGTATTAATTAATTTCACACGAACTTCCCGGTTCGCGCATAAAATACAAAGCTTACGTGAGATTTCCAACTCCGGATAACTTTGACGGTTGCCCAAATTGAATTATGGTTGTACAGTCGGAACAAAAAGTATTATTCGCATTCATTTTTTATGAATTTACATTACCTACCTTTATCAAATTTTATTGCTTATTTATTAAATAGTTATTATTAAATGTGTATTTTCATTCAACAGCTAATGAATTAAAGTTAATATAAAACAGTACCTACATTAGATTATGTGTAGAGATTAATAATATAGGCCATTCTATCATCTTTGTTTTATTCTCCACGTTTACCAGCTTAGTGCCAACTTTACAGAATAATCAATTTGAGACCAATTTAACTTTACCGTAATCCCATTTCAAGTTCGGCATGTTTACGACATATTCAATTTGATCCAAATTATAATAGCTAATCTAACTATTAGAGACTATGGTAGAGTATTACAATATGTCAGCAAAAGTTTCAAACTTTTGATGACGGTGTGCCATACTTGGCGGATGCTAGGAGGCACTGCAAACATGTAATAGCTATGTATAGACGACGGCACATCAAGCTAAACACATTGACGTCCTATGCAGTTGCAATATGTACTGATAAGTATTATGCAACAAAAAATCAGATGTGCTGCTGTAGACTGGGCCGTGATGATGGAAGATATTACGTCCTCCTTAGCGATGGGCGTTATTCGTTATCACGGGTTATTAAACGAGTGATCAGCCTGACCAGTGATCACTCGTTATCCAGAAACGCCTAAACTAGTTTTTTTCTTAACGTCATACAACGTTAGAATCTCTTCGTTATTCAACACGATTGTTTCCACAACGCTCTAAAGCTAAACTGAATTCACTCTTAAGCAAACAACACTAGGTAGATGTTTGGTTGACATAAAAAATAACGTGTTTCCCGCTTCGTTATGACAGATTTGAGGACAATGTCGTACATTGACGATTCTTAAAAATATTTTTTGTAACCTAAAGGAGTAAAGCGAGTAATGTATGGTGTCCAATTAATAAGGATCGTAACGAAACGAGTGCGTGTGCGAGTGAGAAAGCCATAGGACGTTAACATAAGTGTGGATGAAATAGGTATAATGTTCGTCGTACGTTAGATATTCAATTGAATTTGAGTCTTATTTTGAAGGTCATAAGTTCCTAAATGCCTTGCAGCTAACCAAACACCTAACGTTATTATCACGCTTGCTTGAGAGTTGTGGAAATAACTTCGTTTAAAAAAAACTAGTCTTGAAAACGTTATTCGTGATTCGAAAACCATCGCGTTTAGTTATTTCAAAAACCCATAACGACACATCTTTAGTCCTCCTTGAGTGTCTATTAGATACACTTGGGCGTTGCAGCCTTATTCATTCACATTCATGCAAGATTCATAATATAATTTAAAACATATACGTTAAAAGCGACTTCAATGTCTCATTATTTTCATTTCCCAAATATTATGTTCAAGGTGTGGAGCGTGTTCCGCGACGCGCGTCGTTTCTGGCGCGTGTGCAACAAGTGGCCGCGCGGGCGCACGGATGCGGACTTACATCCGGCGGCTCTAGGGCGCCCCCTAGCGCGCGCTGTATCTGACACCACGCCCGAACCAGCTGCCACAACAGCACCTTTTTGTAAGTTCCTTCTTATCGTTTACAGTTATACAGGGTGGAAACGATAAGTGATCTCACTCGATTATTTCTAAACTATACATGATATTGAAAAACTGGTTACTGACCCTGAAAGTGCTTCACGAGCTCTTTCAAACGGTACCAAACCAAACATTGGTTTAGTTAGGCTTTACTTGCTATAATATTATCAAGAGATGAGTATCATGACTGTGGTAGTACTAAATGTATGGAAGAAAGAAACATTGAAATTTTCGATAGATCCAGTTTATTATGTAACCTACTATTGATACCATTGGATAGAGCTTGTGAAGCACTTTTAGAATCAGTAACCAGTTTTACGATATCATGTGTAGTTTTTAATATAATGTGACTACAAAATGTATGGAAGCTGGAAACATTGAATTTTCAGATAGATCCAGTTTATTCTGTAACCTATTATAGAGCTCATGAAGCACTTTCAGGATCAGTAACTAGTTTTTTGGTATCTTGTCTTAGTTTAGAAATAATCGAGTGAGATCACTTTCCACTCTGTATAATTTAATTTATAAAATACCTCTACACGTATGGGAATAAATACGAAATACTACTTGTATAAAGTTAATTTCTTTCGTAGCAGAAAATTACACGTTTTCAGCTTCGAAAAACTACGAGTAATCTTTATTGTAGAATTTTCGTAGCACTACTGCTACGTTATGTAACGACTGCTACATTTTCGTAGATTTTTCGTAGCATTTGCTTTTCCTTCTCTACTACACTTCTACTGCTACGTCTTTTTCGTAGCGTTTGCTACGTCCTTCTAAGCTCTCCCTTTCAAGCTGACTGGTACCAAAATATTTTCGTAGCACTTGCTACGAATATTATTTAGCTTCTTTATTTTTGATTATCCTCTGAAATCTGAGTTATAAGTAGAGGAATGGACCATGTCACTTCTCAATATTTGCGAGTTGTTTCGATAGAAGAGCTTCAAAAATAACGTTTTATTTATTACTTGGGCACCAAAAAGCTAGATTATTGGTGTGATTAATAAATGATAAATGTTGATACATACTACATGTTCATGTTTTTCAAGGCCGTCGCTGGACAGAGGTGGATCTCGACGAGGAAGACGAAGTGAGCGTAGCCCGCAGCGACTCCACATCCTCGTCGGGCAAGTCTGAAGGCGCGGAGGAGTTCAGGGCACGCGCCAGCACCGATTCCCGGCTGCCCCCGCGGCCTTCGAGACCGCGCCATCCGCCCCCGGGCCGCTCCCACGCGCCCCCAGTCAGGAGGATGAGTGTGGCGATGAGAGGAAACAACGCTAGCACCTATTAGCTTACCAAATGTACGCCTGTAGATGCATATTCAATTTTGATACAACATGCAAGAATGCGATTATTTCGCTACGAACCTTAAACTACATGTGTATAAAAATATTTATTTAATGTAATTTAGGTAAGTAGGTATGTGACTTTATTGAAACACACTAAAGATTTTTACACTGTATATCTAGAGGCAGTGTATTGTATAATGATGTACCTACCTATTTTTAACATTTATAAACGATTTTGTCAAACAGGCAGCTAAATAGAGAACTAAGCAACTATAATTAGTAGTCTGTAGCACCTTAGAGAGTGCCTTTGAATGAAAACTTGGTCCCAATTGTGCGTGATGCTGTTACCAACCAATACATCTAGCCATATGTAGCCCCCTCTCTCTCTTTAAAGAATCCTTGGCTTGGATAGTTCATATCCTTTGCGAAAGCTGCAGTGTTACTTCAAACGTACTCTCAAAGAGATAAGTAAATATTTAAAAGGTATGAATTTATTTGTGACTTGGGTCCAGTAAAATGAATGAGTAAAATTTAATGTCGACTACACATCAGCCATTTTTTCGAAAAATAGTACCAATTTCATGTTAGCGATGCAGTTTCAAGACTTTCATAACCTTTTATATGTTTATTTATAAACAAAGAATCATTGGACCAAATGATTTCATAAAGGTATTACAGGATGGCCTGGGTCAATATTTTTTAACTCTTACTTGGAAAGGTCCAAGCAAAGGGAATGCTATTCAGACTCTCCAGACTTTCCATACGAATCAGAAATGAGAGAAGTTTCGTAGGACGGCGGAAAAATAGCTCATAGGTACTCGTAGAACTATTATGGTCTTTAGGGGAAGAAACTTATACTGGACCGACGATCTGGTGAAGGTCCTGGGAAGCACCTGAATGCGGGCATCGCAGGCAGGACTGGTTGTTGTGGAAATAATTGAGAGAAACATTTGTCCAGCTATGAGTATATTTTAGTAGAAACGAATATTATAATAATTGATGGCTATTATAGATATGTAAAATTACTTCTCGTACCTGTTAATTTTATGTACCAAAGAAAAATACAACTTTCCTTTGCATATGATGTAGGTATTATTTATTGATGTAATTGTTTGATAGTTTTTATAATATGTTACGGTTTCGTTAAGGTTTAATGTGAAAAATATTATATCTTGTAATATATTTTTCACACGTGTAAAGGGTTTTCTATGTACTATGTATAATCTTTAATGCTTAATGTCTATGTAGTATAAGCATGAAAACTGTATTTCAGCTTATAATGCAAATATTTGTGTATTATTGTTCATCTGATTCCATAATATAAATAGAATGAACTTTCCAAGTCCATTACGAATACATAATGTATATTTTTGTAAAGAAATATATACCCAGTTCAACAAATAAATACAATATAAGTAGGTATTCTTAATAAATGTCTATTTATACCTCGATTCGGTTTTGCAGGCAAAAGCCCTCATAAAAAATATACTATTTAGAGTGGTTAGGTATTCTGTAACAGGAACTATACCTATTTGTATAATATGAATGAATGACGAATTCCATTTGTATGATAGAATGTTACATGAAAAATCTTAAACAGTGTTAAGCATGATATAGATAGATAAAATATATATAATTAATTGATTACTGATATGCAATTGAATATGAGATTCTAATGCCCGTTTTCACCATCAATCCCTTAAGCGTTTGCTAACTAAATATCACTTTGGTTAAACGATCGCCTAAACTGCCCACTAACCTAAGTTCGTTTTCACCATGCTATAGTAAACCTAAGTAGGGACTCTTTTGTCAGGTGGCGTTTCTTCGTGCGCCTAGTGACGTTTGAAAAACCGGTACTTTCCGATAAAATATTTTATTAGGAATATCTTACGTATTTCACAGAAACAAATTAAATAAAAGTAAAACTAAGAAATAGTTGACCAAAACTAATGTCTTTTTGTATTTTTGAGTTATTATCAAAGACAAAAAAGATATTTGGGCTATATGTAGGTAATCTGTGGTTTGGGTGCATAATGTAATTCCTTTGCCTTAAAAAAAGTAAATGTCAAGATGACTGCTGCACCACAATAAATGAAAATAAAAATGTACATATTGATTTTGATAGATATTTTGTTGAGTTCTGTGTGTAGCAGTTTCCATTGCCGAATAGGCGTGATTATGACAATATAACTGTCACCTAACACTTAGGCGGCCGAAAATCGGGCCCCTGTTTTAAAGTGATCCCATAAGGCCTAAGGTGTCCCTTATGTGTTGGTGAAAACGAAATTCCTGTTAGGTATTACCTAATATTTCATAAAGGTCGCTTTAAAATTAGGGATTGATGGTGAAAACGGGCATAATTCGTTTAATTTTGAGGATTTGATTGTATAAACTTATAACAATTGAACGTTTATTCATTTAAAAAATATAAATTTTGTTCTAAGTAAGACAAAGTTATTTATTTTCATTGAACTTCTAGGAATGTTAGCAGAAAATTATAACTAATGCCTACCTATCTACTTTGAGGTCAAAAGATATTCCGTACATAGAGATTAAGTTGATTTATCAGCTAATAAGTGGGTAGATAGGTACCTAGAACGTGTTGATTTGAAAGTTGCAACTCTCCCTGACCCCTACTGGCACTAAGACGAGATTAGCATGATTAGTAATTATTGCCACATTCAGCTAGAAATGTTCACGTGACGTCACAGAATTATCTAGTTGACTCATGGCAACTAGACGGTTGAAAATCCGTCTATTATCACTATGATACCAGCGGATTTTTGAAAGCTCATTATAAACAGCTACTTACTGATAAACATAGCAAGTATCATATCATATCGCTGGTGGACTAAAGTCCAAACTCGCTGTCTTTCACGCTACTGTCTCTGGCAAATTAAATTATGTACATAATATACGTTTATACGTATAATAACATAAAAAATCGTCAAAAATTTACACTTTATGATCGGATATCCTTTCGGAATAAACAAAAATAACTACTGTATCACTCTCATATCAATGTTCATCTAGTAGCGAACAATACCTATAGAACTTGCGGGAGATAAGAACTTTCTACTATTAAACTAGTACTAGTACTACGAGTAGGTAATGTAATCTTACAATTTTGATCTATGAATCTGGAAACTTATACTTTGATCAATTTTCGATCTGTTCAATACATGTGACACCCGCATGATCGATAACTCGATGTACTACAACACTACAGACTAGATTATCACATTTAAACACAACTTGACTTATGACCACGAAATGTTTAAAATATTGGATTATGACGACCATTTGTTTACATTACGGCACGCGACTTGAGACTTTACTCATATGACTTGAGTGTGTGCTATACGTGATGAATCTGAGACTAGACTAGCAATAACAATCACTATCTTCAGACTTTAACTGCGACTATTTTTTAAATTTAAATACTGCACATAAATCAACACGCGATTAATCATAAGGAATCGCATCGCAATTCGATAGATAGTATAAAAGACCTTTTAACATAAATCAATATCGCTCAGCATGACCCATCGAGATACTTCCGATATCATGATTGATATTGACCGTTAACAAATGGATTGACGATAAAAAGGTTAAGTAAGTGAACTGACTACTGAATGCAAATGGAAAGATTAAAGTAGAGGATGCAGTGCTTTTCAATATGAAAAACAAGTAGGTATTTTGTACTAGAAAGCACCTATTTTGCTATGTCAGTCTAATTTATGAAATTAGTAGTAATGATTTACAGGTTTCACAATCAAAATTATCCAGTAGTGTAGTACGCTGGGTAAGTAGATCGTATCATATTACGATACCACTCTACATAGACATCGCAAAACGTACCGGTCTATTATGAAAGAGGTTGCGGGTTCAATCCCCGTGCACCATTTGCACATAAAAATACTTGTTTGGTCTACTTATGTGTTTTCTGTGTGAACCTCCTAATAAAATAATTTGTATTAGTGACCCTGGTGTACCTGGTGTGCAAGGATAACGTTGGAGATTGGGCTAATCGGGTCGCACGCAAGTCGCTCTGCCCACCAGCCGCGACTCGCGGGCTATTTATATCTCCATTGCGCACGTCCAACGCGTAAGGATCTCCGAGTCGAACGCCGATCGTCTTACACAGTTATCAAATGCATAATTTGTAAGCCCGTGAGAAATATGCTGAGAACATTGCTTAAATGAGCAACCATCATCAGAAACGCTACTTTTTAAACACATTGTAGAGTGGATTTAAGGAAGAAAGGAGAAGTAGTTAACTTTTTAATGACAAAGAAATATTGTTAACTAAGTATAGTTAATTCTGTAAAGACAAATAGATATCTGCTTAATTGTTCAAGAAATAATCTAACGATTCTCTTATCTTAGTAATAAAGAAGTCCGTTTTTCAGTACATACTTAATAGAGTTTTAGTGCACGCGTACGTGACACTGCTCCCATTTGGAGTGCCGGTGATAGGCATAATGTCCGCCCACTGAGAGAGATGAATGGTTTTGATTATAGCTGATGCTTACCATTTTCTATGCAGGTCCGGATTATAAACGTTATTTTTACACATGCATTTACGCAGTGGCGGCGTAGCATGGGTTGGCACCCGGGGCGATCACCCCTCCCCCCCCCCCGTCACAAGTCCTAAGGCACCCCCTGGTACCCTCCAGGATTTTGGGGTACCGATACCGATTCGAAGATTGAAAGACAATCGCACCCCCTACCCCCCCGTATCATGACATTGACCGCAGATTTGCCATGCAGATGCGTCAGTGAGTACTAATCTGCGCGACTTGTGTCACCCCCTGATGCTTGGCACCCGGGGCGGACCNCCCTCCAGGATTTTGGGGTACCGATACCGATTCGAAGATTGAAAGACAATCGCACCCCCTACCCCCCCGTATCATGACATTGACCGCAGATTTGCCATGCAGATGCGTCAGTGAGTACTAATCTGCGCGACTTGTGTCACCCCCTGATGCTTGGCACCCGGGGCGGACCGCCCCCACCGCCCCCCCTTACAAAGTAAGTAATTACACGACGTAGTAAGTAATAAGAAGTTAAGATATAGCTAAATTGTCTTGTTACAAATTATTTCGTTACTTGTATGATTCAAATAAAAATGGTTTCTTTTTAAGTTGATGCAAGAAAAATATTGATTAAGCTAGTGTAGAGACAATGTTTTTTTTTTATGAATTGTCTATTATTGCCTAACAATGCTGGATAATAATTAGTGTCATAACCGTGCGAAAATTGGAGGCCGTGCGTATGTAAGGTGCGTGGATAAAATTATGTAATCATGTCTTCATCAGCCTATAAATAAACCTGCCTTACCCGCTGCGTTTAATACCAGCCTGCCCGACGCAGTAATTTCAAATAACTTTACAAGATCTAACGTAAGAGAATGCATATTATCTTACGCGGTTTTCCCGTCACTGAGTCGTTAAAGAATCGGTGTTAATAATAAGCTATGACATAACGAGCTATTACACAACAGAGCAACAAAACAAAACATACAATCGAGTCCTTCGCTGGTTCTCATCGCGTAGGGTCCCACGTCGACATTTGACTGATGAATATTTTATTGGCTGTTCTGCCCACGACACGCTGCACTCTACGCTTGCAATTTGGTGTCACAGTTAGTATCGTTAAAGTAGTCAACAACATCGTACACAAGGTTATTGTCTCTTATATAGGTGTAAGTACTTACATACGAGTAAGTACTTGTATTTCGTCGTATGCGATGGGCGTGAAGACATTTTATGTTTCTGTTTTAGTTCAAACAGCGTAGCATTCGTGCACCATGTGTGCCGTTGAAAATTTCCAGTCATAACATCGTAAACTGACTTGCAACTGTTCTGCAGTCATTGATGAGACGCTAGTTCTTTGAGTCAAGGAACTCCTAAAGACTATAATCTGCATGCGCCGTCCAATAATAGCATTGCTGCGAGAAACAGTTTATGGTCTC